TGTTGTACCACCAGGACAGTGCGCCTGTCCATGAGCCGGTGTGCTTGTGGCTGCAATGAACGACTGTGGCTTTTAACTCCTCAGTATTCACCAATCATTTGTTTGTTGTTTAACGCCGCACTCATTAATATTCCAGCTATATGACGACGGTCTGTATATCATCGGGTCTTGACCAGACAATCCAGTGATTGACATCGTGAGCATCGATCCACGCAATTGGGATCGATGACATGCATCAACAAAGTCAGCGAGCCTGACCACCCGATCCCGTTAGTCGCCTCTTACGAAAAACATAGTCGCCTCAGGCAGTCATTATGAAAATGATTCCGAAGTGTGGACCTCGCAACCTTCTGGTTATATTCAGTAGCTGTGTGAGGTCATGTACAGCATGGCGTCATCATCTGGAGATCTGGTAAGGGTTCTGAAATCTAAGACACATTATTGACGTACACTACGACGTGTCAACAATTGGGACAACTAATATTATTCCGAATTCATTGTAAGTTTCATAATATTTATTAAGGTGTACTTTGCCGGTCGAGCCCTAAATAATCACCCTTCGAATCCAACATGGTAATGAAAATAAATCCCCACGCCTCCCCAAAAATTAGTATATATCAATGCTTTCAAAATTAATTGATCAATGACAAAAGACAGCAAGCGGTACATAAATGATAGGGATCTCAAAGTCGATGCCCGCCCATGAAGATCCGGGTAAGATTTGGTCTTCAGCAATCCATGCTTGCCTTAAGAGTCGACTTTGCTTGCCTTAAGAGGCGACTTCGCTTGTCGTAAGATATGACTAACGGGATCGGGAGGTCAGGCTAGCTGACTTGATTAAAGCATGTCATCGTATCTCAATAGCGTAAATCGCTGTTCATAATGTCAATCACTGGATTTTCATGTCCAGACTCGATAATTAACAGACCGCTGTCATAATAGTTGGAAACACATTGAACATATATGTTGCGTTCTCGGAACTGAACATATTACCTTACGCAGTGAAGGTAATAGTAGCTAGACAATCACATTTTGTCACATGCAAGGGTTCACAGGCCCGTGAAAATCCGGGTTAGAATAGGTTTTCAGCAACCCATGCTTGCCGTAAAAGGCGACTATGCTTGTAGTAAAAAGCGACTAACGGTATCGGGTGGTCAGGCTCGGTGACTTGGTTGATGCATGTCATCGGTCCCAATTGCGTGGATCGATGCTCATGTTGTCAATCACTGGATTGTCTGGTCCAGACTCGATTATTTACAGACCGCCGTCATATAGCTGGAATATTGCTGAGTGCGGCGTTAAGCAACAAACCAAACCAAATCATATTTGTGTTTCTCTGATTTCCATGTAAGTCGAGATTGGAAGGACGTCCTACGCTCTTCTACTTCCTCCAGCGGTTCACACAGCAATGCCTCTCATCCAGAAACAGGGCGATACCTTTGTTCATAGCGAGACATAGCGCACTTCTCACATGACGTCATATCACAACTAATTTCTAAATCGGCTAAGATTGAAATACTTTTCACAGATAGATACATATAAGGTTTGAGTTTCTTTACGTAAGTGTTTGTGTGTTGCTATCGAGGCACTATGAATGATGCGATAGTCAACTCGTCATGTTTGTATCGATAGTTCGGTGGTTCCATACCCTGGTTACGTCCTTCCAAAAGACGTTAAAAGATGGTACTTGCTGTTACCCTGCCTGGCGGTTTGGAGTTAGTATTGGAGTGGTAGTTGGAGCTTGCAGTGGGATATCCATGTTAAACTTTCTAAAGCACTATAAAACCGGTCTGGTACAAGCAGCCACACACACATGCACGTAGCTATATATGTGAAGTAATCGTAAAACCCAGTTCATCTCTTCTCACCTCACCCCTTATTTGAATATCTGTCACATGACAAGTAGATTGTTCCTTCAACACATCTTATCAAAACGTCAAAGACTTAAGGGAATTCAATTGTTTTGTCAAAAAGGTGAAAACTAAATGATAGCGACACATTTACGTGATTGTTATATATAAGAATCGTGATTGTATCATCATATATATTTTACCATGATGACATAAGCTATGGCGACATGTTTAGGACGGGGAATACGAGTTGCGAATTATGGTACATTGTATGTCACGTGATGTGTCTTTGGTAAAACGGTGATATAAGTGATGTGGTGCAACACTAAGAAAACTTCCAAATACAGATCTTCATTGTAATATTCTTCCTAAATCTGCCGACCCGGGTTAGATTCGAGTTAGAATAGATCTTCAGCAAACAATGCTTGCTGTAAAAGACGATCATGCTTGTCGTAAAAGGCGGCTAACGGGATCGGGTGGTCAGGCTCGCTGACTTGGTTGATGCATGTCATCGATCCAAATTGCGTGCTCATGATGTCAATCACTGGATTGTCTGGTCCAGATTCGGTTATTCACAGACCGCAGTCATATAGTTAGAATATGACGGCGGTCTGTAAATAATCGAGTGCGGCGTTAAACAACAAACGAACCAACCAACCTTAATCTGCCGCAACATGCAATGTTAACGGCCCATCGAGGCCAAGACAATCAGTTATACTAATCACGAGGCTTGGTCGAACATGGCGTGTTTTGGAAAGGGGCAACAGGTGAGATCATGAGAAAGGCTATTCCCAAATGTCATTATGATATTGTGGGAGCTATACTGCTTGAACGGGTGTTGCCAGTCGCAATCACATCTATCATCAACATCTCGTGACAAACAGATCATGTATATAACAGAGGAAGGCAATTGCCCTGATCCCCGATTTTAGAACTGCGATTGTCGTATATCCCATGCTTTAGCATAGACTTAAGTAAGTCGTAGAAACACAAAGAAGCACGCACTGATAATCACCCTTCATTGCGTGCAGAATGAGGTGAAATGGGGTTTAACCTCGCGTCCAAGATTATTACAATTACACAGCGACATGGTAAAGATTGCCGTCCATGTCTATTCTTTACTAAGTAACAAGAAATGAATATCACATGAATCACCAAAAGTTCCATCCGCAAATATCGTAAAGAAACAGATATTGATTAATCAGGGACATTATTGGAGTAACTTTGCAAGTCAAAAAGACGTTTGTGTCATACAATAGAGCTATCGATACGTCAGAGACACCCTTTGTTATAGAAAAGGCTCGGCAACGGAAGACACACCAACTCTGAAAAGAAATATGTAAAGTGATAGGAGATCGTAGATGTGATGGTCGAAAGAACTAACATGCCCACCTAATGTGACTATCATTTGCATGGTTGCAGCGTATATTTAATTTAATCAACATCAAGGCTGGGTATGAGATTTGATTAGTTTCCGGATGCAATGACATTTTGCCGACAGCCCAGTGCACAATTCCTACATATCTGATTGGTTCCACAACTGGCATTCTTTGAACGGGAAGAGTCCAGTTAGTATCACATTATATCGACTCTATGAGAAAAAATATTACCATCATACAAGGTATGCTTTGCAGTGCAAATGTTTCAAGACAATATCTTCCTCATAGAGGCAGACCAAGAGTAACTACGTCCAATGAAGACCGGTACTTGTGTACTTTGCATCTCCGGATTTGATTCCTGACTGTGACGTCATCAGCTACGAATGCATTAGGGCATATGATTAGTCGACAGAAAAGGAATTAGGGCTTACAGGCCTTACAGAGAACAGTTATTAACAGCGCAACATCGTTGCAGAGATTGAGATGAGTCTTGACTGTATGTCGTTGGCAACGACGTGACTGGCAGAGGGTCGTCTTCACTAATGAAAGCCGGGTCTGTCTGTTCAGAGCTGAGTGAAAGACAGCTTGTTTACCGCCAAAGGGGAGAACGAACGGCGGCATGCTGCGTTTAGGCGGTCGTGCCGTATGGTAGTAGGGGGAGAGAACTCCACTGGTTATTGTTAACGGACATTAGCCAGCGCTGCTTTACATGGAGGACATTCGTCGTCCGAATATCCTACCACTGCTACAACAGCTGTGCCACGAAGTGTCCTTTATCAGTATGACAACGCCAGACCCCATATAGCCTGAGTCGTACATAGGGTGGTCACACTAGCTATTAATGTGACGTGTTTTTTTAACTTGAGCGATTTTAGATGTGTGTGCCCTTTGTCCATTACGTTGAAAATTTGTTTTTGGTACCCCAACTCAATTCGAGCAACTGTCATGCCAATATAAAATGCTGTATCACTGTCATTTTAAATGTTGATTTTGTTTAGATTTGAATCTTTTCAATACATTTTACTTTATGCATCTATGTTTTGTGTTTTTTAAACTAGAGTTTAACTATGGTAAAGTGTCTTTAACAGTTGAATCAATTTTGAACGATGAAGTAAAGACAATCCTCTTTCCAGAGCGCCAAGATACACTATAATACAACATACTCTACAATTGTTTTAAGGAAATACGTAAACCAGTTCATTTCAACTTTCACATTACGATTGCAATACGTGGCACGATGTGAAACAACATTCCAAGAAAATCAATGCAGTTCTTCTGCAAACGTAAAATCAATTCTTTGATCTAGTAATTTTAAAGAACAGTCAGATATGAATATTTTTATAGATAACAACTTTTTTAGTGTATCTAATTATTTTTATTGTTTTTACGACGGTTTCATGCCTGTATATAGTAGGCATGAAACGTCGAACAATACAAAAAAGAAGTTATTATCCATAAAAAGTTCACTGTACAAGTATTCGACGTGATGTCATTATATTTTTTTAAATGCTGTTCTGAAAGTGTCAAACTGATAACTACCAATTCTTTGACGTATATCATGACATACATTTAAACATTTCATATTCAATGTACAAACTGTGAAGTTTAAAAATAATTCTATAAGTGTGATTGCCTGCATACCTGGCAAATGTTCATTACTTCAGTATTTAGGTTCAGTTCATAATATGATTTTAGAATATGTCGTACAGGTAATAAGTTTAAGTCGTTTTGGTTACACGAACTGAGTTCATGTTTTCCACTATACTTTCAGGAATCAAAACGAAACGGTAAAAGCGGAAGAGCAGAAAAACGGCAAGCAGAAATAGTCCCAAAAATAGCGACAAGGAGATTTGCAGTGAACACCAATTATCTTAACGAAAAGGGATTGCTACGGATTACCAAGCCTAGAATCGGAAGTAACAAAATGCAGCAATTGTGTCTTAATACGCCACGAAGGGACCGCAGTGGAAGAACTGGCGCCAGGGTTAATGACACGTCTACAGGGTGAACGGTGTTTCGACAACGGCCATATAGCTCTACTTTGATGTCCGAAACTTGGTCGCTAAATTCTTGAACGTACTGACGAGGTCATGACGTCTCTAAAGCCAACTGCACCCTACTGCGCGAACATGACTGATGGTGTGCGTGTTGTTAACGTGTAACGAATATAAGTCAGAAACGGCATATAAGCAGCAACTACCCATACTGTGCATCACAGTCTTGCAAACAACCACCTCCATCATGGTTTCGTAATTAAGAACGCTCTTTGCTTCAATACCTTCTGTACTACACTGAATAAAGGAGACGTATCAGTTTAAAGAACGCACGACGAATTAACTTTGCAAGCAGGGAGTGTCAAGTGCCTAAATTTCGACTCTACAAAAGGATAATTTGTCCATGATCGATTTGTGTTGGGACAAATTTTCGTTCTGCATTGGCTCGGAAAGACGAAAACCGACAGAACTTCTTCAACCAGTCAAGTAGAGCATTCCCAGTAGTTTCAACGGTGCAAACGAATAATTTTTTTCGTGAATTCCAATTTGTCAATGTTTTACCCTTTCATTGAAACAATCACAATTTGTCCACATACTCTACATATCCGTAAAGTGTTGTACAGAAATTAGTTTAAACTTCGAAGATTAAAAAACGAATGTCACTCATCCTGGAAAGGAAATGATTAAGGATGGTGGGAATCTACGTCCATGGAGCATTGCTGTCGTTTCAAATTTCTAATCATTCTGGGCGGTTTTGTCCGACTCAAAGTAGTATGCATGAACATTATGCAAAGAAATGAAATGGTTATATGTACACCTGTCGACGTTAAACTATGAATAAGCTGATGGTCGTTTTTCAATCCTTACCTCGGCACTGATGTTGAATTAAAAGAAACATTTCCATGATTTTTATATTGTCGATATTGTTATCTATTTTGTGGAATCTATTCTGTGTCGGGATATTATTCTTCTGAGTGTCATCACATGGCTAAACATTGTGTCGTGTTTATATTCAGCACCTGTGACCACAGTATGTTTAGCAAGTCAATGCTTACACGAAGGTCTCGTGTTTCAACTCAGTAATATACATTTATTCAACTTCTGAGGAGAGGAATAATTACATATCTAATAACTGAACAGCCTTAATCATCAACCTGTTCACTGACATGCTTGGCCAATTGCCCAAACATTAACGTTCAGTACACGCGGTATCACGAGTCTAAGATGACCTGACAACGTTTTCCTCTTGTTGTATACGCCACAGTCCCCATCTACAGCAAGATGAAAACGCACGAGGCAGAATTTGTAGCAAGCCTGTACAAAGGAAACAACATTCTCGGGATCTCCCTTCTGAGTATATCAGTAACGGCAGTTCTTTTGGCCATGTTCATTTTTTCTTCTTTCGTCAGCCTTCAGAATGTCCGGACGTTGTTGTTGAAGCACTTGTTGGTGGCGTTCCTGTTCGAGGACTTCTTGACGCTGATCCAACAAGCCCTAGTCTACCTAGCCAGGAAGATGAAGGTTCCAGATATACGATGCTTCTTCAAGAGTACGGTTTTCTGTGAGACTTTGTTAGTTCTGTCCAAATATACCAGTTTGGCCAGCCTTACCTGGGTGCTAGTATTGGTAGTGTACCAATGGAGGAGTACCAAGCCTTGGTATAATGGAAATTGTGCGCGGGCTTTTATATGTGCAGTTGGTTGGTTGTTTTCCTGTGTCCCTACTATTACATGGACTGTGATTTTAGCGCTAACTCATAAAGGGAAGTGTTGGAACGGTCATCTTTCTATGTCAAGTATCTGGATAATTGAAGGACCGAAATTTGGACTGTTGTTTCTGATATTACTTTTTCTGATGCTAACAATGTGGAAATTGTTTGATAGGAAACGTGAAATAATCAATATCGACGAAATACTACGGAAACGAGCCCAACTGAGACAGTGTATGTGTGTATTCGTCTGGATATGCGTTGGACAAGTAACATATATAGTGAGTGCACATGCGCCGATGCAGTTGGATATCCGGTCACTTGCAGCATGGTCGTATGTGGTGACCATGCTTATGTCCAGCAAAGGGTTTGTTGTGTCCATTTGTTTTTGTTTTCTCGAGTCTGACGTCAGAGAGGCGTTGAAGACGCCGATTACAACATGACAGAAATACTTAGGTTGTCAAAATTACATATTCAATTTGGATAATGTTACTCTCTTTTGCCCTACTGACAGTACTTTATGGAATACTTTCTTTACAGTCGATGTATTTAATACACAGTGGCACATGTTCATTATTTGCGCATAGTAAAAAATGTTAATAGCGTGCCTAACAAGGGGATGCAATCGCCCCGCATGACACCGCATCTGGTGTAAATAGATTCGAACTAACATAGTTCAGCTGCTTTTATCTATATATGTTATTCAACTAAAAGTATTCCAGATTTGCGTGAACGTCCATTATCCCAAGAATCCTAACGTTATCAGCGGTTCGTTTCTCGTTATGTTGTTCGAATAACGAAAAACAAGCCAGCAGCGGATTCGAAAAACGAATACCTAAAAACGAACCCGCTTGATATACGGTATGTTATTTTTGTTATACCGAATCCGGTGCTGGAATGTTTTTCCTTATTCAAAAGCACTGAATAACTAAACAGTTTTTGGACGATGGTACATCGGTCAGACAAACATTATTACATGAGATTCAGTGTATTTGACCACATTGCTGTAGTTGTTTAATATACAGCCATCAAATAATTAAGAATCCGCTGCCGACCTGTTTTTTGTTATTCGAAAAACGAACCCGCTGATAACGTCAGGCTGTTTATCCGCATACATCTCCCCTTGAATAGACAGTTCGAAAGCTTCTTTTCCTGCAGCGCTAAGTCAGAGTGAGGCGACTATAGCTGCCGAATATGCGTTTGATATTCACTGTATCTTGTTCAGCTGTACATAGAGACGATTTAGATAAAGAAGGGTCGACATAATCAAACATACCCTACTGACATGCTATCTGATAGATAAAAAATGTATCCACTTGTACATGCGTTGTTTATATTTTATAAGAAAACCTCTACAGAATACGAACCAAACTCTCAGTTTAGGAACGAGAGGCGTGATGGATAAAGCTCAAACCGAGACGAAGCCTGTGGTCATGCTGTGTTTATCTATTACAAGAAAAAAGTGATTAAATGATTCATTATGCGAGTGAAACGTATCTGTTGTCTGACCTCTTTTCTTATCTGGGCGATAACGCGAGGCCCCTGGACATGCACTGTGCAACTCGTGCACGGCATGACAGCAGTTGTTGGGAACGTAGTCCTTCGCCAATCTATGGCGCCAACGTCGTTAGCGCAATGAAATTTAAAGGTACAAGGTCATATTTGTATTCTACTTTATGCCTTGTTTGCTTTTGGCACATTCTCAAAAAGAGAAATGAATCTTTTGTGGTCTCTCTGAAAAGGTATGTCAGTGCACTTGAAACTTTGTTTTGATCTCATGTTTAATTTTAATCTCAAACGTTGCAATTAGCATCACAAGTACATGGAAGCACAATCTCTGGAAACACACTGGAAACATATCTATATCAACCAGAGTCCGGTACATGTATCGTGATGGAGGACCGCTGTGACCGCTCATTTCACACAGGCCCCGAGGACAACTGATGGTATTCCCGAATCGCTACTTAGGTATGTTTTCTCGAAATAGATGGCTTTTAAGCTGTCTCGCAATTGATTTGTCGCATCTCGCTTTTTGTCTCGCTCCACAATTTTGGTGCTACAGATGTAAATGCTCCTATGCTTCTGGTTGTTTGGGGGGAAGGGGGAGGTGGGGGTCGCGGGTAGCCTAGTGGTTAAAGCGTCCGCTCGCCACACCGAAGACCCGTGTTCGATTCCCGACATGGGTACAATGTGTGGAGCCCATATTGGTGTCCCCCGCCGTGATATTGCTGGAATATTGCTAAAAGCGGCGTAAAACCATACTCACTCACTCACACACTCTGGTTGTCGGGGGACAACAGAGACTGAAGTGGTCCGAGGAACGGAGACTTATTTTGGAAGCATAGACTGATACAAGATCCTTGAGACAGGAATGACCGTTATCCTTCTGCATCTAAGTGTTCACCTGAAAAAACACGTGAACATCCATAAAACTTATTCAAGCTTTTACAAAGGTCATGAATGTTGTAACCCTGATCAAACAACCTTCTGAGAAGAGTCGTATGACGTTCTTTGGAATCATCGGAGAAAGATTATGCTCGATCTACCTCAAAAGTTGTCCTACAGACCTGTGGATAGTATTTTCAACTCTGATGTTTCGTGCACATATCTAAATATGAACGGAACGAGGCTGTTTCACTGGTCTCTGTTCTAGTTCCGGTGAGTAAATCAGAGGAAGGGAATTGGCTATTTGACCGTTATTGAACGATATCAGATCAGCAGTATACCTGAAGATTAATAAGCTAAACTTCCAGGTCAATTTTCCTTGTTTTGAATTTGTCAATCCGAGCAGAAATGCCGATTCTGTCATTGCCATGCCATTTAAAATAGAGTTTTCTGTTTTGTCAGTCAACCTCAAATGACATTAGCTATCAATTTTTAACAAATTGTCATTTTTACCAAAGAGTCTTTGATGGTAGAAATGTACAAGTGATTCTGTATATATGACCAACACGTTTAGTGACAAATGCCACATGAATCAAGTTTCTCCTTATGCTTGTCGAGCGAGATCGCGGTGTATAAAGTTGAAACATTAGTTGTTTTGACATAATGGAACTTGGTTCTTTTTTAGATTGCAACAAAGAAAAGCCAAACGAGAGGTAGCTCGTGTACTTTATTAGCCTCTTTTATGAGCATAGGTATGATACCGACCGTCCAAAAGTCATAACATGCGAGCATCTAGGCTTTTCCCCAGCACCCACATTTAAATGACCGTTTGGTTTATACTAGTTTCAGGGTGAAATATGTGTGTTTCAAACAACATAGTCTGTTTTTATTTATCTTACCAATAGTTCCTAATCCGCATAACTGCGATAATTCCACAAAATGAAAGTGTCTGCAGTTCTGATTCTTCCAGATATTGTTATACCTGTGAGCAATGCTAACGTACAATAAGTTTATACAATATAATACCTGATAATTATCCGATAGTATATATATATATATATATATATATATATATATATATATATATATATATATATATATATATATATATGTTTATATATATGTATATATATATATATATGTAATTCTTGAAATTTTCAGTTATTCTGTATAATAACAGTGAATCCAAATAATACCTGAAAATTATACATAATAATTCATTATGTTTTAACTGTAACAGATATATATATATATATTGCCATGGTCACTTCGCAAAATCTGTCACATATGAACATAAATGTTATTTAGATTAATCGATCCCTGAGTTATGTAATCAAATATATATATATATATATATATACAATTTGGTTAGGCAACAGTTTCACACTGAACGACTTGTTTTCATATCTGTAATCACTCATGCATGTAACATGCTTTTGCATCAGGCCATGACATGACGATGGTGCATTAAAGAAAGAAATTGAAATAAAAATCAACTTAATGAAATATTTGCTAAGGTTCCGAAGGGCGAAATGCTTCATATTTCTAGGGGGCGTTCATTATACGCACCTAACAACGTTGCAAACATCCTCATCTTCCCGGCACATCTAGTGTGTGATGTAAATTAACAGTGCTGTTTTCAATGCTGCACTGTTCAGGGATTACACGAAGCTTCAGAACCCGTGTCTGTTTCATATCATTCCTTTCATACCTCATCTCACAAATCCATCTACGTATTTGCAGAAACACATAAAAATAACATTTTAGTAGTAACGTGTATCTATGACGTAAATCAAGATTGATGTTAAAGTGATGAAAATGCCCTTGAGGCTGATGTGTAATAAGAAATTTCTCACGGATGTCTAAATACGTCAACAGAATGCTCACGTTTGCATAAACAAGCTATTAAAATGTTGCAATAGAAATAAGCATTTTGAGAACATGAATCATAAAAAGATAATGAAACGAAGTGAAATGTTACATGCATTGATACCAAAATGCCAAGGTAGCTTTTGGTTACTAGAGGGGGAAAAGCAATCATTTGTGTATGGTTACTTGGAATTAAAGAACTGCCCTTTAGGCACAACAGAATGGCAAGCAAAATCGTCAATTTGAATAAACTCTCTGCGTGGAATTTAGGTTATCCTTCAGGCTAGTGTGTAAATTATAGGATTATCTGGTGTCAGCGATTTTCAGATAAGTCTTCAAGTGTTATCGTCTATGTGTTGCTGATGGTGAAAGGCAATGTAGATGCTTTTGCATGGATCTGCTTACCAGATAAGGTGGTAGCGCAGTCAGAGCGGTGCGTGCATATGGCGGCTGTGACAATCATAATGTGCTGAATAGATACAGATGTTGATAAATAGGCCAGGAGAAAGATAATATATGTAACGACTTTTTTCTATACTATTATCAGTAACACACACCCCAACACAAACACACACACTCCCCATCCACCCACCCATTCCCAGGATAGATTTGGTCTTCGGGATCTAGCGGGATCTGGTGATCCGACTCGCTGACCTGGTTGGTGTATGTCATCGTATCCCAATAGTGTATATCGATGCCCATGATGTCAACCACTGGGACTTGAATATTTACAGACAGTCGTCATTTAGCTTGAATATTGTTGAGTGCGTCGTCAAACAAAACACAAGCATGTTTCAGATTTTATGTAAGCTTCAGGACACTAGTTCATGAACTGCACACACACACACACGAGGATAACCCATGTATGCTGTTGGTGAATGTTATACTTGGAATCACACATTTACGCGTCAATCAAGCATCAGTTGTCAAATATATGTCCAGATGTCGACAACTGTTTGAATGTCAAATATGCCGTGTTTTGCAAAGCATCCATTTCAATATTGTAAATGCACGATAAATATTAATGGAATAGCAAAGTTTGACATCGCCCAAAACCGCATACAAAGGTGCACGTTCATGTGCAGTGTGCAAATGTATATAATATTATATGAAAGAGGACATACAAAATCAAACAGTACAACATCACAACAAGACAATGCAATCTACACATTTAAGCGTTTACATATTATTATTACTTGAATACAGATACACCTCTCTACCAACAATAACATGGCAATTCGACACTTAAGATGCCTGCTACCCAGGAACATATCCTTCTATTAAAAAAGTACGGCGCTACCATAGTCCCTTAACCATATTCCAGATACAGTTGAAGATTAATTTCGATAAGTTGTCACCCTAAAACGTAACATACTTCATCATTATGTTCTTCATCGACGTTCCACTAAACGAGAATAGTATTTTACATAAGGCATCCGCAAACTGCATTATTCCGTTATGAATAACCGAGTATTCGTGACACCGGTTTTAAGCGCATCATGGTCTCTTCTTGTGACACTTGTGAGATTGTTGTATAATCCAGATGATCTTCCTGCAGGACAGTGCACGAGAACAACCAGACATGCAAAGCACTACTTGCCAAATGTGTAAAATAAGTGAGATCAAGCCAGTATTGACTATAACGAACGAGACCTCATTCGTCTTATCTGTTTTGGGTCGGTAAAGGAGCTTCTGTTTCTGCTTTAAAGAAGTGTTGGAACTGCGTCCAGTCAGTGTCCCGTCCATACACAGCTGCCCGGTACAGCAGAAACTCCAGCATTCGGATCTCTCGCGGGGTCACTTTGTGGAAACTGATCGGCAACTTGCTGCAACACATCATACCCTGAAACAACCGGGAGATTCAATGAGCCTGTATTGTATTCCGTGTGTGTCTACTTAACAAGAATGGTGGCCAAACGTTGAAGACAATAAACCAAAGGTTATGAGATTCCTGTCATAATGAAGGTCGAATATCACTCCAGGGATGTACTATTCTATAGTCGCAGCTTTGCCCTAAAATGGGTGTATAGCACATCTTGATGGAACTGACCAGTGATATTTCTTAACTGATGGTATTATAAGTGTTGTTTACACTGTTGGTTCGAGGGGCGTTCAATAAGTTTTGCAACTTGGGCATTGTGTTTACACAAACAATGTCAACTTGTGGCAGGTGTGACACTAGTCGTAACATCAGGTTGATACTTGTCATAACAAGTTCCAGATACAACAATAAGTTAGATTTGATGGCTTCATTCACCTATGGGTGGTCACAGTCATGGATTCTCTCAAACATGAACAAAGCGCTGTAATAAAGTTCCTTACATGCTCCGGTTCACAAGTCGAGAATTGCACAGGCCGCCATATTTGAATGTGGATTCGAAAAGTTAAATCACCCACCCTACAGCTCAGACTTAGCCCCCAGTGACTATTTCCTGTTTCGGCAAATAAAATCTGCCCTACGTGGCAGACGCTTCCAGGATGACGAGGACATAAAGGCTGCCACAGGGGAATGGTTAGAGGGCCAATCTGCGGATTTCTATAAAAGTGGTATTAAAAGCTTGAAGGACAAATGGAATTAGTGTATTGAGGTGAATGGAGATTTTATTGAAAAATAAAAGTGCAAAAGATATTCTGCGACTTGCAAAGCTTATTGAACGCCCCTCGTATGTCAGCGAAGTCATCTGTTTATATGGCGTACCACACTGCAAAGTCCATAGGTTACCGTATAGGTGATGGTTTAATAGCTTGTGCAAGAAATGTAGGAATAGGATTGTGTGTTCTTTAAACAATAAATACTTATATAGCTAAGGTAGATGTAAGCGAACACTTAAACTGATGCGCAAAGTTAAGCCATTCATCTTATGTTGGTCAAGAAACTAGAATCTAGAACAACGCTAATCAAAGACTTATTCCAGACGGTGAAACAAGTGGTCCAGTGGTCTAAGTTCCCGCAGTTAGTTGCATCAGGATCCGCTGATCCTTAAACCTAACTATACGCCTGAGTATGATGCTTGGTTTGACAACGCCCTTGCCGTCAAGTCTTTGAATGGCATTTAGTTGTGAAATAAATGCTATGAGAAAAATCCTCATAGCATTTAATCACCTGTTGAAGGAGTAAGCATAAACTCAGATACGTTGCGTTCCTCATAATAAAGAAGTTTAAATGCATAACTTCTCTTCTATTACCGGGGGGCGCGATTCGCTGTGCAGAGTTGCCTCCCTTGGGCACGCCAGAAACCTATGATTGTGAGTTTGAATCCCGGTTCAACTCGATTATGTTTCTAGGTTTGTCAGCACCATACCCGTGCTCGTGGGTTTCACCAAAGTGGTAAACGTCTGAGACCTCCATCCCTTCGGGCTATCCACCCTCATTAAGCTGACACGCGGCGATATAACTTGAATACTGTTAAAAGCGGCGTTAAACCCAACTCACTCACTCACTCCATTACCGTGATCTTTAGTTTAACAAAAAGTGATATACATCCCTTGTTTTATCACTCCGGGCTTTCTTTCCTACATGAATGAAATAAAATACTATTCACATGGGTTTTAAACCCAACTCACTCTCTCAAGCACTTGACGTCTTACCGTTTTAGCTGGGTGCCGATCATACCGGTATAATTGCTTTGGTAGGTTCCCCATAATGTATTCCCCAAGGTTGAGGGGGTAAAAGGTCTCCCGACCAGTGTCGTCTAGAGAGTTATACGCAGGCACGCCGACCTTCTTTAGACATTTGCCCAACTCCACATCCTCATGGGTACCTCCCTTCCGGCACGCGCCCTGCAACAGCGGGACATAAAGTGTGGTCAAGTATATATGACGTCACTTACACACATGACGCTGTTCGAAGCTACGTAAAATCAAACTCACACAATCACACAGTGGTAGCTAAATCGTTTATTCCTGAGGGGATACATATTTGTATTTCTGTTAGAACAAACGGAAGTCTAAACAAAATGGAAGCGACCATTTGAAACCCCTCAAACACATGAACGATTGTAAATTTACATTGATAATGTTCGCGAAACTGGTCGTTTAGCACATGGATGGTAATAGTGCGTCAGCTAAAATACTATACCGCCGTCATATTAAATTTGCTAACGGCATCCAAATATTCGAGATAACGATGATTTTGTCAATAAATGATTGGAAAAGTTCCGCGGAAAATAGAACTTTGACCATTTCCATTCTGGGTTATCCAAACACAATTTTAGATATCTCCTTGTGTATGTTTTATATAATAATAAATAGGTATTAAGAATAACTGGTATTCCATAATTATTATGAGATCAAGAATGATCACCCTGTCCATTTTTCCATATATTAGCGTTGACATACTTGTTGCATATAGGTTGTTTTTTTATGACAATACAAACATATTAACCATGCATGCTCCTGCAGAGGAACACACCGCCCGGTGTCTACACAGACAAATACACACACACACACACACACACACACACACACACACACACACACACACACACACACACACACACACACACACACACACACACACACACACACAACACAAAAACACACACACACACACACACACAAAACACAAAAACACACACAAAACACAAAAACACACACACACACACACACACACAAACAAAAACACACAAAAACAAAAACACACACACAAAAACAAAAACACACACAAAAACACACACAAAAAAAACACACACACAAACACACAAACAAACACACACACACACACAAACAAACACATACAAACACACACATACTCGTATATATCAATGTCTATATCTATATCTTTATCTATCTATCTATCTATCTATCTATCTATCTATATATATATATATATATATTAGCGTTGATATATATCTATATCTATATCTATCTATCTATCTATCTATCTATATATATATTAGCGTTGAGATTGAGATATATATATATATATATATATATATATATATATATATATATATATATATATATATATATATTCTGTCCAAAGTCTTTGAATGGTTGGGGGAAGGTATACCATTACGGGATAAAGTGAGGGTGTTAGATCTCGTCACGATGGCGAACACCTTAGTCTGTCATACAGACATTGAATCAATTATATATCCAATACAGCCCATTGCAAGTCTAGATATCTTTGAAAATGAAGAAAGTCTCTGGATTCCTTTTTATAATATTTTATAACTTTAATTTAACAACTCGGGTTTTATTCTGAAAAATATGGTCATTTGAGAGACTAGATATTAGTCTAGCAAACACCTATTACGTTGGATATGAACAAGATCTGTTTTGAGATGGCCCCCCTGTATCATGACAACTCCTGTACAGAATATGTCGACTTGCAGATAAACCCGGATCCGCCCATCGCTACTTTGAAGAAGGGAAGCGGATTCATTACTCAACCAAACGCTACGCCATAGTTTACGAAGCCACTGAAATGCTGAAGTCGATGAAGTTCAGGTAAAATAGAAATAGTATGTTTTTGTGTTAAAGTTAGGCCAGTGCAGATGTGGAACGTACACCAGGAATTGTGTTGCAGTGTTCGGGGAGTGGGTGTCCTGTTTCGAGGGACCAGGATATGAAGGAGGGTGGGACGTTGTGGTGATGCGGATCCCTCAGATACGGCACCACGATCACTCGTGGGTTCATGTTGGCGATATCGTGCTTAAAGTCAGGAAATTGTGCTCTGGGCAACGTTCTCATTACACATTATAAATAAAGGTCACCTCTTAATCCGCAGTTTCAAACAAATACAAGGGTTGTGAAAAGGTTCTTAGCCTGACTAACTCTCAACAATGGGCCATAACAAAGTGAACTAGTCAATGTAGTACATTGTTTGAGTAGTTCATTGCAAGTGTATTTAGTCTGTTGAGGCCGTTTGTGTATTAGTGACAGCCAGTTGAACGTGACAGGGACACAGATTGGGAAAGAGGCATGACTAACCTCCACATTGTAGCCTTCTTCCACTAATCTGCGCACAGCCTGACGGCTGAGGACGTACCCCGCGCCACCACTCATGTACCCTGGGTTGACGAACATCTTAAACAGGTGTCCAAGGTACACCGCCTCGTCCTGGCTGAAGAACGATAGTAGGTATTTCAGGTTCTCCATGACAATAAATGTGTCGTCATCTGCCTTCAAGAACCAATCATAATCAGTCAAATAGTGTTGATAGATGTATTTGATTGCTGCTATTGTCTTTTTAGCTAGGCGTTTCCGACCGTCTTTGATGTTGAAGTCGACTATTGAATGTCCAGGGGTGGTGACGTTTGTTGTCATGATGAAGATCTTGTTGTCACATCGTCTCGCCCAAGTCTCATTCACAGCAGGGATTTTGTCTTGCAGTGCTTTTTCTTGTGTGGTTATCCAACAAAAGACCCGGATATGTGATTTAGTGTGGATGTCTTTAGGTTCATCGTCTGCTGGAACAGTAAGCGGGTTACGGGTTGGTGAATATGGCTACTGCCCACTTGCAAACGACATACAGTGAGAAATGTTTATGCAGAATATAGATCAGAATAATACAGTTTTGCGACATAGTGAAACAAATTAACAGCTCATCCGCGATGGTTAATATACCGAAGGTCGGAAGGTGGTACACGGACATTCAACTGGTACGAATCCTGTAGACCCCACCAGTGCCACATGTTCGATTATCAGTACTGGTTCAAAAGACTTTTTACTGGGGAATGACTTTTGTATGACAATATTAGATTTTTGTGGAGTGCGAACTGCGTCATCATGAGCTGCTAGTGACGTCATATAAACTTATGACGTTATGTCGGTATGATGCCTTTACGGACCAACAGCCGACTTTGGATATCATAACCCTTAAACTAGCCAATCAGATAGCTTACATTTCTTACCAATAATAATAAGACCAGTAATGAGCAACTGGTCAATCAAACAGCATCGTTGTCTCTCGATGAAGGGTTCTTTTTCTATAAGACACTACATCAAGCACATACATGTATCTGCGTCTGTTGTTGATTGTAGTCACTCTCAAGGACATTGCATTTTTTATCCAACACAATATCTTTATAAGCTTTAAACAAGCCTCACGTACCTCTGTGTGCGTGTCGCACGTTTCGCCATGGCTCCGAACCTTTGAAACCTGAAGAAAGAAAGCAATGATTTCGAGTAGTCATATAGAATAAAGCCATCAACACATTACACAAGGCTATTAGACGGTTAATTGATTTACAGATTTAATGAAAGGTATCTAAGTATCCATAAAAATTACAGAAATGCATCTGTTTCTCCAGACAGCTGTTCCTCGTGATCTGGTTTCATAGATAGTGATTAATGTACATACGTGTTTGTAAAAACAGATTAGAGTGCTCGACTTGTCCGCTTCAATTCCATATCATGATTTCTACCATGTGTTCCCGTGTTTGTTTGTTTTTCAGATGAATACTTGAATACTTGAATACTTGAATACTTGAATACTTGGATACTTGGATACTTGATTTGCCCTTGCCTGTGTTTGTGGCTGGTGCCACTGATTGGGCAGGAAACGCTCACTTTTTCGCGAACGCATGGAATGATCACTATTTGATACTTAAATACATGCTTATAATATAGTTCGAATCGTACAACGGATTCTGCTTTTAGTAGATATTTCTTTCTGTTTTTGTAGCTTTGATGTATCATTTTCATTTTATGTATTGAAACGAGAGTTCATTGTGTTGTATTCAGTCCCAAATTTGAACATCACATTCACTTTGCAAAATAAATATGCGCTACTTGTATTGCCAAAGAAAGGTCCCAGTAAAGCAGGAGTTAGGTGAGAGTGTTGGGTTTAACGCCGCTTTTAACATTATTCCAGTTATATCACGGCGTGTCAGCTATCATGGGTTTCTGGCGTGCCCAAGGGACGCAACTCATAGACGACTGGGCCATGTTATGATGACATGCTTCAACAATGTCTGATTACCGTTTGACATATTATATGTAAGGTATCAGCGAAAGGTCTTGTAAGTGTAAAACGTGTATCTAATACAAGTATGTTTGCCTTCGACAATAAAATCACAATCCTGAACACAAGCTGATTACATTTTACTCTACCCCGTGTGAGAAGCATGTTACACATCGATTATGAAGGTAACACGTGTTTCCAGTGATCGATATTCTGACCACATGAATATGTATGTCAGCTACCGAGCATATTCTCAGTACATCTACTTCCAATCATGGCAGTGTTATCCAGATCCATGTCTAGTCACATAACTTCAACTGCATATCGATATTTGAGATGTATATGCGTGTGCGTGTTCTTTCATAGGTATGGCATTGTCTTGTGTTTATTCAGTATCTTTCACCCACCCACTCGCTCGCTCGCATGAAGTCATAGGGAAAGTCGTCGGTCTTAGTGAGTACTTGTATGTATTTCCACATTAAGTCGAATACATGCACACATTAGTAGAACAGAAAGGGAAGCATTATTTTCATGGGCCCTGTCGAAAATAATATGGCCCAAGTCTCTCACTAATGGTGAAACCGTATATGTGTCCGTGGAGAGTTAAAAACGGCAAACCTTTCCGCGTGACACATCTCATTTCAATCAGTACCACAAACACAAACCTTAAACTGTTCATCCCCAGATACGGACTGGAAGAGGTTGCGGGGGTGGAAACGGATACCTATTAAACTATTCTTATCCCTACAATATCACACACCTCATGAGGCATATACAAACTTAATCAGTGGTTTAAACATGAATGTACACAAGTTTTTCATCATTTATTACAGATTAACAATATACTTACTAATGTGTTTACAAGCAACGCTCGATCCCCGTCCGCGTCATACGTTAAAAGATGGTACTTGTTGTTACGCTGTCTGGCGCTCGGTATTAAAGGGCTAAAACAAGGACTGGTCGGCTCGGAGTCAGTATACTGTGTCTGAGTGGGGTATTCATGTTAAACTGCGGCATGGTACCGGGAAAAACGTCATGTTGCAGCAGCAGTCGCATTGATGAAGCAAACATTGTAGGGGTATATTTATGATGGTACTACTACTACTACTACTACTACTACTACTACTACTGCCTAGTGGTAGAGCCTCCGCCCGGAGAGCTGGAGGTTCGGGATTCGATCCCCGGCCGGGTCATACCAAAAGACGTTAAAAGATGGTACTTGTTGTTACCCTGTCTGGCGCTCGGCATGTAGGGGCTAAAAAGTATTGGCCGTCTCGGAGTCAGTAAACTGTGTCTGAGTGGGGTATTCATGTTAAAGTGTGGCATGGTATCTCAGTGGGCTAGCACAATAAAATCGGCATCGGTCCGGACTAGTACGGGTACAAGCAGCCACACCCACACACGTGCGTGCGTCGCTATATAAGTGCAATAATCTTGGACGCGACGTTAAACCCAATTTCAACTCACCTTCACCTCACAAACAACGCACACCTACCTTTCCAGTGCAAAAGCTTGCCGGTGGTGAGAGCCAGATAGAGGAATACAAGATAGAAGGACACTAACACCAGCACGATGAAAGCCAACTTGACTTCCTTCATGAAGACACGTCATTCAAACGTACACGATGACGGCCTAATCCGGAGGTCTTCACTGTTAGAAATTAACACAGCGTTGCTGGAGGTCATTCGTGTTTTAGTTCGAAAGTGCTCAAATTATCCGATCCAGAACAAAATGCATCGAGTCATTTATTAACATGGGAGATTGATATAGTGTATGCTAATCAATACCATGGAGTCGTTGTACATTGTGGCAGTCAGCGTGCACGACGTACGCCAATACGCCAATAACACATGCTGCCATCCGTGCCTTATAACCTATAGTGTTCAGCAGCATTGTGTATATGATGTGGGAGACTTGCTAACAGATGTTCTTTGCTCCGCAATCTGGTGCCCATAGAAAGTGCCTGGATGCGATAGATTCCAAGTAGCCGGAAACTGGGACATGGTCTGTGTGTAATGATGGTAATCCTTAACTGATTACATTAAAAACAACTTGAGTTAGACACAAAAGTGGTTTTGATTGACCTGGATCAAACATGCTAGGACTGACAACTGGCCCGAGCCCAGTTCATATTTAACACTGCTTCAGCAATGTACTGGCATTCCATTAATGTCCGAAATATATGGTTTACGTGGACACCGTTAGTGAAATAAGTGCCATTGGATAATGGTGGTGAGGTGAAATTGGGTTTAACGTCGCGTCCAAGATTATTGCACTTATATAGCGACGTGCATGCACGTGTATGTGTGTGTGTGGCTGCTTGTACTAGTCCGGACTGATGCCAATTTATAGTGCTAGCTCACTGAGATACCATACCGCAGTTTAACATGAATACCCCACTCAGACACAGTATACTGACTCCGAGCCGACCAGTCCTTGTTTTAGCCCCTTAATGCCGAGCGCCAGACAGGGTAACAACAAGTACAATCTTTTAAGGTCTTTTTGTATGACGCGACCCGGGATCGAACCCTGGACCTTCCGCTCTCCGGGCGGACGCTCTACCACAAGACCACGGAGGCGGTCTCCATTGGATAATGGGGATTCCGTGGGTAAAATATATGGTATAGAGGGTATGATATTCCGTGGGTGAAACATATGGTTTACGTGAATTCCGTGAGTGAAATATATGGTTTATGTGGAATCCTTGGTTGAAATGTATGGTTGAGGGAGAACTCCGAGAATGACGTATAGGCTCACTCACTCACTCACTCACTCACTCACTCACTCACTCTCTCACTCACTCACTCACTCACTCACTCATGCGGCATGGCATCCAAGTGGGTTTTCACAATAATATAAAATGTCAATGCAAGAGAATAACCAGTCTTGATTATCCGCCGAAATAGATGTCCTTTGGTGTAAAGGGCGTAAAACCGCTAAAGGTTTCGATCATGACTAGGACAGGCACACACACACACACACACACACACACACACACACACACACACACACACACACACACACACACACACACACACACACACACACACACACACACACACACACACACACACACACACACACACACACACACACACACACACACACACACATGTACGTCGCTATGTAAGTACATGTAGAATGTTTAGGTGTGGGAGGCCAAAGCCTCATGTAGATTCCAGTTGTATACAGTAACACACAATTGAGGCAGTTACATTGAAAACAATACGTGTGTATAATATTTGTAATGTCTTTGTAAAAGAGCTGCCTTCACATGTCTATATTTCACACACACACACTCACACACATTCACACACACACTCACACTCTCTCACACACACACACATTCACACACATTCACACACACACACACACTCTCTCTCTCTCTCTCACACACACACTCACACACTCTCTCTCTCTCTCTCTCTCTCTCACACACACACACACACACACACACATACACACACACACACTACATATATGTGTGACTATTTGCTTTCGTTATATCTTGGGCGATAAGTTACAATTTAGTGTTATTTTTCTTCAAGAGCAGTATTTCGGATCAAACTGAACGAACATAGAAAGACGCTTGTTTATGAAATGCGTATTCACTCATGTTCCCGCCAAGGCATCAGATGGACAGGGATTGTATATACGAGGCATGTTGTGTCATTAAACATATATGGATCAATAAAATGACCAAATCCTTAATCTTATACAATCCTTTAAGGGACATTAAGGGACTAAAAAGTCGAGCTGGGTGGTGACACCAGGTGATGTGGGTGTCATGTGTGGAGGATACACGTGAAGCATGGTGGTGTGGGGTGTAGAGACACATACATATTTACTAAATAAAGATTGCTGAGCGTGTCAGACCATGACGGGTGTAACGATGAAATACCTATTTTCAGCGTTCATTGTACTCATACAGTGTCAACGAGGATGTTCGGGTATGTGAATTCTTGTATCCTAGTTTTAGATTTAACAAGCTTAACATTGGTTCTTAAAGACTGAATCAGAAATCAGTATTTGATAGAAATAAGCTGGAATCGTCATGTAATATGAAATAAGAAATGTGTGTACCATGTTTACCGGAAATGACTTCTGTTGTAATCCGAATTTAAATTACATTTTATATCTACATTGAGATATCGATTTACTTGAGGTGTGAAATATAAACTGTAATTGAAAAAAAAACACGTTGGTTCAATTTGAAAACACATTAGGAAACCTGAAATCTGAATTCGCGGAATGCAAAGGCATATAGATGATATATTCACCGTTTAACCGTTGGTATACGAAATATGAATAGTCAATTATTTCTTGATAATTATTTAATTTCTAAGGAAGAGAATATATGGATGTCAACTTCTTTATTATGAGGAACACAGCGTTTCGGAGTATATGCTTACTCCTTTATCAGGTAGTTTCTCATAATAAAGAAGTTTACATCCATATATTCTCTTCCTTATGTGAATCACTTCTAAATGCCTTTCAAAGACCTATCTAATTTCTATTACTGTAATGATATTTGTTTCATGTCAGTTCGTGATGATGATGATGATGATGAGGAGGAGGAGTACTAGTAGTAGTAGTAGAAGTTGTAGTAGTAGCAGCAGTAGTAGTAGCAGTAGTAGTAGTAGCAGCAGCTGCAGCAGTAATAGTAGTAGTAGAAGTAGTAGTAGTAGTAGTAGTAGTAGTAGTAGTAGTAGTAGTAGTTATATACTGTAGTAATAGAGAGGTGAGGTGAAATGGTGTTTGACGTCGCGTCCAAGATTATTGCACTTATATAGCGACGTGCATGCACGTGTGCTATTTGCTGGTTGTACTAGTCCGGACCGATGCCGATTTTATTGTGCTAGCCCACTGAGATACCATGCCACACTTTAACATGAATACCCCACTCAGACACAGTTTACTGACTCCGAGACGGCCAATCCTTTTTAGCCCCTTAATGCCGGGCGCCAGACAGGGTAACAACAAGTACCATCTTTTAACGTCTTTTGGTATGACCCGGCAGGGGATCGAATCCCGGACCTCCTGCTCTCCGGGCGGAGGCTCTACCAGTAGTAGTAGTAGTAGTAGTAGTAGTAGTAGTAGTAGTAGTAGTAGTACCATCATAAATATACCCCTACAATGTTTGCTTCATCAATGCGACTGCTGCTGCAACACGACGTTTTTCCCGGTACAGGTGCACCTGACGCCGGGCCCGTGCTGCTGACCGTCATCGACCACGGCGAGATCGTCAGGGATCATGTCAAAATAAAACCGGTATGTTTCGGGGTATTTCTAGTTCATGAAATGATATGCCACCTGGAGATGGTTTTATTAAAAAGACATTGTCGTAAACCGATCTCGTGATGTTTTATCATCACAGTATTTGTAAATAGTCCCATAATAGTATCAAGTAACACGACCTACACGGAAGATTGCTCATATCAGCGATAGCGTTGTTGTCTTCACAACCAATAGATAATAACCGTTAAAGAGAAAGCCTAGCGGGCCAAGAATCGGCTCGTCACATCGAAGATTAGAGTTCCAATGTGTGGGGGGCGGTCGGGTAGCCTTGTGGTTAAAGCGTTAGCTCGTCACGCCGTAGACCCGGGTTCGATTCCCGACATGGGTACAATGTGTGAAGCCCATTTCTGGTGTCCCCCGCCGTGATATTGCTGGAATATTGCTAAAAGCGGCGTAAAACCATACTCACTCACTCACTCCAATGTGTGAAGCTTAATCATTTCGTCCCCCGTCGTGATATGGCTAAAATACGGCTTAAAACCAAATTCACTCACTTATTATCATCTGGGGGTGGATGGGTGGTCTTGTGGTTAAAGAGTGGTCACACATGACACTCTACATGGGTACAATGTGCCGAAAGTGGCGAAAACGCCCCACTCACTCACTCACTCTTTCCCAACATTAACCCTCTCATTACTGATGTTTTGATATACTTGTGTCAACTGTTGTTTGTTTGTTGTTTAACTCCGCACCCAGCAATATTCCTGCTACGATTGTCTGTAATTAATAATCGAGCTTGACCCATACCAGTGACCAATCCTGTGATTACCATCACGCACAGCGATCTACGCAATTGGGAAACGATGACATGCATCATCAACCAAGTCAGCGAGACTGCCCGACCGATCCCGTTAGCTGCCTCTTACGACAAGCATGAACGCCTCTTACGGCAAGCATGGGTGGCTGAAGACCAATTCGAAACCGGATCATCACGGGTCGATTATGCATTTATGACTAAAGACTTAGTAAGGAAACTATTAGAGAATAGACCACCCGATTCCTTTAGTCGCCTCTCACGACAAGCATTGGTTGCTGAAGACTGGTTCTAACCCGGATCTTCACTTTGGGGGTTAAACTGTTGTTAATATGTAACTATTATACTATAATGATGTTTTAACATTCAATGCTATCTACACAAAGATGATATGCGTCAACACTGACTGTTAATTCCTCCAGATGTCAGGACGTGATCAGCTGGCAAAGTTTCAGTCGGGTCGACGTAAGTCAGAAATCATAGACCTAAAACCCCGTAAAACTCCGGGCCACACGAGACCTCTAGCCTTCACAGAGGACATACACCATGAGGGTAAGTCAATGTATGACGTGCTTCCGACAGGCTAACGACACCCACGAGGTGTGACCGCCATGTCCGACAGGGGGTCAGCCGCATTGACGTCCCCTAGGGCCACTTTAATCCTCAACTTTGACTTAGCGGGGATAATACTTACCTTGGGGGTTATTATAGTCCTATCAGTAAGTCATGTTGTTGTAATGGGAGGGCTTAATAGTAAGTGGAACACGGTGTATCCATAAAATGTGGCTACTTTGTAATGCGTTGATAAAGAAGGGCAGAAATCCTTGCTGATTGAAAAACGTGTTATACTCTTGCACAGAGAAAATGCAGAACACCGAAGCTTACCTAAATCTAAATCTGACAAAACAGATTAAACAATTACATTATTGTTTTAGAACGGTGACACTTTATAGCAGATATGGTAAAGTAGAAAGATTTATTCGCGATTCGCTTAATTTCCGGCGTTTACCTAAAACTAATAGGTCGCCTTCCTACGAAGACGCCAATGCAATAGCCTAATGGTGAAGGTGTTGGCTCGTCACGCCATAGCGCCGGGTTTGTGTCCTAGATGGGTAAACCCCATATTCAGTTGCTGTAGTATGGCTTCAATAATGATACAAGCGGCGTGTACCGCTACTCAGATCGGTGATACAGTAGCAGTGTATTGCATTATGGAACACGTATGTTTTGTTTTAAGCTGTTACCGTCATCGTTTCTTTATAACAGATTTCATGAAGAAACCGTTTCTTGGACACAGATCAAAGAGACAGGCGGTTGGGAACTTTCTTGTCGAGACCATCATCATTCTAGATTATCCAGTATTTCTGTTGTAAGAATGTTTTGACAAATCAAATCCCATTTGTTGATGTTTTCGAGATGTATCACCGCGGTGTGAAGTGGTCCGATCTATACCTTTACCTACCAGATACTTCAACTGTTGTACCCGTAGATACAGTAAATGTAACCGTGGATACAGTAAATGTAATAAAGCGTTACATAACATGATTATTTCTTCAAGTTGTTATTGTAGACTTTCACATTTCAACCGAATTTTAACTCTATTTCATTGTCCTTTGCATACCACTGTCTGTCAGATTGTTTCTTCTGTTGACAAGTCAGTGACCTTTAGTGCCACACAAGGATATACGCATGCGCACGTACGCACATGAAACCTTGGAAGTGCTGAGCTGGGCCCACTTGCTCAAAGCGATCTTAGCGCTACGACTATTGTACGCCTATGTGAAAGAATGGGAGTTCTTAGCTTAGCTCTTAGATCGCTTTGTGCAAGTTGGGTCATGCTACGATGACATTTTCCCCAAACATGTTTTTTCTTTCAAACAGCTGGAGTAGGAGGAACAGGAACGACAACGTCGCCACGAAGCAGGAGATGGTGGACTACTACGCCAACATCGTGGAAGCTGTAAGTAGGTCAGAGGTCACCAACACGACCTTGTCCTTGTGGCTTTTAACACCCGTCCACGCAAAACTTGTCGCTAAGTGCTTAATGTGTATAATGACGAACACCAAAAATGTAATCATTAGCGTCAATAATCTAAGTGGAGCATTGGTGCCAAAATTTCATATTTCAAGAACCACCAACAATTTCATTTTCCTATAATACGAACACCATTTCATCCAGGTTGTTCAATTATAGGAAATTGTTGCAGGAAATATTACAGGACGTGTCAGTTCCACAACTTGTGGCTGCCAATTCCGTATAAGTGACATATCAAATAATGCTACATATAATGCCAGCATATTACATGAGGAAGAATCTGCAATAACCATACATCAACTATCAACTTTTGACTTGACTCTAAAGCCTGAAGAAATATTAATTCCTCTTTTGTACTGGATTCCAAAGCTCCATAAAATCCATACATAGAGAGATATATTGCTTGGTCCAGCAAATGTACCACCAAATTCTTGTCTCAACAATTAACCATAATCCTTAATGCAATGAAGGAAGGACTTCCTTTATCTTTACAGAGAGTATTTGAGAAAAGTGGAGTTAATACCCTGTGGACTCTCAAAAACTCCAAGGATTTGCTTGACTTTTTACAATCTCAGAAAAGAAGCAGGCTCAATTCTGTCAAAACGTCTGATTTTTCAACTTTGTATGCCACTATCCCGCATGAAAAACTTAAGGGAAAACCTCATTCCTTGATCCATGGGGCTTTTATTACAAAACGTGGTGCCCATAGATACAGTTACATATCTATCTTCAGAGGTTCAGGTCAATTTGTGATAAACAAAAGCAAATGCCATCTGAAGTTTACTCAGAAAACAATGTGTGAAATGCTGGACTTCCTCATTGATAACAGGGGGCACGGGTGGCCCAGTCGTCTAAGGCGCCGCGATTCGCTGTGCAGAGTTGCGTCCCTGGACACGCCAGAAACCTATGATTGTGGGTTCGAATCCCGGTTCGCCCCGATTATGTTTCTAGGTTTGTCAGCACCATACCCGTGCTCGTGGGTTTCACCGAAGTGGTAAACGTCTGAGACCTGCATCACTTCGGGCTTTCCTCCCACATTAAGCTGACACGCTGCGATATAACTGGAATACTGTTAAAAGCGGCGTTAAACCCAACTCACTCACTCACTCATTGATAACATCTGTGTACAATGTGGGTGAATTCCAATTCTTGCTGATCTCTTTCTTGGTGCATATGAATCAGAATTTCTGCTCGGATTGGCAAAGTCAAAACAAAGTAATTTGGCCAAAAAAATTAACATTTAGCTTCAAGTATATCGGTGATCTGATATCGTTCAATAACCATCAAAAAGCCAATTCCCTTCCACTGATTTACACAACGGAACTAGCAATAAAGGAAGACCGTCTCATCAGTTTTATATTCAGATATTTGCATAATGATTCAGCATAATGATTGGCATGTAGAGAAAAACATGTGATTCTGCTGTTGTATTCTGATTCCATGAACGTCACTTATGTTGCAGGTAAACAGACGTTACGACAGTGTGACGTCACCCGGCTTCACCCTAGACATCGTTGTCAACGCCATCATAATAGCTGAGGTAGGATATAGAGATTACTACACGAGTGTCTGTCAAATATCATTTATATGGCGAATTGTTCCAAAGGGTAGGCGAAAGCAAGTTAAATGCGTTTTGAAAAAACAAGTCTTAAGCTAAATGGTACCTAACAGGCACGAGTGCAGTAACCTGTTTCTTACACACCCTAACATCGCACCGTTTTAGCATCGATTCGATGCATATTTTGTCAGTTCTCATAATCGCAGTGGCGCATTCATACATAACACAACGGTCATGATTGACTTCACCCGGCTTACTGCTTACTTCCCAAGCCTAGTGTCACGATCTCACACATATGCTTGAGACAAGTTATCTCAAATGGGTGTCTCACCCACAGGTGTGTTAGAAGTAAATGAACTGTCCATGTCTTGTAACAGTAATATCATTTAAACCAACATTCGCCACAAATAAACTAGTGTCCAAAAGAAACGATACCACCTGTTTGCAACGACATAAAAGAAAAACTAAACAATGCAGAAGTTTAGGATTGGTGTTATGCTTTTGAGAAATCCTTTCACAACATCTGTACAAAAATTTCATTTCAATAAAATCTGTACAACTAATATGACAAGCCTTTAAAGATGGGTGGGGTCGAAAAATGAACATTTCGTTAGAGCACTGATCACAGAAACAACGGGAAATGTCACACCACACGTCTCAAAGTCAAGTCAGTAGCGGGTATGCCCACCGTGAGCATCAATACATGTCAGAACACGCCTACGGACTGATGACGTCAAACGTCTGATGACGTTGGGAGTGATGCGTTGCCATTCCTCGAGGAGACATCGTTCCAAGTCCTGGACGTTGACTGGAGGCACACGGCGACGTCGGATTTGCCGATCGAGGTGGTCCCATAAGTGCTCGATGGGATTCATGTCCGGTGAACATGCGGGCCATGGCAAAACCTGTACGTTGGCGTTGGCAAGGAAGTTCTGTGTCAATCTTGCTGTGTCTGGCCTTGCATTGTCATGTTGGAAAAGGAGTCCACGAGGCTGTTGCTGAATAAAGGGCACCACAACAGGTCGTAGGATGTCATCAAGATAACGCTGTGCATTCAGGTTTCCACGAATTACGACAAGCATCGTTTTGACGTCACCACATATGCCACCCCAAACCATTAACCCTCCACCTCCAAACGGCCGGACCTGTTGGATACAGTTAGGCGCCAAACGTTCACCAAATCGTCGGTATACAAGCTGCCGTCCATCGTTTCTGAAGATGAGGAATCTGCTCTCATCAGAGAACATTACACGTGCCCAGTCCCACCGTTGCCAACGTCGAACTCGCCTGGCCCAGATCAGTCTGTTGTTCCGGTGTCGAGGCGTCAGGAGCGGTCCGCGGTAGGGATGACGTGGCCGGATACCATACTGCCGTAGTCTCCTGTAGACGGTCTGTCGACTGATCCTGTGTCCCAGTGCTGTAGCCGCCGTGGACGTCGCTGTTACGGTGCGGTTCCTCAGGTGTAATACCCGGATGTAACGATCTTCACAGGGCGTGGTTACTCGTGGTCTTCCACTCCTGGGCCTGTCTGACGTCTGACCTGTCTGACGTAACCGCTGCATCAACCTGGTGATAGTGATGCGTGCGCAGCCCAACCTTCTGGCGACGTCGACGTGTGACGCTCCTTGTTGGACCATTCCAACGGCTCTCTCTCTCTCGATGGCTGTCAAACGTGGCATATCTTGTGTTCTTTTTGTTGCTGTGATATCAACGTGTCTGATCAGCCGTTTTATACAGTTTTTCTGCACGTGCAGAACATGCTAGAGAGGGAAATGTCACTTTCACGAAATTTACGTTTTTTCCCGGAAGTGATCACGTGTTCCCGGTATTTTTTATCGACTATGCTGTGTTTGGGATGTGCAATACGAATTGGCATGTTTTCATACTAGACAATTCACTTAGTAAAAAACAATTTTGAAAATAAGTTGGTATAGTTTCTTTTGGACACTAGTTTAGTTTGTAAAATGAGTATTTTCATTCTGGGGTGAATTATGAAGATAAATAACAGCGATTTCATTTAAACATTTTCAAGAAATTCCGTACACACCTTCAACAACCACACAAACTCAAGATGGGTCCATTCATTCATCTGCTGTCCGACGTCGTGGTATGGACGAAACTGACTCAAAGCGACATCACTCATTCATTAACCTATTTTCAAGAATCTGTAATAAATACCAATATTTCTGTCAATGAATTACGGGTATACATGCTCTGGTACATTCATCAAACGTCGCTGTACAGAGTGGAGTCCCTTGGACATGCCAGGATCTGTGATCACGGGTTTGAATCTAAGATTCGCCCTGTTTATCATCCTTGGTTTGTCAGTATCATACCGGTGTAAGTTGCCAAAATCTAACACACATATACTCGATTATACGAGTATACCCGGGGTAGATTCGGGGGACTCCCCCCCCCCCCCCCCCCCCCCCCATTCCCCCAAATCTACCCCGGTGTGTGGTGACTTTCTTCCCACATCAAGCTGACATACCATGACATAACTGACAACACTGTTAAAACCGACGTTAAATCCTCACTCACTTACTGACTCACTCTTCACGCAGTGACAACAAGATAACAATTCATAAGAATAGGTTTATGTGATATAACCAATCAGATTGTTAAATCAACATTCAAAAGGGTAAAGTATGTTAGTTTGGCTTTATGCAAGAAATAGTTATTAAACAGGGTGCCGTTGTACAAAACATACTTAGCGCTACGACTGTCGTAAGTCTGTGTTAAGGTATGGGAGTTACGATCACCTTAGCGCTAAGATCGCTTTGTACAACGGCACCCAGATCCCCAGATTTTGGCCCCTGATTGATCTCCCTATCAGTGCATTATTTTGCTGGGAAAGATATGTTTGACTATTCCAAGAATCCCTTTATCACAAAGTGCTTATACAGTAAACTACGTTTAAAACGAACACGCTTATAACGAACCGACCGATATAACGAACTTATTTTTTAGTCCCGGCCATTTGTTGTAAATATGCTGTATATATGCTTATAACGAACTACGGTTATTACGAACTAAAATTAGTGGTCCCTTTGAGTTCGTTATAACCGTAGTTAACTGTTACGTGTTATCAACGGAGTAGTTGTGAAGCAGAGTATATGCACCGTGTTGTCGAGGAAGCGAAACGATAGAACCACGGTGCATTTTGTTCCAGAAGTTTGTTATCTATTGTTTTTTGTTATTCGGGACTCAGCGTACACAGTTTCAGAAAGGCGACGAGTGAAATGTAAGGAAAACTGCGTGAAGCCTGAAGATTAGACCCTAACCCTTTCATCTCCTGTAACTCTCCGGAGAAGTAAGAACAATGTTTGGTGCGCTTGTTTCACCGATAGAATTACTGACGCCAAGTTGGAATGTTAAATACATGTCGAGTTATGGGACCTTTCTGCTGACATTAATTTTTTGTTTTGTTTGTTTGGTTTAAATATGTTTTTTGTCAGACTTGTGGAGGCAGTTTAGGAGGCTGTTTCAATACCCGGGCTTGTTTCAATATGGAGGACAAGGTGTGAAGCCCATTTAGGTGGCGTTGACTATCGTAAAACCTCACAAACGCACCCAATCACTCACTCCAATCATGCTTCGTCACAGAACCCTCTCCAGTCGCCATGGACACAGAACCTGAACGTCAGTAACCGGATTGACGCAGACAGAGCACTGGACAGTCTGGAGGCGTTCTTGTTGATCACAGGCGGCGTTATAGCGGGGATTCCCTACGATCATACCTTCATTATTACAGGGTATTCATATTAACTTCACACCGACAATCCTACCTATTAACTCTCATTAACTTTGCATGTAACTAATGTGTTTTTAATTGACTTTATTTCTCTCATTGCCGTGGTTATAAATGACGTGAATGAATATTGTTTTACAACGTTTGTACAATTGGGCAGCTGTTCAGTGGAGCAGATGTAATTAATGGTGTGTTAAGTGATGCTTAAGAACAAGCAGCACATCGGTTCCGAACGTATATTAAGATGAAGCTTCTTTTATTGACATGAAGAAAATATGGACTATATATCACTATTAGGAATAGAAATTGAATTATTCCTTTAATTAGCATATTCCATTCTTGTTATTCCTAACATATGATATTTGCGATATTGAAACACATAAGGCTAATAATCCCTTTAACATATTTTGTCAATATTAAAATGATCGGAGTTTAATACATATACTAACGTAAATTACGAAAACGTAGGAATACGTGAGTGGATTTGCAGCCAGGTTTGTTTACATGGGCAGTTCCGTGAAAGCGCCATCTAGCCTTTCAGTGCTAGTCATGCAGTGTCCCAGCAGGTGGGCACCACATTGATGAACAAGGAGCTTAGAACATTATTTGAAACAAGTAGTTCCTGCAGATGACCTCATTGGCATATTTATCGGATCGGCCTACCGCATTGATAACACTATGCGTTACATGATACCGTAAGTTATTGAATTCATATAAACTTACGACTTGATATAGCTACCAGTAGAATGTTAGCGAAAATGGCGTTAAACAATATGTACTCACTCACTCATCGTGGAGATGGCATTTCCCTAGTCAACTCTATATGTAATCTCATATGGTCAACAAGTTGTCGGGGGCACGGGTGGCCCAGTCGTCTAAGGCGCCGGGATTCGCTGTGCGGAGTTGCGTCCCTTGGGCACGCCAGAAACCTATGATTGTGGGTTCGAATCCCGGTTCGCCCCGATTATGTTTCTAGGTTTGTCAGCACCATATCCGTGCTCGTGGGTTTCACCGAAGTTGTAAACGTCTGGGACCTGCATCACTTCGGGCTTTCCTCCCACATTAAGCTGACACGCCGTGATATAACTGGAATACTGTTAAAAGCGGCGCTAAACCCAACTCACTCACTCACTCAACCATTTGTCGGTGTGTGTCTATGACAACTATTACTGTTTCTGCTTCTGTTTCTATTTCTGTTTCAACTATTACTTGCCTTTGCATGTGTTTGTGATGGGTGCCATCGGTGTCACAGAGTACGCTCACCTTTTCGCTAACACCTGGTATCATCACTGTTTGATAGTGATTCCTAAACACATGCTCATGATATAGTCAGAACCATACAATCGACTTAGCTTTTGGCAGAGTTTTCTTATGAATATGGAAAGGGTTTTGTCACTTTTATTTATCTGCAGATACGATTTGGTTCGGGGCGAAAGCACATCCACGGCAGGTAAGAGAATGTTTTCTGTAAACTATCACAACACTACAGTACGCAGGTCTTCCACTGTCGTTGGGAAATGCATTAAGCTTTGTCACATATGTCATGTTTATGTGTGGATAGTAGAGTTGTCAATAACTTAAAGGTGGTTGGCGATAGGCTCGGGTCAATCGACAGTCATAACAAGTTTGATTTAAGTCTCTTAACATCAGTTTGATGTTTTCTCAAATCTTATGATGGGGCAGTTATTGTCAGGTCTAAGATGTAGATTCTGTTTCACATATTTAACTGTCAACATAGTATGGATATGGGTACCAGACAAAAGCACATTGTCTATGTTTATGGCTAAGCTACGTGGAGAATAGGTTGGTCAAGCAATGGGCATCAGAGTTGGTCATTCTGAATGAATATCAGTCGGGCAGTAAATACATTTTAGAAGTGTCAAGCAAACTATTACCAAAGAAGCTCACTGTTAAACACAAAGTACTGCAGTAACATGGGATTTTACAGACGCTGCCTTTATTACTCAAACGTACATTTAGTTTCAAGTTAAGCAGATGTTCCACTCGACCTGCACCCAACAACCTAGATTGTTCATTCCCTAAAACTGTGGATCAGTCTACCTTTACCTACATTCATCAGCGTTATATGTACGACATTTTTATACTGCTTCTCCACATAGGTATAGCCTCGTTCAGGGTGTGTAACGTCAGATCAGGCTCCATCTCGGAAGACATCAGGAGCGAGTCGACTGCTGGCATCATCGCCCACGAGATTGGGCATGCGTAAGTGCCTACTAGCTCAGTGGTTAAAACGTCCGCAAGTCACGCCGAAGATTTCGATGGTTACAATGATTGTTGTTTGTTTGTTGTTTAACGCCGCACTCAGCAATATTCCAGCTATATGACGGCGGTCTGTAAATAATAGAGTCTGGACCAGACAATCCAGTGATTGACATCATGAGCATTGATCCACGCAATTGGGATCAATCCCATACATCAACCAAGTCAGCGAGCCTGACCACCCGATCCTGTTAGTCGCCTCTTACAACAAGCATAGTCACCTCTTACGGGAAGCATGGGTTGCTGAAGACCTATTCTACCCCGGATCTTCACGGGTCGGTTATAATAAAGATGTAGGGACCATTCTTGGGTGTACCCTGTGGTGTAATTGCTACATAATGGGGCATAAAACGCTACGAGCATGTTCTCCATTTTTACATTATATTGTATTTGCACAGCGAAATTATCTTACCAACATGTTTTAAGGATACTTTCAAACATATACAAAATCGATAGAAGACAGCTGTTCGATTGAGCTGAAGTTAACTTGCGCTAATGTCACGTGACTTCCACTGACTCGGAAAAAGCGTGCGGCTTTTTGCTTTGAAGCGGGGTATATGGGATTTATTCTGCCTCTCAGAAATCCACGTTCAGACTTGCTCGTGGCGGGGTATAAGAGATTTATTCCACCGCTGAGAAATTTATTACGCTCCAATGCGGGATACACAGTTTATCAAGATCATGTGATCCAGTCAGGTCTCATCATTCTGACATGAAGGTGTGATAAACCAACAAATAATTTACCTATCAGTTTCATTGAACGATTAAACATCGCAATAATGAAGATTAAACATCTCCATAATGAAGATTAAATAAGCCATAGAGAACAGAAGATCTGGGACATTAGTGGCCATAAACATTATTCACTTACAGACATAGTCTTACTGTTGCTCCTGTCCACAGACTCTCTGCTCTTCACGACGGTGACGGCAACAGCTGTGACGGCACCGCCAAATTCATCATGGCCCCGTCCCTCGGTATTCCCCCACGGAGCCAGGCGTCCAACCCTTGGCTCTTCTCCACCTGTTCCATTGCCTACTTCAGAGTATTTTTGGCCAGGTAAACCTCATTGCAGTAGAGCAGGGTTATGATGCATCAAGGTGACTTAACGTCGCGTCCAAGATTATTGCACTCATATACAGACATGCATGTATACATCTTTTAACGTATATTTGGTATGACACGGCCGGGGATCGAAACCCGAACCTTCCGCTCTCCGGGCGGGCGCTCTACCACTACACCCCGGAGGTGGTCGAATGATGTATCAAACTATCGCTGAAACCGAATGAAACCGAAGCCTTAGGCATTTATTTGACTCTACAATTCCTCCATTTTGATATGTAATGTTACATGCTACTTGCTGCTATATGATCATATTTGTTATCTTAGTAATCTAATGGCGTTTACGTACTAATAAATGGCGCTTGAAAAGTTATAAGCAACAGACAGGATTCAATAAACATCATGTCGGTGTTTAGGATATTATGGTAAATACATGATACCCATTAAACACATTGCCTTCTGTTTTATTCACAGATCATCTGCATCCTGCACGCGAACCGTGACCGGAAGTCCACTGAACTTATCTCCCTTCCTCACTGAGCCGTTTGGTCAGAAGTACCCAGCCGATGTACAATGTGAGATATTTCTCGGAACTGGATCAAAGCTCTGTAGGGTAGGTATATACGCATGATAAAAAAAGATTGCAATTTGACATAAACATACGACTCAAAGCTCATTGCAGTTGACGTGCTGGTGTATCAGTTTGACAAAACTACAATCATTAACCTAGGAGCGATCTACTGCTTCTTATCAGCGCAAACACTCTTCAAGGTATGAAGCACCAGTATTGGCTTGTTCAGAATGTCCGTCGGGGTTGCAAGAGGTTCATCTCTCCCCTTTCTTTACATAGTGATCTCTGTTACAGGATCTGTATATGGGCGAGGAAAGGACATTTGACGACATGTGCAGGTCGATGTTCTGTGACGATCCAGGCTCTCGGTTCTGTTTCTCTATACCCGCTCACGATGGCACATCCTGTGGAAATAGAAAGGTTGAAAATCTTGCCGTCATTTTTTGTTCAGATTTCTAATTTGACACTGAAACTATTTTACTGTATTATATCTGAAACAAATATTGCATTCTTAGAGATCTCAACAAGTCTCACCATAATATATCATCACAGTTGATATGTAATTATTTATGGTTTTGCGTCGTGTTCGCAAAGTTTTCTTTAAAAAAGGTATCACAAAAAACATTTAGATATAAATAAAAATAGAGCGTTCAGAAATGATAATGGTGCAGTTAAGCGTACCTTTACCCAGATGACAAAAATACCGTACATGTGTCAATCATCGAGCATTGTGTTTGTTGCAGTGGTGTCAGTTAGGACAATGTGTCGTCTCGGGGGCCGCTCCTCCCACACCGGGTAAGTCCACTCCACTATAATACTGTCTGTCAATCAGTGGTATTTCTCATTAACCACCCACTTTGGTGAAAGAGTGTATCTTACAAAGAATGTTATCAACAAATATTAACATAAACTCAGAAAACGTGATAAAATATCGTCAACAAACACGAGTAAAGTCACTGTCTATCTGCAGCTAAAAACACATGTATATAACTAATAAATCGGATTTTGTTTCTCATGTAGATTACACTCGGATCTTTTAAAAAACGTTTGGCTATATATACGAATTTCATTGATATATTTAAATCTTTTTTTAAGTTATCGCTTTTGAAACTATCTGCAGTAGCTGTGAATCTCACAGAGGACGTGCCATCTGCCTTTTTTCGACTAGGAGATAATCATTTGAGGTTTCATATAGGAGAAGAAATTAAATTTGGAAGGAATAAATATCTTTCGAAGGCAATCTTTAATGGCTTGATGTGAAAGTAGCAAAAGGGTGACGTTGTCTCCACTTTCTAAAATATATTTTCAAATGTGTAGTTTGAAGTAGCGTGGTTACATTGATAACGGTTCATGCATATTTGATTGAAAAACTGACATATTAAACTTTCTCACTACAATTCGGCAAGACACTACACAATGCTTATTGCACTGAATTGGGTATGTTCTTCTTGTGGTTTCCATTGCCAAACCGACCATACATTTACTATCGCCGAAATTAAGAACACTTTCTTTTACTTCAAACTTAAAACCCCGAACGTTGATATAACCGCTATGACTATTTCCGAATCACCTGGTAAGGCCACATGTTTTTTCATTTCTGAAAGATAACCCTTTGTTAAATTGATGACATTGTTCCGATCAATAATCGTAGACTGTCTGTATATTTACAGAGAACTGCCCCGCTGGAGATGATCCGGATGTCCTGTGTAATGCCAATTCCTGCTCCACCCCGATCTTGAGGGACTTCCTATGCTGTGCAACATGTAATGGTATTGCCACCGAGACGCCAGTGCGCACGCGCGGTTTGACGTCAGCGTCCATCTTTGCTGTGACCAATGCCGCTTCTGCGCTCAACTCAAGAGGGCCTACAACAGCATCGATGATGCCACGGCCGACGATGATGTCAAGACAACCTCGTGGCAGAACAACAGTATCAATGTTTGAAAGACCAAGGATGAAAAAAACAACAGCGTCAATGTTTGACAGACCAAGGATGAAGAAGACCACTGCATCTGTATTTCACTTCAGAAGGCCAGGAAGAACCACGGCCTCCATGTTTCCTTGACTTGTTAGCATGGGATAATTTAATCTATTTTTACACTGAACTCTCCTTAAGTACTGGAGATCATCGATAATATCTGTTTGCAATGTTGGATAGTGCCGAGACATTCTGACATGACGATTAAGTTTGTTCGTCTCAAACGATAAATAGACATTATGGGGATCATGTTAACAAGGTGTAATGTCAAAACACAGTTGACATTTACCAGGTGTAATTCAGGAAAATATTTAAAGATAAAGGCTGCTCGAAGTGATTGTTTTAAAATATAGGTGTGGGATTTTTACAGCAAAGTTTTATTACTTTTGTTAGAACTATGGCTCGGCAGATCCGCTAACCAAAAAATTAAAACACCTTATTTGTTGTTTCTTCCGGTTAGTATTGACATGGAATCAGACAAGTGTCAAGAAAAGCTCGATGTTTAATAGAGGTTCCTGATCTTCTCAATTACAAAACTTGTGATTTTACACACACACACACACACACACACACACACACACACACACACGCACACGCACGCACGCACGCACTTAGCCCAGGGTTAATGTTCAAGGAAAGTAATGTTACTTTTCACAATGACACCCGTAATTATTGTTGTAGGCTGATTTCATTGTGCACGTAAATAAAGAGAATAATCATAGATAAGTAATTGTTTGTTTACTCTGTTTTTGGAATACATGTACCTTTCGTATATTGCTACAACACTCATTCATTCATTGTGACACGTGTACAGATAAACTAGAGCTGTATTCAAGGATGGTTACGATGGTTACGTACATCCATGATGTAAGATCAATATGATTGATACATAAGATCAAGTGTTTTCCTCAACTTTCTCCAATGCGGTTTGCCTAATGTCAGGGGACCATTGCTTACCATGTCAGCAATCTCATAAAGAAAGAAAACTGTGGGACTTTGAAAGAGAGTTCAGACCAAGTAATTTATAAAAGGTGAATGTAACACCCTTGCCAAACATGAGTCACAGACACTTAATTAATTAGATACATGCAATCCTGGCAGTCTTCCATTCCATTTCATTGCCTGCAAAATTGGGCCCCAAATGACCATGATCTGTTGTCTTTATTCAAAATTATCCTTGCTAATTTCGCATGAGGGTCGAGGCTGAAATGTGTTTTGAGCGTAAGGTGAAATAAAATGATGCGTTTTTCATACCCATTTTCGAAGACATTTGGCATTATCTTATGTTGGAAAACGCATGCCACGTTTTGGAAGGTTGGTCAAAGTTGAGACTGCATGCTTTTAGAACTTTTTAGGGAATGGTCAAAGTGTAAAATCGATACATTTTAATTCAACGAATAAAGAAAGCCCTATTACATATAATCCAGATTACAGATTAAAAGGAGAAGCGAATGCCTAGAAAGCTATTTTCAGTACTTACGCGATGGCCATATTTAAAGAAAAAACGGATTTAAACTTTTGAACTGAATGTTAACGTGCACGTTTGTGGAGTCCTTAAGCTTACATGTATGTGACCACGTGACACCTGTTGAGTACGCACTGCTTCTCACAGCATGCTGGCACTGCATTGTTTGCGGTATGATCTATATAACACGTTTCATCTGTGTTTGGTCACCAGTTTATGAGACAATACTGTCTCATGTGACCAGCTCATTTTGCACATGTCTGTTCTGATCAAATCATTTTGTAGGAGACACATATCTGTATGAATTTATCCAAGGGTCGCTTCAACATGCAACTTATAACAAATACTGAAATCAAGTGGCATCAATGTTAGTTCAATCTTGACTGGACTACGTGACTCACACAATCAGTGATATGTAAACAGCGTACACAACCTTTCACACCTAATCGTGCAGTGTTGTATTGTAGGTTTCATGGCTACAGTGGTACAAGTGTTTGGTTTCAGAACGAGATGAAACTTTATCGGCGTGACAGCATATAGGCAGCTTCTAGTGGTAGAGCGTCCGCCCGGAAAGCGGAAGGTCCGGGGTTTTCTCCCCGGCCGCGTCATACCAAAAGAGGTTAAAAGATGGTACTTGTTTTTACCCTGTCTGGCGCTCGGCATTAAGGGGCTAAAACAAGGCTGTCGGCTCGGAGTCAGTATACTGTGTGTGAGTGGGGTATTCATGTTAAACTGCGACATGGTATCTCAGTGAGCTAGCACTATAAATCGGCATCAGTCCGGACTAGTACAAGCAGCCACACACACACACACACACACACACACACACACACACACACACACACACACACACACACTCACATAGTCGACAAAACGTTGTGAATAAACATTATCCTCACTTCTATCCAGGTTATTCCCTGTAGGCAATTCACTCCAAAATTAAATACAAATTAATCTGGGACGTCACTGAATGTTGGCTTTTGGTGATTTATAATAGGATAAAAAAAGTTCATAACTGGTCGTCACATCTTACATATAACTATATACTGCAGATTCAAAGATATTTCGGGTGGTGGGATAGTCAAGTGGTTAAAGTGTTCGTTAGCCATGCCGAAGGTCCGTGTTCGATTCCCCACATGGGTACAATGTGTAAGCCAGTTTCTGATGTCTGACTCGTGATATCGCTGGGATATGGTTAAAAGAGGCATAAAAACCTACTCACTCATTTAGATACATGTACTTACATTTCAATGTATATTAAATCATCAGGGTTTATTTCATGTTGAAAATACACGCGGTAGCTAGTTGGACGATACATTATAGAAAGGGGCCTTTAACAAGATTGAAATGTAAAAGTACAACAATGTATGACTTTAACTGTAATGTAAATATAGAGCCTAGATCATACCATGGGTTTCTAAAGAAAGGGCAAGGTTATCACGACCCTGCCTATTTATTTCAATTTCCCGATAGGGTTACATGGTAGCAAATAACTGCAATCACCTGAGGGAGGCCTAGGTCGCCCCGTGGGGAATGATGACGAAGATATTAACATTGAGTCAGTCGTGTCGGCCACACTTGTCACAGTCCTGAGACTTCAAGCAGTGCAAATCCCTGGACCGTCATCTGACGATGCAGGAATAAGTTTAGGACTGTGATATTTTAACCATTTTGAGTTGTATCCAAACTGTTTCTTTCCTAACGGACTCGGACTTCTGATATTACGCCGTAAGTCCTTGGTTTATTTGCTTGGTGTGTGCTACATTCGCGGAGGATTTGTACCTGTTTTTCTCTGTTCTGCATTGCGTGACTCAAAGTCACCACGATGTTGAGATACAGTAACTCGACGGCAGCAGAACAATTTCGAACGGCCATCGCCGACCGGGCCCGTGTGCATCCCTATCAGAAGACTGTATGGGTAGCCACCCCGAGGAATGAGATCGACAAGCCAACGGCCATCGCCGACCGGGACCGAGTGCTTCCCTATGAGAAGCCTGTTTGGGTGACCACCCCGAGACATGAGATCGTCAAGCCAACACGCCAAATAGACCCCATGGTTAGAAAAAGACGACGAAGTTGGTCCTGCCGGAAGTTGTCCGATTTGGAGATAGCTGGAATTATATTCGCGTTGATTGGTCTGACAATCCATATTGTCAGCATGGTAACGGATTCCTGGGCATCACACAAGATACAGTACAATACTAGTGATTATGAGTATGCTGGTATCTTCCCTCAGAACCAAACTCTGTATGGCTGCCTTCCAAGTATGTAAGACACAGAGGACGTCGTTTGTTTTTCCTGCTTTCTTTGGTATCAATGAAGTCCAAAAAATGGGTTTGGGGTTTTGTAACAGCGTGGATTTAGGGGACTGTACCGAAACCCCTTAGATATTATATACCACGCTATTTGTCTGGTCCAGGCTTAGTTATTAACCTCTAGCCGAAAATTAGATGGTTGTAGCATTCAACAACTTCACAAATCTAGTTTTACAATATCCGAAAGGGTGCATAACACACGCGTTATTTATGACTGAACAAGGAGCATTGGTTTTGTAATAACCCGGAACTGGTGTGATAAAGTTTATATCCCGTTATTTGACATTGTAAGTGATATGACCCTTCACCAGCTATATCCTGAACCAGGGAAGTGGGATTCCTTAATGTCCACATTTGGATACTGTGGAGAGAAATAAACGCAAACGTAACAATTCTAGTTTAACATACACCAATGGTAGACTGGGAGCTGTTCTATGTGTTCACAGTTGGGCCTGTAGGCGCCGCCACCATCGTCGCCCTGATCTATGGAGTGTCTGTCCCCGTCCTGTTCGTCATTTACACCACCTGCTGCTGGAGACGCTGGGGAGGGCGTTACCTGGAGTACGCCACTGCTGCAAACTGCTTCGTGGCAAGTACGTAGAGAATGCCGATAGACGCAAGATAGACCCCGTATATCCATAACCCAAGTATACTCATTACTCATTCCTATTTGCTTAGTATACCGCTACCCCAGTATATCCTATTACCCCAGTATACCACTTACCCCAGTATACCAACTGCCCGAGTATATCACTTACCCCAGTATACCACTTACCCCAGTATATCACTTACCCCACTATATCACTTACCCCTGTATATCACTTACCCCAGTATACCACTTACCCCAGTATACCACTGCCCCTGTATATCACTTACCCCAGTATATCGCTTACCCCAGTATACAAATTGCCCCAGTATACCACTTACCCCACTTAACTTTCCATTTGATTTAACGTAAAAGGATAAGCGTGCTGAAATGAAGTCTGTTTAAACTATCTGGACAGATATCTAGACTTACTTGGGATGGTCCGGTTGTGCCATCAGTGTCCCCTTCGAAGCTTATTTGGTCGTGAACTTTCTGTGGTATCTGACCTCGCTTTCGCTGGGTCAGCTGCCATAGAAAGTCCGCTGGTTTCGTAAAAATGGTATCTAACGAGAATGAGTGTAGTATTCTCTATATATCACTCACCCCAGTATACCACTTACCCCAGTATATCACTTACCCCAATATACCCCTTACCCCAGCATACGACCTTACCCCAGTAAACGACCTTACTACAGTATACCCCTACCAGGATAGGTATAACCCATGCACACTGTGGCAAGTTGTATTCTGTGTAAATGATAATAACGTGCTTATTTTCGAAAGAGGCATTCTTTTGTATTAACCATTAGTGTGGAGGAAACAATCTTCGAGCAGGCAGCATATTATGTATGGTTCTAGAAGGGAAAACACAAATCTGCAAGGGGTTATATAATTGATCTCGGTATTGTAAGTTTCAGAAAAGCTTGATAATGTACAAGCGCAATGACAAAAAAAGTCCAAATAATCTATATGAGGATTCCCAGAATGGAATCGTATTGTCAGATATTATCAGATTAAACATACCGACGTTTTTATTTTTAGATCATCCATTTATAATGTGTAGATCATCCAATAACGAAGTTTATGTTAAAACATCTGGAAATATAGAATGGGTGACGTTAACAGGAGGGCAAAGAAAGTATTCGCTTTGATTTGGCCAAAACGTTACAAACGTTATCAAAGAGTTACTAGACTGAAGGAGCGGTCGGGTAGCCTAGTGGTTAAAGCGTTCGCTCGTCACGCCGGAGACCCGGGTTCGATTCCCGACATGGGTACAATGTGTGAAGCCCATTTCTGGTGTCCCCCGCTGTGATATTGCTGGAATATTGCTAAAAGCGGCGTAAAACCATACATACTCACTCACTACTAAACTGAAAACAGATTCCGAAACACTGCAGACTTATCCAAAAGTCCAAAACACAACGTATGGTACCCGTATCAAATACATCACCATCGAATAACCATTTCTTGTTTGTTTCAATTTAAGCCACCGTCAAACAAGGGTGTATACTTTCTTTTGCCCGGCAGTGTATAACACGATGATAATGTTGCAGCGCTTGGAGTTCTCGCGGCTCTCCTGTTCGCGGGGCTGAGGCTCTGGGGATTCCCAAAGAGCGGCTTCCAGTTGGACTACAGCTACTACCTGGACATCGGTGCAGGGTTTGGTTTCCTTATTTCCGGAATCTTATTTCTTGCACACGTGTGTCTACAGTGGAATTGACACGGATGTCAGGAATTCTTCTGTGATGAGACGGAGGCTTGGAGTTTAGTGGAGTGACTACTGCAGATGGAACTTCCGGTTGAACAAATGTACCAATGCTAACTTTTCAAACTTTGTGACAACAAATGGCGACTACTTCTCATTTCGACATGTCAGTTTGTTTTCCCCTCCGTGTTAAACAGCAGGCTTAAACTGTCTTAATCCTCAGCAAGGGGCGACTTGACGAAATAAGAGGTTGAAAGGAAGCTATGGAGCAACATCCAAAGGCTTTAAAAATCAAAAGCAACACTTGAACAATAAAATTTCTTTTTCGTACTTGACACGAGTTATAATTGTTTATAAACACCTCGCGCAAGGACTTATGGGTACACAAAACCCGTGACGTTGATATCACAATATTAGCCTCGTTTTGAGAGTTAAGCGACACTAGCTCTGTGGCTATCTTTAACGCTGCTTTGAACATTATATCAGGTATGTCACCGCGTGTCAGCTTCATGTGGCAGGAACTACCACCGTGTAAAACTCTGTTCTGAGACTCTACCTTGGGCCGCATGCTTCCCCAAAGACACTGTCAGTCAAGTAACGTGCGAAGCTACACACACCTCTTTGAAGGCAACATTTTACATGCAAATCCGCTGAATTTGTCTTAAGTATATCCTGAATGATTGTTGACGCTTGACGTGTGAATTTGTTGCGATGCATACAACATAGTCATCCTCGGTATCTCCAGGGCTCACATTTCCGCAAGCCTACTACGTATAAGTATAGGATGACAACATAGTATAAGACATAAACTGTCAACGCCAGAGAATAATCAGTCCCGATTATCTCCAGAAACAGTTTCCACTGGGCTCAAAAGGCACCATGGTGGTGACAATTATATAAACATAAATGAAAGTCTGTGAAGGTTGGTTGGTTTGTTGATTAACGCCCCACTCAGCAATATTCCAGCTATATTACGGCGGTCTGTAAATAATCGAATCTGGACCAGACAATCCAGTGGTTAATATCATGAGCATCGATCCACGCAATTTGGGATCGATGACATTGCATCAACCAAGTCAGCGAGCCTGACAACCCGATCCTGCTAGTCGCCTCCTACGACAAGCATGGGTTGCTGAAGACCATTTCTACCCCACGGGTGGAAAGTCAGTGATAACACAATGTGTTCACGAAATAGAGTAAGCATGTCTTGTTCTACCGGTAGCACCTAAATGTTTGTTTCCTGCCTAATGCCGCGTAGCAGTACCACTACCATAAGTTCATAATCACACCTAGTCAAGGTCTTGGTGTTCCTTACTGGAAATATCATTAACATGAAGACACAGATGAAGGACATCACCCTGGGCGTCTTCTATTACGACCAAACTAGTTTACTGGGGACCACTTCTTTGTTGTGTAATGCCAAACTCACCAAAAGTCCAGCTACATGATGGCGGTCTGTAAATAATCAAGACTGGACCAGAGAATCCAGTGACTGATATCATGAGCATTGGTATACTAATTGGGAAACGCTGACATGCAGCAAGCCTGACCATCGATCCGGTTAGTCACCTCTTACCACAAGCATTAGTCGCCTTTTAGGGCAAGCATCGGTTGCTGAAGACCTATTCTACCCTGGATCTTCACAGGTGGGGGACCGGGACACCAACTCCATGAAGATCATAATAAGAATGGAATTGTCAAAGAATTGTCATTACATCTTCACTATCATTTCATAAGTTCCCTTGTTTTTTAGTCGGTAGTATAGCTGGAATATTGCTGAGTGCAATGTTAAACAACAAACAAACCATCAGGGGCCATACAGTGTGGTGTCCCTCACTGATAGTCGGTAGTATAGCTGGAATATTGCTGAGTGCAGTGTTAAACAACAAACCAACCATCAGGGGCCATACAGTGTGGTGTTCCTCACTGATAGTGTAAGATAAGTGATCAGCTGTACTTCATTGTACTTGAAGTACAACAATTGTGATTTAAGAACAATCAAGCAAACAATTTATAACAAAACTTTTTTTATTCAAGTTCATGGCTATCTCATATTATCATGATTATTGTAACTGTGCAATTAGATAAACTAAAACCAGAATATACCCAGTAACCAAGCCAAGAATACCAAATGTCTTTATTTCATCTAGGATTAACCTACCAAGCATTAATTGTACCATTAATCTCTAGTTGAAAACAAGCAAGTAATGTAACATTATTATCACTTATGACAATTATTCAACACTTTCTTTCACATAATCTTATTAGACATCAAAACTAATGTTCTTGTATTACATAAATCTTTGAAGGTTTAAATTTAAACATAAGTAATGGTGAAAAACATGATTGATAATTCTTCACAGGGAACAACTTTACTGGTGCAACATCATGGCCCATATTTTTACAAAGATAATAGCTGGGCTGTTGCAGGTTAAAAATAATAAAATGTAAAAGCAAAAAACAAAAATTGAATTGCTGTGCTGAAAAGGCAAATGTTTTGGGTTTGTTTTAACATGTACTTTTACATATACTTTTTATTTCAGGAACACTAGTCGGGACATGTACCCAAAATAACTACTGAAACTATTTTTTATGCCACCATAATCAATCCTACATCATGACATGCTTACCAAGAAGTTCATAAAATGATTTTACAGCTGATATTGGGAAGGGTCAATTATTCCTTTTGTTCATACTTCAATCAGTGAACATCCTGATATTGTTTTCTAAAGAATTAATAAAATACATTTTAGATTTGAATTTATTAATAATTTTCTTCATCCCACATATATAGCATATATATATAATAATATATCTCTACATGACTTCAACTGAGGTATCAAATTATGTATCACATACAATATCACTGCTTGGTATTTACAGAAAACAGGACAAATACTTGCAGACTTCCACAACCTGTCAGAAATCAAACATCAGTAAAATCAACAGGTACACCATAATCTACATGTATCAACAAAATTCTCTTTTCTGTCACAACTGCAGAAGCATTAACGATGAGGATGTAAACATTGTAGAGAGGAAAGCAACACAACAAGGTATGAACTGAAACATAATTACAAATAAGAGCGTTCAATAATTAATACTATAATAATTACAAAAGGAATTTGTTACACATATTTAGGCAATTTTGATTGGTCGAGAGCTCCCGAAAACTTGCACATACTGTATTTAAAAAACGCACAAAAACTTGCATTTATACATCATGAATGCATGTTTTTCCCAGAAGTGACAGAACTACTTTCGCAATGATGTCGACAATGTTTTAGTCTATAAATCGCTTGATGTCGGAAATTCCCCTTTAAAAAATTTGGATGAAAGTGTTAATAAATAAAGACAAACACTTTCTTTCTGACTATGCCATTTTATGCAATTTACTTTGATGTATGCACAAAAAATAAAAAATCAATTCTTAAATGCTAAATTAGTAGACAATAGATTGTGTAACTCTCGTGTTCTCTTTGTCAATAAGGAGTATACATGTACCATGGACCTGATTCCTTTAAAATCAACATACCGGTAAGTCATCTTCCCGAGGCAAGGGAGTTAACTGACTATAAAAGATCAGTTTCCACCCTTGCCAAACTAGGCTGGTGTTATGGAGTTAATTTTGGCTGGACTAACGAGTCTATGCATAGTCGAATCAAATTCAAGCAAGAAATCGAAATCCGGTTCGTAACTGTCATGCAGACTTTGGTCGATTGCAGGGTTTGCAAAGCATGTGCACTGCCAACTCTTTGTCTTTTCATGTTTTTAATCAAGATGCTCACATGATTTGATGCACTTATTTTCATTTTATCACAATATAGATCTTGATTATCGATCAGTTCGTCTTGACTGGTCGCTGCCATTTTGTTCAAAGCAAATGCAAGTGATACGAGAATTGGAATCTGATTGGTCGCCAGGAGAGGCATAAAAGGGACATGCCCGTGTCCATAAATAATTATCATCAATACTTATCATGGAGTAACAGTGAAGACAAGCTTAGAAACATAGGAAATGGTATCAAAAATAAGAGAAATCAAAACATTTAAAAAAGTGTCTCATCTCAGTGAAGGCCCAATAGTCCCAACCATGTTTGTCTCTCTCCAACGATGCCTCTCCAGGAGAGAATGTCAGTACAAAGTTCATGATGTACATTCACTGGGAATGGTACCATCTGTATTTACAGAGCTTCATGGTAGTCTGTTTTTCATTTGTCTCTCTACTTGTTCTCGAAAGGAAACAGCAGATGCCATGACAGCTTCTTCATGAAGACATGCACAGTAATCAGTGTTTCAAAATCAAACAAGTTCATTTGTGATGAGATCCACAATACAAAACTTGAAAACTCATCATTGTCATTTAAGGAGCTGTTTTCAATTGTAGAAGGGAATATAACTGAAAATACTTGTACTATACAAAATTTACAACAATGGCACAAGAACTGTCAGTAAATAGTATTTTGCAGTTGATATAGCATACCCTTCTTACACACAATATTGATACATGGCCATATGATATAAGTGAGTGAGATAATCTGGTTTAACGCAGCTTTGAAGAGTATTTCAGTTATATCACAGCATGTCAACTTAAAGTGGGAGGAAATCCCACGAGGAAAGTGATGAGGGTCTCAGACGTTTTCCACTTCATTACTGAAATCCACAAGCATCAAGCATGGGTATGGCACGGACAAGAAAGAGAATCAGGGCGAATCTGGGATCAAACCCAAGATGATAGGTTTCTGACCTGCCTAAGGGATACAACTCTCCACAACTAATAAATCGATTATTGAAATAATTAGGAAATATTTCAAAGTGCATTTTGTCATTGAGAGATGCTCAAATGAGTACCATGAAAACAGCCCCAACTCCACTCATTCATATCATCCTTAGACATGATGTTCCTGCATGTTTGCAGAATGCAAACGAAAACAATTGAATTTCACAAATATTACCCATAATTAACAAATACATAAGGCTAAAAAAAATAATAGTCTTAGTTCTCAGGCACCGTCTGCATTATTATAAAGTCTGCTGCACGTTTCCTTTTTATTTCCATTTTCCAAAAACATAATACTATTAATACAATCCTAATCCTAATAAAAATAATGCAATCCAATATAGCACGCAGTTACTTCCCTTTACATGGGCACTGTTCCACTGTACATCTTGTGTTATGGTCATGGACGCATATAGGAGTTTGTATGTTTGTTTATACATGTATAGGGAAGCCCTTTCCCAGGTTGATGGCACACAACTGTTTATTTGGTTACATACTAGTTTGAACAAGAAAAAAATAACACATCCACCCGCTCTATATTTTCAAAAGTCATTACCTGAGAACCAGTTCTTTTATTTTTTAAAGCCTAACCAACATGCAACATGGTCTTCCAGTCAAGACACATTTTGGCATATTCAACAGCATTGGAGGTTCTTGAAGAAACTTCTATTAATACTGTTAATAACATTAAAAGACACATATATATGTAAAGCAATGACACAGGCACAGTCATACCAACTACCCTGTGGATTTCAAAGGCTAGTATGGTGTGTTATCATCTTTGGATAATCGTCATGTGGTTTGGCTTGGAACATTTCATAAGACTAGTGAACAATATCATACATCATGATAAGAAGTGTCTGAAAGAATATATATCTCCCAATGACTATGGTAGGTTGAAAGATGTTCATAGACAACAAGTTGCAATAATGTGAGCAGATTCATTCTTTGGGATCAGTCATGGTAAAGTTTCACAGCGTATCAGTTCAGAAAAATTAAATACAACTAGCATCCATTCTGAACGTCAAGAAATTCTGAAATTTATAGGAAATTTCGAATACATTTCTTTTCAGTAAGATTCTGGTACACTGTACATTCACTGGGGCTAAATTTATTAAAATCAAATATTTATATTTACTTAGGTTTAGATAGAAACTACCCATACACTGAACTGTGTATTTGACTTAACAATGGAGTTAGCATTGTAAATATACAAACATGTTGTCACCTTCCAGATATACATGCAATGCTTTCTTTACAAAAACATTAAGAAAAAATTTATAAACATAGTTCAAGTTCCTAATTCATACATATTCTCAGTTATTAGCTCAGTAGTAAATACTTTGAGAATGAAACTCTTCAAAGATAAAGGTTTAATTAAACTAAGATCATCTTTGTCTGATATGTGTTTGAAACAATTAACAAAACAGTATTTTATGTTTGAGATCACGTTTGAGATCTGCGCACAAAGGCAGATTGAACATATCTCATTTTGGCACCGACAGCACTGAATTCTGGAGTTGCAGGAACTTCCTCCTTCTTCTTGCCCTTCAACATAGGTGGCGCTGTCTGAGGCCGCTGTATCTTGGGAAACTGCTGCTGGAACCATTCTTCATATTCCTCCACCGTCATCTCCACGACCTTCTCCCGGCAGAACTCAATGGCGGCAGAGATGTCGGGGCTGCAGAGTTCCCAGTCTCGCAGAGTCTCCAGGACCTTGAGGAACTTGTACACACTCTGCTTACTGGTGCTCTCAACCTAACAAACAGCAAACACACATTACTGGACTGCCAGTTCCTGCTGTGATCAACCTTTCTGCTGTGGTTGTTTGGTTGGTTTGTTGTTTAACGCCGCACTCAGCAATATTCCAGCTATATGACGGCGGTCTGTAAATAATCGAGTCTGGACCAGACAATCCAGTGATTAATATCATGAGCATCAATCCACGCAATTGGGTTGATGACATGCATCAACCAAGTCAGCGAGCCTGACCACCTGATCCCGTTAGTCGCCTTTTACAACAAGCATAGTCAGCTTTTACGGCAAGCATGGGTTGCTGAAGACCTATTCTACCCCGGAATCTTCACAGGTCTCTTTCTGCTGTGTTATCAATAAGTCAACCTATGGTTACAGAACTCAAAAATCATTTTTTTCTGTCTCAATTTAAACAAACAGCAAAAACACTTTACTGATCTTCCATGTATACATTACACTCAAACATCATCAATTTGTGGAACACAAATATGGTTCATCTGACAAAATTTGTTAACACTGCATCTATCACAGTCTGCATGTATGCCACTAAATAAGCTTATCCTAGGTTACTGGCTATCCCAAGACCTTAACATCAAAGAAGCTAAAAAATATCTACATGTGTACATGCAAGTTGTGCTCAATAATATTTTCCGAAAATCATAAGAATAGCTAAATAATTGAGGGCATATGATTGTGCATATGACACATGTCTATTGAAGAACAATACCATTTGTATACGTATTTTCTCTGATTTCTATCTTTGTAATAAATGTAAGTATTATCATTGTGACTATTAATGGTCTATTACATCTCATCAACGTGTTTCATAAATTACAATGAGAAGTGCAAAACAAGTGAGTCTCCCAAGGTGTTTATGGAGACTGTGCCTACTACTAAACTACATGAGTGACAGTGAAACAGGTTGTTAGTGCAACAAAACCAAGAAACCACAAGTGCACCTTAACAAAGTATGTTTGCCCGCATCACAAATGAGAACAAAATGATAATTTCATAATCCTACACTATTCACATCTATACACAACAAAAAGCAACCTTCACAATCATGTCAACTTCTTCAAACTAACACCTTTGGACATTGGCATTGAATGGGCATTTAAAGTTTGTTCTGTTTGTTAGTTGTTTAACTCAACACTCAAAAATATTCCAGTTATATGACAAAGGTCTGTACATAAGCGAGTCTGTGCCAGTCAATCGAGGGATTCACATCATGAGCATCGATCTTAGCAAGTCAGCGAGCCTGTCCACCCAATCATGTCCCCTCTTACGACAAGCATTCACTGTTGTATTTACCATAAATATGTGTTTAGGAAATTCAATATAAAATGTACTCTGTGAAGCATGATGTAGTCAACATGTTTTGTCGGCACGTATGCTTACTCTGAATATGGGAGGTTTGTTTGTTTGTTGTTTAACGCTGCACTTAGCAATATTCCAGCTATATGATGGCGGTCTGTAAATAATTATGTCTGGACAAAATCCAGTGATTCATATCATGAGCATAAATCTATGCAATAGGGATACGATGACATGCATCAGCCAAGTCAGCGAGCCTGACCACCTGATCCTGTTAGTCGCCTCTTACTACATGCATAGTCACCTTTTGGGGCAAGCATCGGTCGCTGAAGACCTATTCTCACCCGGATCTTCATGGGTGAATATGGGAGGTAAATATTAAAATATTTCTAAACTTAAGATAGAGATACTGAGCTATATCATATATTTTACATATTGTCACTGGTCACATATTGGCTGCTGTCATGACTGGTCACTATTAGATGTACTCAAGGTCTCACTGATCATGAAGATGATTTTGCAAATTAGGGACTTGGGCTTTAAACTGTGACATTTCTAAATTTACTCCACCATCCAAAATAGGGAGTTGGCTAATAGATGGGTCTATAACCATGACACTATTGTAATACTGCATTGATGAACTTCTGGTTCATTTTGCCCTAGTGTCAGATGAACATGACGTAGAAATGTATATTGCATTGTTGTAAATAAATATACCTCTGCCCATCATTAAATCCTATCCAAACTCTCCATTGGTAGGCAGATAGATACTTCTGTACAACAATACAATCATTCACGTCTATATGGACTATTTGGCTTTATGTCACGTTCATCTGATAATTAGACAAAAAACAAATAAGTTCTTCAAAGCCGTAGTACAGTAGAGTCAGGAGTATCATAAATGATTCCTACCAAATCAAACACACAAAGGGATTTGAAAAGTGGATGAACTTAATGATTGAAACAAATATATGTTAATATTCATATTGACAAACAACACAACATAACAGTGCTGTAAACGTAATGCTTCAGTCAGCTCCCTGACGTCTGTGGGTGACATGTTACCTGCTGGATGGGGGCCCTGGTGGACTTCCTCCTAACTCTAGGCTGCATTCAACAACAAGCATAGTGTATCACACACTCACTCTACGCTATATAGGTTCAGTACTTCAGCAAATCCCTACAAGCACCTCTCAACAGTCACTAGAGGGACTGAAGCTCACCTTTCATTATTCCACTTTAAGAATCATTGCAAATATAAGTGACAAAAAACATTTCCATAATCATAAAAAATCTGTTGTTAAGAGTCTGTTGTATAATTCTGATTATATCATGAGCATGTGTTTATGAATCATTATCAAATTGTAATGATAACCAGGTGTTTGTGAAATGGTCAGCGTACCCCGCCCCACCGTTGGTAAAGAATTGCTTCAACTATTAAGGATGGATGTACAAGTTGTTTCGTTTAACTCTTCTTTCCTTTTACACTTTAAAAATTTAACTTTGCAAGGTTAATGGTTAAATACTTAATTTTATTCAAATAATACCATTTGATATTGACACTTATTTCTCTGTTGAACCCTGTTCCACATCAGCAGTTGAAACTAGTCATGTGTTTCACTCTCCTCTGTGTTTACTGCTCATAACATATTTACAAAGACATCTATCCTAATCTATTCTAAACATACTTCATGAAATATATTATTGTGTTGAGGAACCCAAATGTTTGTAGCTTGTGTATTTTGGCATCAGATGCTGCCAAATATCACAGAACGGTCTACAGTTTCCTTTGTCTTAAATCTCCACTGCATTGATGATGGACAATGGCACACCCAGAAAGCTCATCTGTTGTACAGGTGACCAAAGCATCGTTTCTACAGCACACACAGCTCACACACTCTTCAGTGTTTAGGTTCTTCTAGTACACATATTAATGTTTTCAGAGGGACCTGTTTGGCTTAACTGACTGGTGATTACGATAAAAAAACTCTAACATAAGAATGGTCAAAGTGTAATGTTAAAATTAAATGCAAAATGATGTTGAAATACTGCTTAACATAAAAGAAAAATCATGTGCAAGATAAACTTGCACTTGGCCTTACTTGGCATTATTCACAATTGTGTTTAATAACAAAGAGATAGTACTCAGTGCAAGCATTTTCGTAAAATATGACTTCCTGAAAACTGAACAAAGAATAATCATTGCTATTCAACCATATACTGACTAAAAAAATCAAAACCTATTTGCACTGACTTTTACTGAGTAAAATTATCACTGCATGATGCTACTACATACTGACCACCCGATCACAACCCCCTGATTATGATAGTGAAACTAAAACCCTGAACACTGAAGTGTTTCTGGAGAGGATGTTTGCGCAGCAGCATGACATCAAACATGCAACAGATTGATTTATTCTCATATCAGGAACTATTCAAACACAAGCACTATGTGGCAGTGATTAGGAGCATACAAAATGCACAAATTAAGCTATTATAAATTGCTTAATATATTAGTAGATACATACATGTAAATTCATTTCTGAAATCTAGTAAAAGGATTGAAAAATGAAAGAATTTGTTTCAAAGTAGAAATGGTAAAAAATAAGAATATTAAGAAATCAAATGTTATTTGTAAATAAACAGCATACAAATATTACTGCATAAAGAAACAACATCAATTTTGAACATTATCCTCTTGCCTGGCAACATACTTACTGTACATAGACTAAGGGTGTGCCCTACCAAAAAGACAGCATTACTTCTTATACAAGGCTACCAAAGTTTATGACTTTGGATATACTCCATGATAAAAAATACAAGTTTATATCCAAAAGGATGATAAAAAAATAATAACAAAATGAAAAAACATTATATAGATATCAGTTTCAATACAAAAAATAATGCAGAAAAAGTTAGACATATGACAAGCAGCAAATAATATAAAATAAAGGCTTGTAAAATGTTTCCTTCAACAAAAGTCTAACATGCTCTCAAGTGCTTGAAGATGTGACAATGATTATTGTCCCAAAGCAATAAAAAAATAAAATTGATAAAAGCCAAAAAGATGAAAACTGGCAGAAAGGTACCAAAACCAAAAGAGAAGGTATGTAGAACCAGTGTTTGAAAAAAGTTAGAAGATATCCCAGAAGGAATAAATAAAAACATAAACTTTGACTTTTGACGTACAGAATCCAAATCCAATTGCACCTAATCAAAATAAAATGCTTTTAAGTTATGATCACAGAAACTTATAACTTAACAGATACTCAGTGTCATTATTGAAGGGTCATCTAAATATGTAGGGTGTCAAACATGAACATATGCCAACAACGTCAATTTGAGTATGTTGACAATGTGATGAACAGTATAAGAAGATGCCTACGGCACACTGTATTGGATGATTTTAAGATACTGGAAAAATGGTCGACTATTAAAATCAAAGAAAACTGCAAGGTTGAATGAGATGGAGAAAGTTTCCTAAAACACACGCCTGATTGCAACCAGTGGTTTAACCCATGCATGTCCAATGCATGACAAGTGACAGTCTAATTGGGTATAAAATTTGTCATTCCAGATGTAACTGAACTGCACTCTTGGAAGTTGAAAAAACAGCATTTCTTGAATACTTATATTTCTTATTATCCCTGTGACCCGTTAATAATGATGCTGAGTATACATCACACATTAGCAACATGACTGGTAGGAATCAATCATCATGTAATATGTACTTGTTATCACACATTCAATCAGTATCACATATTTATTAACTTTGAGAAAGTATTTTGAATATGTAAAGATACATGATCCTAAATACAAGAGAAAAGCTTTAATCCAGAAATTAAGAAAACTTAAATGAATAAAGATTTACCATCAATTCTTATGCTTTGTGCATACCAGAATTTGTTTTTCATAAAGCACAGAAACAAAATTAAAAATTCTGAGTTTAAAATTACATCAATACTATCAACATTTCACTTTAACAAATCGAGCATTGGTACTCGTACAATATGATCTACGAGGTCTGTTTAGATGCAGGAAATCAAAGGTATTTCAAATATTATTCAGTTGTGCCAACACTTAATACCATGCTTACACACCAAAACAAGAACTGAAGTCTTCAGAAAATCACACAGAATGGTTGAAGAAGAAAGTCAGAATACATGCAATTTGGGGAAATTTGTAAGCAAGAATTATCTTGTGAATGATTTACATATTCATATTACCACTGTATCAATATAATATCATAACTGACAGTGGTGCTTTTAATAACATAAGATGTAGGTACATCAACAATGGACAATGTACATACCATGCCGAATCTTTCCAGTTTAGCCAGGATTGTTTTATAGTACCACAGCCCTTCCCGTGCCTCCTCGGGTATACTGTCACGAAGTACTGTGAACCTTAAAGTACAGACAGGATTGTTTTATAGTACCACAGCCCTTCCTGCACCTCCTCGGGTATACTGTCACGAAGTACTGTGAACCTTAAAGTACAGACAGGATTGTTTTATAGTACCACAGCCCTTCCCGCACCTCCTCAGGTATACTGTCACGAAGTACTGTGAACCTTAAAGTACAGACAGGATTGTTTTATAGTACCACAGCCCATCCTGCACCTCCTCGGGTATACTGTCACGAAGTACTGTGAACCTTAAAGTACAGACAGGATTGTTTTATAGTACCACAGCCCATCCTGCACCTCCTCGGGTATACTGTCACGAAGTACTGTGAACCTTAAAGTACAGACAGGATTGTTTTATAGTACCACAGCCCTTCCTGCACCTCCTCGGGTATACTGTCACGAAGTACTGTGAACCTTAAAGTACAGACAGGATTGTTTTATAGTACCACAGGCCTTCCCGTGCCTCCTCGGGTATACTGTCACGAAGTACTGTGAACCTTAAAGTACAGACAGGATTGTTTTATAGTACCACAGGCCTTCCCGTGCCTCCTCGGGTATACTGTCATGAAGTACTGTGAACCTTAAAGTACAGACAGGATTGTTTTATAGTACCACAGCCCTTCCCGCACCTCCTCGGGTATACTGTCACGAAGTACTGTGAACCTTAAAGTACAGACAGGATTGTTTTATAGTACCACAGCCCTTCCCGCACCTCCTCAGGTATACTGTCACGAAGTACTGTGAACCTTAAAGTACAGACAGGATTGTTTCATAGTACCACAGCCCTTCCCGCACCTCCTCAGGTATACTGTCACGAAGTACTGTGAACCTTAAAGTACAGACAGGATTGTTTTATAGTACCACAGCCCTTCCCGTGCCTCCTCAGGTATACTGTCACGAAGTACTGTGAACCTTAAAGTACAGACAGGATTGTTTCATAGTACCACAGCCCTTCCCGCACCTCCTCAGGTATACTAGTACTGTAGGTTAGTTGTTGTTGTTGTTTTGTTGTTTAACGCCACACTCAGCAATATTCCAGCTAAATGACGGCGGTCTGTAAATAATAATGTCTGGACCAGACAGTCCAGTGATTGACATCATGAGCATCAAACCAAGTCAGCGTGCCTGACAACCCGATCCCATTAGTCACCTCTTACGACAGGCATTGTCGCCTCCTACAACAAGCATGGGTTGCTGAAGACCTATTCTACCCCGGATCTTCACAGGTGTCACATATTGCACACATGTGGGATTGAACCAGAATTTGAGGCAAGATGAGAGACTAGTTGAACAGTAGGCTATACCACCAACTAACATCAATAATAAACTTACTGACATGAAATACTGCTAATTGTATTTTTTGGTAGAGTTGTGATGTTTTTTTACCAATTTCTTTTTGTTGCCTTGTCCTTGTCTTTCTTCTGCTGTTCAGCCGGTCGGTGGAGGATTCGGTCCGTGGAGTCGCGCATATCTCGTAACGTGCGGTGGAAACTGTGACCTTCAGCTTTCAAACCCACCAGTTTACTGCTGCATTTCACCATTCTTTCCCTAACATACAAATGATATTCAGTTCATCATGTCCATGCTAAATCAGTTCATCTTAGCATTCCATATGAAGCATATTGCATAACTGTGTTGTCCAGTACACTGCAATCTTTATTTTATACATCATATTGCCATTCCTTGTCAAATGAGTGAGTGAATGCCAGTTATCAAATCATCAATGTTCCGGAAATAACGCCATCTGTGAATGACTACAGCCCAAAGGGACTCAGTCAGGGAGTACTCATAGGCGAATCCAGGAGGTGGTCCAGGGGGTCCAGACCTCCCCAACTCCCTTTTGAAAACCAAATGTAGCATGTTGTAGGCAGTAAAATTATCTGAGACAGGAATAAGATTTTGGACCCCTCTCTTTTCAAAATGCTGGATCCGCCCTTGGCATACTGGGGATTTATACTCAGGTATGTGCAATAGGTCAGACACGTGAAATGATCATTTGAGCAAGCTTTCAGAAAATCATTTTTCAATTAACTACGAGAGTTATATGAAGAGATAATAATCCACTTAAATGACAAGGAAAGTGACCTGGTAAGAAAAGGTTAACTCAGTACCTGTCCATCTGTTCCAGAATGTCATGAAGTGTTAAAGCTTTGTCCTCAAGAATCTCAGAAAACTTCTGTCTACTTTCAGTTGTCATGCCAGCATGACGGTTGCTGGGCAATGATGCCATGTATTCCAGGAGTTGTGGTGAACTGGAAAGAAAGTCACCGTGCTATGAATTGTTCTGACAACAGACACAGATAATGGTACACATCACCTTCAGCTCACAGAGCTGCATGGGGAATTTATATCAGCTCACCTCTTTGGTCGTATAAAATGCACGTCAGCTCTCAGCTCACGGGAAGCTTTCTTGTCTGGGCTGACATCGATTGTATCATGATCCTGCAAGCCAAAACAGATGTATTAAACAATCATTTCCAAGAATAACTCTGAACTGTGCCAATAGCATTGATTAATGCTTTGTCTCTGAAAATATATAATTTTGATAGACAGAAGCATCTAAATTGAAAAGGGGTGCTGCAGCTTGGGATCAAACCACCGACTTTCCACTCTGCGGGCAAACGCTTTATCCACTAGACCACGGAGGCGGGATACACACCCTGTAAGCTTGAAGGATACAGGGCTCGAGGTCATGGTTAAAACAGCTACCGATACCACAAACAGACCAGAATGAGGCTTTGGAATAGATATTTAAATTCAAATAAAGTAAATACATACCGTTCCTGGTCGCTCTGGAGATTTCAAAATCGATTTTCGTGATGTCCTGCCATCATGTTCAGATTTCCTAAAGTAAGACGTATATTTAATTCATAAAAACTCATCAAATAATAGAAAAAAATCCAATTTTGACAAACTGTTAAAAGGAAAACAGCTTCCATAAAAAGTATGTAAGCTGAGTTAAGTTTCGTTTCTCTTTTTGTAGAAGATTTTAAACATTACGTTTCCTGTCAAGTAATATTTATTCCCAGGTACTACAGCATGCAAGCATCGACTATACTAGTAGACATTCCTCCCTACAGCTGACCTGTCCTTGCCCCGGTCAGAGAGAGATGTCCGGACGTCGGACCGTCCAAGCATCGCCTCCTTCCTCTCCTCCTCCTGCTGAGACTCCCGCTTCAGACTCTCATAGTACTCGTCCAGAAACTTGAATATGCCTGCAACATGGACGAATATATATGGACTTATACAATCTTTGTACTGTGTGACATTTTCACCATCAAACAAACAACTTAATTTTTCATCATTAATTACAATGCATATATATCCACAGGTATCAGTTTATTTTAGAAATACAAATAATCTCTTGACAAGATTTGATTATGAGAGGTATCCAAGTTTTTGTATTTTCTTCAAAACAATATCTTCCAGACTGTATTTTTATCATATTTTATCACGGATTATCACTGTCTTTCCCTCCTATAAAAGTCATGAAACAAAAGAGCCAAAGAGCTATATCATAATTCACTCAAAAATGATTTGATATTGAAATATAAATATGATATTAATATTTTTATATGGAATTAAACATAACAGTATTAAACTGTGTCTGAAGACATAAGAAAACAGCTACGTCTATCAACAGTAATAAGAAAACAGTAAATCATATAAATATTCTATCAATGTTTTAGTTAAGTTGTATATTACCATATGGATGGAATACAGGGTTATGACTTTAAATAATCTCTTGTTTTAAACAAGCAGCAACTGTTAATTGCACAACTACATAAACTCTGAAGCCAAAACTCTCAGCTAAAACATACAATTTTAGTGACTAGAGTATAAGCAGTATATTAAATTGTTAACACACACACATTAATCTGGACGTGTATACATTACATGAGTTGAGGTAATGATAATAACTAGATATCTTTTCAACAGACAAATTGGGATTATAGGTATAGTATTATTCAGCCAGTATGTATTACAGAGACAGACAGGCTGGGAATACATGCATTGTTATTGCAGGCTTGCAAATGCCGACCCTGTTTTGCTACAGACATGCAACACATTATAACACATATTCCATATTTGGTACTTAGTAAATGAATTAGCAGCCTGACCTCAGCCTGACCTCCAGGTAATATCAGTATGATCATATGGTAAAGACTCAGGAAAGAACATCAGCCAATCATACGTCTACCGTAACACCTCAAGTTATTGTCTACTGGAGCATATATACATACATGCACCCACAACCGTAACACCTCAAGTTATTGTCTACTGTAGCATATATACATACATGCACCCACAACCATAACACCTCAAGTTATTGTCTACTGTAGAATATATATACACACATGCACCCACTACCGTAACACCTCAAGTTATGGTCTACTGTAGTATATATACATACATGCACCCACTACCGTAACACCTCAAGTTATTGTCTACTGTAGTATATATACATACATACATACATGCACCCACTACCGTAACACCTCAATGACAGTCTACTGCAGTATATACACACACATGCACTGTCTAGTGTAGCATGTCGAGTTATAGTCTTCTGTAGTATATAACACACATGCACCCACTACCGTAACACCTCAAGTTATTGTCTACTGTAGTATATAACACACATGCACCCACTACCGTAACACCTCAAGTTATTGTCTACTGTAGTATATAACACACATGCACCCACTACCGTAACACCTCAAGTTATTGTCTTCTGTAGTATATAACACACATGCACCCACTACCGTAACACCTCAAGTTATTGTCTACTGTAGTATATAACACACATGCACCCACTACCGTAACACCTCAAGTTATTGTCTACTGTAGTATATAACACACATGCACCCACTACCGTAACACCTCAAGTTATAGTCTTCTGTAGTATATAACACACATGCACCCACTACCGTAACACCTCAAGTTATTGTCTACTGTAGTATATATACATACATGCACCCACAACCGTAACACCTCAAGTTATTGTCTACTGTAGTATATAACACACATGCACCCACTACCGTAACACCTCAAGTTATTGTCTACTGTAGTATATAACACACATGCACCCACTACCGTAACACCTCAAGTTATAGTCTTCTGTAGTATATAACACACATGCACCCACTACCGTAACACCTCAAGTTATTGTCTACTGTAGTATATATACATACATGCACCCACTACCGTAACACCTCAAGTTATTGTCTACTGTAGTATATAACACACATGCACCCACTACCGTAACACCTCAAGTTATAGTCTTCTGTAGTATATAACACACATGCACCCACTACCGTAACACCTCAAGTTATTGTCTACTGTAGTATATATACATACATGCACCCACAACCGTAACACCTCAATGACAGTCTACTGCAGTTTAACACACACATGCACTGTCTATTGTAGCATGTCAAGTTATAGTCTTCTGTAGTGTATAACACACATGCACCCACTACCGTAACACCTCAAGTTATTGTCTACTGTAGTGTATAACACACATGCACCCACTACCGTAACACCTCAAGTTATTGTCTACTGTAGTATGTACACACACATAGATTGTCTAAACAAAAGCTGTACATCATTTACAATACCTGATGATTTTTCTGAAAAGACGTTGATGAAAACATTTAATCAAATCACTGGGTACAGGGTACAGGGTACAGTTATAGGGTCCAACACAGAATAAATACACAATCTGTTGTAATAATAGACTGCCACTATGTACTTTTACCAAAATACATCTCCACGTATACCATCACATATAATTTGTTTCAAGTCTCTGGTGTTTGTTGGTGTATAAGCACATAGACAGAATAGCAGCTGTAACTAATCCGATTCCTTGACGTTAAATCAGTTTTGTCAGATCCAATTATGTTGTTATCTACACGACAGAATGACTGTCACATGACCATTAAAAAAGATACCATGACAATGTCACAATATATCAAATCTATAATGTCACAAATCAATCATGTTATTGCAAATGCAACTCTTAAAGAAAACCTGAAATAATATTCTAAAAGGTGGGCATTATTGAACACATATGGTCATGTCTTTGAAAGGCATTTAGAAGCGATACACATAAGGTGAGTGAGTGAGTGAGTTGGGTTTAACGCAGCTTTTAACATTATTCCAGTTATATCACACTGTGTCAGCTTAATGTGGGAGGAAAGCCTGAAGTGATGCAGGTCTCAGACATTTACCACTTCGGTGAAACCCACGAGCACGGGTATGGTGCTGACAAACCTAGAAACATAATCGGGGCGAACCGGGATTCGAACCCACAATCATAGGTTTCTGGCGTGCCCAAGGGACGCAACTCTGCACAGCGAATTGCGGCGCCTTAGACGACTGGGCCACCCGTGCCCCCGATACACATAAGGAAGAGAATTTATGGATGTCAGCTTGAGTATTATGATGAACACACTGTTATGGAGTATATTCATTCACCTGATGAAGGAGGAAGTATATACCCCGAAACATTGTCTTCCTCATAATAAAGAAGTTGACATCCATATATTCTCTTCCACATATGGACCTGGTCAATAAAAGTACTATAAGGAACGGTGTATGTGCAGATTGACAAGGATGATCACAATTGCATGTACTGTTCATGGATGGGGGCATGGAGGTGCATAACCTAGGTGCTATTTTGCATATTCCGAAAAGAAACACTGTAAATCTTGAAAGTAACGCGAGCGAGAATAAAATGCAAGTCATCTTTGTTCACAGTGATTAAACTTCGCATTTATGTCTCCAAAATGACTATCAACAATAAGAGGGCATCATTTAACTCTCCAGTAGTTCAGACAGGTGCCACCCACACAACACTTCGTCAAAGGCTGACACGACCCAACGCGCACCGATAGGCTTCATCACACTCCTCAGATCTACAGCCTTTGTCTTGTCATCTGCCGTCAAGTTTGTCAATCAGTGAACTGTTGTTGGTTCAATTATGTTATTGCCTTAGAGCTTCTGTAATGCCAGTCAAGGGAATAAACAAATAAAAACATTGTGCTTTTTTTTAAAAAACACTGTTTATTGTTTTTACAGAGGTGCTCTACTCAACGCTAAAATTTGCTGTTAAGGTTAAGGTAAGGTAGGGTTAAGGTAAGGATATATATCATTCCATTGGGGATGGGGTGGGGGGAGTCGCATTGATATTGAGTCACATTTTTGGTTAGGGGTCGGCAGTCGTATTAATTTGGAGATGCATTAATTTCAAGATTTACAGTTTGCAAGAAATACTTGTTAAAAAACACAATGCTATACAGTTTCAGTCAGTAGTTTCACATTCCGCATTATAAATCGGCACATTGATCAAGTTGTTATCTTCTTCCTCCCTACTGATATCTGAACACGCCATCCTTTGATGAATGTTTTATATGTAACAATATGCACATCTTGTTCAAGTCACCATGTTGCTGAAATATTGCTGATACAAAATGTCATAATTTGGGATAGAGACCATATACGATCTCTGTTAGGGATTGGCTATACCAAAAATATTACGTAATTAATTCTTATGAAATTGTACCATCCAAACTGCCACATTTAATCTGGTACCTACTCTTGTTATAGGTAGCATCCTCCTCTTCAGGAATTGTTTCGGCACTCTCCTCCATGATCACATTATCCTGCAGGCCATGGTGCGGAAGCTGCCCCGAGCTCATGTTGAGCTGGGAGGTGCTGCTGCTAGGGCTGGCCGACATAGACGTGGATGCTGTCCGCGCGTACAGGTGGGTGCTGCGTCGCTGTAGTGACGCCCGGCTTTTTTGGGTGCTGACTCGTTTATGGGTCTGCGATGGGAAATATTACACTTGCAATTTGACAATAGTTCCATGTCCTTCTTCACAAGATTCATATCCAGGATACAGATCAGAAGTTAAAAATCATCAAGGAACAACTACAATGTAATTTATGCTAACGTTATGTTATCATAATACACAGCTTTAGGAATATTGAACTCTATATTCAATAGTGACCATATTGTTTTAATCAAAGTTTTGCTTGCTGCATCTTTGAATAGTCTTTCAATCATTGCACAGCATTTCAGTTCAATGTGTAAGGTGAGGTGAGGTGAGGTGAAATGGGGTTCAAAGTCGCATCTAAGTTTATTACACTTACATCGCGATGTTCATGCATGTGTGTGTGTGACTGCTTGTACCAGTCCAGACTGATGCCGATTTATAGTGCTAGCCCATTGAGATACCTTGCCGCAGTTTAACATGAATACCCCACTCAGACACAGTATACTGACTCTGAGCCAATCAGCCCTTGTTTTAGCCCCTTAACGCCGAGCACCAGACAGGGTAATAACAAGTAACATCTTTTGGTATTACACAGCCGGGGATCGAACCCTGGACCTTCCACTCTCCGGACACTCTACCACTAGACCACGGAGGCGGTCCAATGTGTAAGGAATATTAATTAGCCTCAAGGTGCGCAGGTTGCAGATGTTTACCAGACTGGAAGCCAGAAGTACAGGTATGGTCCAGGGAGACCACAGATCACAATCAGGGGAATCTCAGACTCAACCTATGATACACTGATCCTGACAAGGCTAGAGGGCGAGTGCGTGAGTATTGTTTTACGCCGCTTTTAGCAATATTCCAGCAATATCACGGAAGGGGACACCAGATATGGGCTTCACACATTGTATCGATGTGGGGAATCAGACCTTGGTCTACGGCATGATGAGCGAACACTTTAACCACAAGGCTACCCCACTGCCCTTTACAAGACCAAGGGACACAACTCTGCATCTCAAACTGGGCCTACTGTACCCCTGGTCAAGGGCATGAGGAAACCAAAACATATTTAGTGAACTTGCTTCAAATAACAACAGTTTAAGGACTTTTGTACATTCCTACAGAAAATAGTACATTTACAACCCATATTTATACCATATAACATACTGTCTTCACATAAACACATGTATTGTTTTGAATCTTTTCATGATCTTAGGATATGATAACTATGTCATGGCACAAAGTGGCACCGATACTTTGGTAAATTATTACAACCCTCTCATTAATTCATGTGCTAGGGCCGACTAACAGGAATGGATGTTCAGGCTCGCTGACTTGGTTGATGTATTTCATCATATCCCAATCACGTAGATCAATGCTCATGATGTCAATTTAATCACTGGATTATCTGGTCCAGACTCGATTATTCACTGACTGCCGTCATATAGCTTGAATATTGCTGAGTGCAGCTTTAAGCAACAAACAAACAAATCCGTCAGTCAAACACTCAAACTACCGGTAATTCATGTCTTAAATTAGTAGTGGCGGACATTCAAATGTCTACCATCAGAACTCAGTGAGTAAAACCTGAAACCAAGGTGCATTATGTCACGAAAAAAATAGTGTCAATGACATTCTTAGAATGAAAACATCAACCACACCTTAAGCCTTGTCACATGGGTACCGACAGAAAGCATGCATGTCTGACAGTACCCATGTGACCGCCAACCACACTATTATAAACATAGCTTGTGCAAAGTGCAGGTGCATGCAACACTACACCAAACAAAGAAGTAATAATATTGCAAATTTACTTTTTAGAAAATGGGGATTTTAGCAGACTGATGATTGGGAATTAATTAATTCAATTGTAAGTTTTATATGAAAAGTCAAAGAAGCAAACATAAAATATCTTAATTGTTTGGTGCAGGTGAAATTCAAGTCAGGCAGAACATCAAGCAGGCTTCAAGCACAGGCACTGGAGTTCAAACATACAGTTTGGTTTGAGCTGTGTACATTTCATTAATTTGGGCTGATGGATGGATGGATGGATGGATGGATTGAAGAATGATGAACGAACGAAAAATTTAATCTGTGTTTGAACTCAAGTGCCCTTCCCTTCCCTGGGTCGCAGCTTACCAGTAGCTTGGTGGCAGAGAAGAAATTCATAGCTTTCATCCAAGGATTTGTCTTAGGCATAGCAAGCAGGTGAATAAAGCACTTACAATGTGTATTGGAATAAAGAAATATAATCTTAACTACAACAATCATAGAAGAAACAACAACTATTTATAAATATAAAATAATATGTCCATAAGCAGAAACCCATTGATGTAAGACTTTGAGCATTTGAGAGAAAAGTATGCCAAACTATCTTATTATATGATACAAGAAAACTAGATAATCCTATGTTTTTTAATAATGGGAAAAGTCAAATACCATAGTAAAAGTGTTTTATCTATAATCAATTATGGGCCAAAAATAAAAAAACTATACATGGAATGCTTTGATGCAAGGATATATATCATGGGATGCATGGCATCATGAGGATGTCTTCATGAATCAGTATGAAATAGTGATGATACCAGGTGTTCGTGAATACCCAGCGATAAGCATGTTACTTCATCTATAAGAACTGAAGCAATACCTGGCCTAAAGTGTGTTACTACTTACATAAGAACTAAAGCAATATATGTTACATCTTGTATAAGTACTGAAGTAGTATCTGTCCATAAGCATCTTAGTTCTTACAAACATGCAACAAAATATGCCATACCACAGAGTGGTTTTTAAATAGCTTAGGAACCAAGATTATATAATCTGCAGAAAACACATATTGTGGCATATTAAACCCCTAATTCCAACAGCATACACTAGCATCCTCCATGATGTTTGGCCTCAGTGTTATGCAATCTGACAGAAACACACAAAGACAGGTAGTCACCTTTCCAGTTGAGGTGTTGGTCACAAACTGCTCCCATTTATTTTCTGCTTGTTTTTCTCGCTGCTTTTTTTTCATGTTCATCTTGGAGCCGCCAATCTCACTGAAATGTTGAAGAAATACTTAACACTAACTTACATCAATACATACAGGAAGCTCCAGGATATGCATCCTCTACATCTCCAGGGCTTGCATATCGGTAAACCCACACTGACCCCTGGATCCATTCCCGTAGTTCTCCATCTCAAATTACCCGCCCTTGATTTTCATTAACCAATTTGATTAGCTAAGCTACTCAGTCATATGTACCAATACCACTGATTATGATAGAATTTGCATGAAATTCAACATTGAACAACAGACTGAGACACGTTCTGCTCCTTGGCCCATTTCCCCTTTCCCTATCTTGATATTTGATTGGTCGGTAAAATGTTAATGAAAATCAAAGGCAGGTAGCTTAAGATCGTGAGAACCATGGGAATGGATCCAGGAGTTATTGTAGGTGTCCCGCAATGCGAGCACTGGAGATATAGAGGATGCAGGACCTGGTGACGGGTGATGTCATAGCTTTGTTCTACTATACTTACAGGAAGCTCCAGGACTTGGTAATTGGGCAATGTCGTAGCCGTGTTCTACTATACTTACAGGAAGCTCCAGGACTTGGTAATTGGACACATGTCGTTGCCTTGTTCTACTATACTTACAGGAAGCTCCAGGACTTGGTAATTGGGCAATGTCGTAGCCGTGTTCTACTATACTTACAGGAAGCTCCAGGACTTGGTAATTGGGCAATGTCGTAGCCGTGTTCTACTATACTTACAGGAAGCTCCAGGACTTGGTAATTGGACACATGTCGTAGCCTTGTTCTACTATACTTACAGGAAGCTCCAGGACTTGGTAATTGGGCACATGTCGTAGCCTTGTTCTACTATACTTACAGGAAGCTCCAGGACTTGGTAATTGGGCACATGTCGTAGCCTTGTTCTACTATACTTACAGGAAGCTCCAGGACTTGGTAATTGGGCACATGTCGTAGCCTTGTTCTACTATACTTACAGGAAGCTCCAGGACTTGGTAATTGGGCACATGTCGTAGCCTTGTTCTATGTTCATGGCCTCCAGGATCCAGTTCAACACACACAGCTGACGGAACAAGGCTTGTCTGAAATGAATCACATATTATACTAACCCCTTCTTCAAAACACCATACATACTCAATGCCCTGGGTAGAGCACAGGGGGGAATTCATCTCAAAGATAGACTTGGTCTCAATATAGGAACGTTGGTCTACAGATTAATGACTTAAAGAAAGTAATATTATTATTTCCAAATATGGGCAATCAAATCAAATATCATAACTAAAGGTCCAAAAAGTTCCATCATGAAATTTTTGTATGAGACAAATCATTTGTTCATCGTATTCTTCAGACATTATTCATACACTGACCAAGAGAGGCAGAAACTTTACTTGTTATCCTGATCACATAATAATTCCTACTTTCATGTAGAAATTTATTATACTGACAGGTATTTCAAGCCCAAACAATGTTTTCAGTGATCAGGTATTTATTATTTTCTGGGGTGGCATCACAGACTCTGCTCTTCCAAGTCGGTCCCTAATTTACGCATTAAACTTTAAACAGAAGCTCATCCATCAAGCAGTCGTGCTCTGGTTCCTGTTGACCATAATCAAAGTAGGTCTTGGTTTGCACAACCTCCCACGATGCAACACTGACCTTGACATATCAGGCACTCGGTCATCTGACACGACGGCCAGGTTGGTGTGCTGAGGAGTGTAGGGGCGTGGCAGTACGTTCTTCTTCCGCCGAGCACTTGGCACTGTCTTGGCACTTGTTGGTTGGGAATCCAGATCTGTGTAGCCCATCCTAGTTGTCATAGGTTACAGAAGTTAGAAAGATCATTTAAATACTGATTCATAATCAATTCAGTATTTAAATCATGAGGCCACCATGTTTATATTACTTGGATCACCAATCTTCCATCATTAAATATTTCATCCAATGGTATTTTACATACCAGGTTAAAGCCATTTTGAATATATTTTGCACAGGATCTGAAAATATATGGAATTTCTCCTAACTTGGAACTCCTAAAAACAGTGCATATGTTGGTCAAAATGAAAGGAATAACAAGTCTGCGTTTCCATTAATTCCTTTTTAAATACAATATAGCATATATTTAATTTCTACCCTCCTGCATAATCTTGTGTTCCAAATAATAACTAGTTGACCTATATCAATATTAATGACAAAACATGTCTTAATAGACAAAAATATATTCATAGTAATTACTTGTAACCTATTATTCTTGCAGTTATTCATACATATTTTAAATAAAAGAACCTGTGATCACATTATTTTTTCACTAAAATCTAAACAAAACGCATTGATCAGAATTTTGTTTTTTATTTGTGCAGTAGATTTGACAATGGTGATTATGCTCCGTGATCCCATGTTTCCTGCAACCGTCAATGGCAGGATGGTAGACTAACCCACATATTTCATTGTTAATCATTGGCACAACCTTGATATAAAAGAACAGTAATGTTCAGAACCACTCCCTGTGATAAAAGAAATACCAATTATATCAGTACTAAAACAGTTGTTTGGAACAAATTTGAATGTTAGGCAGCACAAAAGGTCTCACACAGAAAGGTCACTCATTTCATGTTAAAAGCAAACTAAAGGTCAAGATCACCACAACCATACAGTATTAGTAAACAGATTGTATTTCAAGAGATGTATTAGTAGACAAAGAAACTACATAAGTCATAGAATAAGAAGTTTGTTAAAACACAGCTGAAACATTAGATAACATACTGTATGCCTGTTTAATTCCGCAAGCTAGGTTTTAGTTTCAGCAGGGAATGGTAAAGTCAATGCAGGAAAAAAACTTTTGCTGTCATATTTTCTATCTATTTGGAAACTATCTTCTCTTTAGACTTATCAATGCATTGATGCAAGGCAAGCTGAGCAAGTACAGTTTTATATACACTGCTTTTAGCATTATTTCAGCAATATCACAGCAGTAATAAACGCAAGAATGGTTTCACATTTTACCTATATGAAATCAAACTTTCAGCTTGGGGAGCTAACTCCTTAACCACTAGGCTTCCCCAATGTCAAGGCCAAGTTGAGAACAAACTGGTGACAGTTAAGACCTGAGATGTTTCTTGACATCCATGTTTCAATGGACCCAGACATGACTAATGGGCTAGAGTGCAGTATGCTGGATACCTGTCACCGCTGTAGAAAGGATGTGCACAAGCTGCATCCTTAATTCTAACGGTTTCTAAGTTGTTACCCAACTCGCCCCAAACACAAATTTAAGCCCTTGTGATAAAATCTTTTGTAAGTAAATGTCGTTTTCAGTTAACAATGTGAATGAATACATGTTTTTTGTAATGGGGCCTCAATACATGTAATTGATTAGGAGACTTTTTTTTGGAATGTTTCAAAGTTGATGCCTGATAACGTTTATGAATTGCTTGATTTTCAGTTTCATGGTTTAATCATATTAAACCATACATATGCAAACAGGTCATTTTTCTGTTTTTACTTTGAACTTTTTCCACCTATTTTTCCAACAGCCACATTTCACTTGGCCCTTTATAAGAAGCATCAAACAAAAATGGCCGACATGTATCCAGTATAATGCAAGTGTACCCACTAATGGATCCTGACGTGTTTAAAATCACTGCTGTTTTATTTTTGATGCATTGACAGATATGTACTTCTTTATACACAGAACATGCCGAGCAGTAGCAAGTATACAGTTTGAAAATAACCTATCGATGAAAAAGTATGTATGTTCACCTGATGTGTAAAACACATGATAATGGCTTAAACAGCCTGTTCTATTTTCCTGTTCTATCTGTTGCCGAGCTTTAGTGGAAAGTTAATTTTGTAAACAACTTATACATATTTATAATTATATAAAGTGTATAAAGTAAATCTAAATAAATCCAGTGATCGACATAGATTGATATGAGACATGTATTATTATTTTGATTTTGTTTTCAATGTATACAAACCCACTAAACACGTCCCTTTCCTGGGGGTCAGGATTGGGCTCAGATGTCAAGGTCAAACGAAATTCATCCTCGTCATCGTCATGCATCAACTCCTCCATATAGCTTCAAAATTATAATCAGGATTTAGGCAAATAGCACGACTGACTTTAGACATATCTGAAATCAAGTGTCCATCAAAAATGGAATCAATAAATTGCATTACATGAACTATTTAGAACATTTGCAGTTGTAAAGAACTAATCACCATCTCATGTTTTCTCTGATGTTTTTAATTATTCATTATGTAGGAGAATATCTAAAGATGACTAATATTTGAAAAACAGATCCCACAGTTCTACATCTCCGTGGCCTGTATTAAATCTCTTGCTGTGAAACATCTATGATACTGGAGATTGTTGAAGTGGTTCGGGGTAACCTAGAGTCTAGATACAGTGGGAGGACACAAGTAGAATCTGCCCAGCCATGACACCAAGGTCTTAATCTGAACTGATATATACTCACAAGCATTTAGGACTTCATTAAGTCTTTAAGAAAATTATTTCTTCTTTAAGCAAATTATTTCTTAAACCTGTGAGATTGCCATTACATGTTAAAAAATGGTCAAATACTAAAAAGTAAGATTTTTTTCATGAGAACCGTTCAGAAATTATATAAGTATCAATACAGACAGATTCTACTTGAGATATGGAAGGGGTACTTGATAATATGTGTGTTCAACTGGAATTACCCCTTGGGAGAAAGAGTCTATACTTGTGTTACACAGATCAACAGTCATGTTGGAGAAACAGGTGAGTCTGTGTGAATCTGTACTACGCTGTCTACACTGCGGACAAACTACCAGCTACAAACTCACATACAACTGTAGCAATGAAAAGGACTATACTAAAGGACAATGCAGACATACATTGACAAAACATCCATCTAAATAACCCAAATACAATTTTTTAACAATAAACATTTGATCATGCACTGCCTGTGTTCGATTGAGGAATAATTGAGATCAAATCTTTTTGTCATTACCCTAATGTTAGAATATTTAAAGGGGCATTCTCAAGTTTAAACAATATGTCCAAAAAAGCCAGGCATCCCTTTAATTTCTTACATTATATTTTTCAAATGATGTCGTTGCGTTCCAATATGTCAAATGCAACATAATCGTAACTGGAAAGGTGATATTTCTGTAAGTCATGATAGATAAAGATGAAGAGAATAACTTTGGAAAACTTAGTACTGTAGACTCCTTTAACTGTTAAAATGCATACAGGTGTCACAATTGTTGAAACGAAAAATTGTTTTATGGATGCCACATTGTTTTCTTTGAGTAAGGATATATAGTGATGCTAAAATGGAAAATCTTACTTTGATTGGTTTTTTTAAATTTTATTTCAAGAAGTGTTTTAGTAAATTTAACCCCAAATCAACCCTGGTGACATATTTGATAATATTTTCAGATTTTGTCTCCTGCAGCTTATCATTGAGAGCAAAAAAAACATGAAACAAGGACAAACTTGGTCTGGCCTGAAAGTTTAAATACAAGCCTTACTTATGTGGCCTACCTGAGACCAACAAAAGAGGGTTAACCAGTGTTCGAGATAACAACATGTCTAACATCCCAGTACTATCTTAGGTGGAGTTGTCAGTTTCGAGTGTCACTCATAATCCCGTCTGTCTATGTACAAATCATAAGTTGTGACTGCCGGAAGGACTCCCCTAAAACATAAGTTCCCGATTTCACCATTCAGGTATGCCGTGGTGTAATAATTATAAATGGTGACTCTAATGTCACATTAGGAAAAAGAATTCCCAATTGTAATGTATTGTTAATCAATGATAAGAAAACATACCTTTCTTCACAGTGTCAAAGAAAATGGTACTCCATCTGACCAGTTACATATTTCTATTACTCCGAACACTGGTGTTATAAATTTTAAAGAAACCATTGGTCCTCTTGAAGCATTTTGTATTCTGAATTAATTTTGAGTCTTTGTATTTCTGATATGAAATAAATACATCTGCACTGCCTGTATTGGAATAGCACTAGCATGTGTATGCACTAGAGAGTGTTGGCCTATACTACATTTACTGAACTGAGGGAAAGAGCAGAAAGCACATGAGACATCTTTATCGCAGAAATTCTGTCATCAGATCTCAATTATCCGTGTCCATTAAATCTTTCGAACCATGTTCTCTCGAGAGATGTTTGTGGTTCAAATCAAAATGTCTATAACCATTAAGTTCCCAGACTCTCATAAGTCAATAACTTTCAGAAATCACAAAGCTACAGTGAAACCTTGTCACCCTAATCCCACATGGGGATTATGGGGTAGGACCAATCCCCAGTAAACTATGCTTGTCAAGAGAGTCCACCCCCATAATAGGGTGGTCAGGTTCAGTGACTTGGCTGATAGCTTGTTATTGTGCTCCAGTGGCACAGATCGCAGCTCATGATTTCAGTCACTGGTTTGCCAGACTCATTTGTTTAGAGGTTACAGTGACATAGCTGAAATATTGCTGACATTACATAGCATTAACTCCAGTAAACTCAACATTAAGTGAGTGAGTGAGTGAGTGAGTGAGTGAGTGAGTATGGTTTTACACAGCTTTTAGCAATATCACAGCAATACCATGGCTAGGGATGCCAGTTACTAGCTTCACACATTGTATGTATGTGGGGATTTGAACCAAGGCCTTCAGCTTGACAAGTAAACGCTTTGACCACTTAACTCTCCCATCAACCCTCAACATTTGGTAGGGGGCACGGGTGGCACTGCGATTTGCTGTGCAGAGTTGCGTCCCTTGGGCACGCCAGAAACCTATGACTGTGGGTTAGAATCCAGGTTTGCCCCGATTAGGTTTCTAGGTTGATCAGCACCATACCTGTGCTTGTGGGTTTTACCGAAGTGGTAAATGTCTGAGACCTGCATCACTTCGGGCTTTCTACCCACAATAAGCTGACACGCCGTGATATAACTGGAATAATGTTAAAAGCGGCCTTTAACCTGACTCACTCACTCAATATTGGGTAGCCTTGTTGTAAAAGGGCTCTCTCATCATGCCGAAGACCCGGGTTCCATTCACTACATGGGTAATGTGTGAAGCTTATTTCTAGTGTCATCCGACGTGACATTGCTGGAATATTGCTAAAAGTGTGTAAAACTCTACTCACTCACTCACCTACAACATTAAGACAATGTAACCTATAGTCCTGACGGAATCCTTAAAGTCTCAAACACTACACGCAGCACTGAAAGTTTGACAAGGTTTCACTGGTATACTGTTTTCTCTCCAAATACTTCTGCACTTATTAGACTCAGTGAGATTGCCGCGGAGACGAAGCCTGCGGAGACGAAGCCTGCAGAGTGTGCAGCTGCGGGCCATGCGTGCAGGTGCTCCACAACAACATCTGTGTAACAACTAGTCACAAAAAGCAACACACACAAACAAAATCATTTCAAATCCTACTAGTGTAATTCAACCTATTCTGGAAATTCTGAGACAAATATTGTTCTACACCAGAAAAGTATCCTGTACACTAACGAGATATGAATGAAAATTGTGGATGGAACATGCTTCTTTGCCATTGCGTGGCATCCCTACCCCGTCAGATCCACATCCTCCCCCAGCTCCTCATCTGCCTCGCTGTCGCTGTCACTGTCACTGTCACGCTTCGGAGCCTGCCATGCATTCCGTGCCTCTTCTTCCTTCTTCCTCTTCTCAGCGTACAAAGCTGCAGTCTGCAACATTGTCAGAACAAGTTGGGTAAGCAAGAGACAAAACCTTTTATAGCATACAGCAACTCTTCATGTAATTACCCATATTTGTATCTTTTTCAGTATTAATTTACAGATCTTCACTTACTGATCAAAAGCAGTCATTTTACAAACATGAACTCTACTGCAGAGAATCATGCATAAACAAGGCGTTACATCTCACCTATTGTCAATTAGACATGTATATCGCTGTTGTGTATATATCACAGCATGTCATTAAACACAGGAACAGACACAAATTAGAAGTGTAAGAAGACAGAACAGACAATCCAGTGATTGATATCATGAGCATTGATCCACGCAATTGGGATATGGTCTGTAGATAATCGAGTCTGGAACAGACAATCCAGTGATTGATATCATGAGCATCGATCCACGCAATTGGGATATGGTCTGTAGATAATCGAGTCTGGAACAGACAATCTAGTGATTGATATCATGAGCATCGATCCACGCAATTGGGATATGGTCTGTAGATAATCGAGTCTGGAACAGACAATCCAGTGATTGATATCATGAGCATCGATCCACGCAATTGGGATATGGTCTGTAGATAATCGAGTCTGGAACAGACAATCCAGTGATTGATATCATGAGCATCGGTCCATGCAATTGGGATACAAAGACATATATGGACCAAGTCAGCGAGCCTGACAACCCGATCCCAGTTTTGACCAAGGTATGGATTAGTCCGGTTTGAACAGATTCCACAATACTCACTTTAGTCTCTCTCTCGTGTTTGATGAGTTGAAACAAGCCATGGCCAAGCTTCACATTCCGGATCATGTTCCTGAAAGATGAAGAATGTCACAAGAACATTGTGATTAGGAACTCCAATGAAACATGGCTGACATGGATGTAATCACAGCCTCTCGAGGGGACATCACACATATGGGACATTAACTAACACTATCAATGTATGAATAGCTCTGTAACCAGACCTGACAAAAGAATACCTGTTCCATCGCAAACATACTCATTTAGGATAACATGCATGGCCACCCAGGATTTGTCTTATTATGACTGTAGTGAGGGGAAATGGGGTATAACAAGATTATTGCACTTATGGAGCAATGTGTATTATGATGGTGAGTATGGTTTAATGTATTTTTTGTCCTTCAGTCAAACCACACTGCCTCTGTTAGGGATGATTATCAAGGTGATAGTATCACTATTACAATAGCTGAAAACAGTTACCGTATTCAACGTAATAAGCGCCCCGCTCTAATAAGCGCCCGCAGTGATATTTGCCACTATATTGGCTAGTGAACAATCCCAATTAGCACCTCTTCCCATTGACAAATGTACACAAGACTTATTTATTTGTGTATAATACGCACTCGTGTGTTATATGCACCCTTAATTATGGGCAATTAAATTTTAGAAAAATATATCTGTCGTGTATAATACGCACAGACTTTTCTTTTGTATCATTTCAGGTACATAAACCAAAAATTTGCGATCTTTCAACTCTGTTTTTTTTCACAAAATTATATTCTAATAAGAGCCCCCTATTTCTAATTTTGAGAGCGCCCTGGGCGCTTATTACGTCGAATACGGTATGTGATATTATTGCAATACAGGCACAACCCAATGGCAATAGTCATATGCTATTTTGATAACCGGTGCCATCCAATTTGTGACTCCTTGTACTAGTTTGGACAAATGCTGGTTTCAAATAAGGCTTCAAAGAGTACTCGAGTACTCGGGCACGGGCCGAGTTTAGTGGGACTCGAGTCCAGTTTGAAGGACTCGAGTACTCAACCAAGGAAGATAACTCTAGTTTGGTCGACTTTCAATAAGTTAATAGAAATGTGTCTTTATGTAACTTTCTTTTTCATGAGTAATCAATTAAATCAAATAAAAGTGTCAATAGCTTTCCTTTTAGTTATTTTTCGAAACAATACACTTATTTACAACCATTTCATAAGGATATTTCCTGGTTAAAAAAGTACTTTATTTCTTGTTTCAAAAGGATGGTTTACGAAACTATTAAACTGTCGAAAGCAGTAGACTTAATCATTCTAAATTAGCGTTGTAACTGGACATCACTTTATTGAATATTAACATTGTGTTACTGTATCCCATTATAATTTATCTCTTCAAATGTCGGGAAAACGTCTTATAGAAGTCAACTATAAATTTACAAGCCTAGTAATCTTTCAATGTTTTGTTTTCAATTAAGAAAAAGGTAAATACTGACTTGTGACTTTGTGATAACATTGAAAATGTTACTTTTAACTTATTATCTATATCTTGTCATTTATTGACAATTTCCATCGGCGCTGGCATCAAATGATCTTATTTATCATATAAGGTGACCTACGATGTCATTGTGACTCTTTCCTTTTGTATAAGATAGGATAATTGCCAATTTTATTGAGCAGATGTATAATTGCGGGTACTCGAGCACGAGCCGAGTCTTACCCCTCCATATTTTTGGACCTGTTGAAGCCCTAGTCTCAAAGTGCTAGCACTGAGATACCATGCATCAGTTAACAACACCAGTCAGACAGATTATACTGACTCTTAGCTGACGAGTCCTCATGTTTTATCCCATTAAAGCTGAGTACTAGGCAGAGTAACAACAAGTACATTCTTTTAATGTCCTTTCATATGATGGGAACATGGATCGAACCAGTGACCTCCCGCTCTCTGACCAGGTATTCCTGGATACCACAGCAGTCAATAATTCACTCACTTTAATTAGGGCTTAATGTGGCTGGTGACGTGTATTGATTGTATAACAATGAGCAGCATGTTCAATATCTAAGTAGAAATCTCCTTGGATTTACATGTCAAAGTGAAATATGGCTAATCAATGTAGCCGATGTAATTAAAGTAGTACTGCAAACAATTATGTTTTTATTTTGTTCTTGGTTTTTTTGCTAATAAGAAAACACATCATTATGGATAACAATTTCTGGTTATTTCGATGTAGATTATTACACCATTATCAAGCTGGGGTGACTACAACCAAGTAATGAATGGTACAGCAGACAGACAGACGGACGGACTGACGGACGGACAGACAGATGCCGGGGTAACAGGTCTTTTATTTTGAATCATATAATTCTTAGTGTCAATGATTTCATCAGAAACAGGTTGATAGCATTTAATTATTTATACATGTCATACTGACTAGGGCTGGGACGAGTCCAGATTTACTACCCAGGTACCCACACCCCTATTACCCAACCCTACCCGGGTACCTGTTGTAGGTCTCAAGAAATACTGGTACAAAATGTCTGATTGGGAATAGTTTGACCCTAGCTCTGAAAAAAACATATTTAGGTACATACGATCTGGTCATGCACACACTGAAGTTGACTGAAGTTTTATTTGTATTCAAACATGTGAAAGTCAGAAGTAATGCATGCATAGTGCGAGCAAACAATTCACCTTAAGCAAAAGGAGAACTTATTTCCCACATAAAAATTGCCGTGTACGCATGGCAAGAAAGTAAGTGACACAATGCAGTAATAAATTTTCTCCTGAGTTTTTTTTATTTTAAAAAGTGATTTTTATTTATTATTTGTTCCTGAGACTTGCTTCCAGGTATTTGAACTTTGCATACAAGCAACAATGCTGCACTTAGATAGGTGTGTGCTTGCACGGGTGTGTGACTGCTTGTACTAGTCCGAACTGATGCTGGTTTTATAGTGCTAGCCCTCAGAGACCATGCTGTAGGTTAACACCCTACTCAGTCAGAATATGTTGACATTGAGCCGAACAGTCCTTGTGTTATCCTCTTAATACTGAGTGCCAGGCAGGGTAACAACAAGTACCATCTTTTAACATCTTTTGGTATGACGCGGCCAGGAATCGAACACCCAAACTTCCTTTCTCCTGGCATATGTTCTATCGACTACATCACTGAGGCAGTCTACAGTTCCTAGGAGAGGAGCCCTAATATTCCATCACATCAGACAGTTATAAAATACACAGCAAAATTTAGTTTTACAAAAACCTGACACTCAATACTGATGATCGTGAAATCTTCAGTTTTTATTTTAGATGCCATATGCACAAGATAAAAGGCAAGAAATTTGAAGCAATTAGTTTTAATCATCATTAAATATTTACAAACTGCCTCATGTGATCTGGTTGTTGTTGTTGTTGACATTGAAATCATTATTGATATATAATCCTTGACCTTTCACGCACAGCTAACCTCAGACTATATTTCTATCACTCCCCCTCAAACACCACCACCTATTGTCCCAAATACTCAATAAACATTACCAGTGTTCTACACTGGTGGAAGAACATGAGTCTGGATTCCCATGGCCTGACATTGTATGTTGCTATGTACCCCAGTGTTAAAGACTTGTTTATTGCAGCCCCCCTAATATATACTGGCATGAGCCCTCTTAATGAGACTCTATCTAGCAATTGACACCGATCCCTCATGTCAATCAATACATCAACGCCACACTGCCAGATTCCATGAGACACATGCACCAAGTTGCCGGGTTGTTTAAAGGGGTTCTTTCATCAGTGTAATACATCTTCAGTCGTGATCTGGCAGCGGGATTAAAGACATTTTCTACTACTTTAAATTGTACCCAAACAATGCCTTCATTCGTGTTTACTGAAGAATTCATCACCTGTAAGGATTTATGGATTTATATATAATATATCAAAGCCAGTTTTATTGTTTCAGTACATGGCACCATTAACATAAGATTTATATTGTCACCAGACACAATGGACTAATCCATTTCTATGTCACTTACGAGACAAAGGAGAATTAAGGGCACCAGTCTAACAGATAAAAATGTTTAAAGAAAATAATGTAATGGTTCGGATATATTTACTTAACCATACTTATAAAATTAAGAAAGTTATTCCAACTTAAGGTCAGCTTATAAAGACACATTACTTTTGAATAATGTCATTTACAATTTTCTTACTTCACGTAAAATAACAGATTGTTGCACTGAGCATTTCTGAATTCTAATGGCTTAATCTGGGATGTGATGTGATGTATTTCATTCTAAGCTCCCTGGAACTCCTTGTACAGCTATGGCACTATGGTAACCATGTAAGCATATGTTTTATTAAACATATTTTATTGTCCAAAAAGACAAAGGGATTCCCGGGCACAAGTGGACCACTTATTGCCGCCTTCTCCCTAATATGTTTAATCTTTTCAGAAACTGATTTATATTTCTAAAAAAAATTAAATCTTAATGATCTTGTAAAATATTGTGGGACAGGACCAAAAAGCAATGAAAATAGACTGAGCTCAGTTTCTTATTTCACTTCATATTTGTTAAATATTGTGTTTGTGTTTGCATTTGTAAATAAAGCAAATGAAAAAACATCTGATCCTGTTCTCAACATATTTTCATGGTCATAATCTGCCATCGAGAAGAAAATGTTCTCTTATGAAGGCTACAATGTATTTTATCATACCTCCATGTCAGAATGATGAAATCTGATTGATCCACGTGATCTTGATAAAAATACTATGTATCTCGCCTTGGAGGGAAATAAATTTCTCAGCAGGTGGATAAATTCCTTATACCCCAGCACGAGCAAGTCACGCTGCACATGGATTTCTGAGAGGCGGAATAAATCCCTTATACCCCGCATTGATGCACAAAGCTGCACACTTTTTCCGAGTCTATGGAAGTCATGTGACATAGCACAAGCTAACCTCAGCACAATCAAACAGCTGATTTCTATCAATTTTGAATTTGTTTTTATTCTTTCTGAGTAGAAGCATCACTCAGGGTACACAGGGTTTTGTGTGTCCCTCATCAGGTTTTATAAAACTCGCCTCCGGCTCATGGTATAAAACATACTGCGGGACGCATGAAGCCCCATGTACCCCTCTCAATTCAGCTACAACTTATAATGTAAGAATATGGTATATATGGCATGGTGGTAGGATGGGTTAGCATCATCAAGAATTCATAATCTGATTTCAGATTTATGAATTATCTAATGAAGGACATGTAATGATAATGCACATGATATTAAAGGATATACCATATATCAGACAAATATTACCAGTTCAATAATATATAATGATGATTTGTCAAGTATAATACAGTGTGTGGCTGCTTGTTATACTCCAGATTGATGCCAATTATAGAGCTAGCCCACTGAGATACCAATTGCCACAGTTAAACATGAATACCCCATGCAGATACAGTATACTGACTCCGAGCCGACCAGTCCTTGTTTTAGCCCCTTAATGCCGAGCACCAGACAGGGTAACAACAAATTCCATCTTTTAATGTCTTTTGGTATGACACAGCCAGGGATCAAACCCTGGACCTTCTGCTACGGGCGGTCGCTCTACCACAAGACCACGGAGGCCGCCTCAAGGACATATACTGGTCTTGTCAATGACATAAAAAGGTCCTGTCAAATGTATAAAGGTCTTGAAAAAGAAATAAAATGGTCTTGTGAAGGACATATAATGGTCATCTGAGACACACAATGTTCAAGGATATGTAATGATCAAGGATGTCTGTTTGTACGGCCGCTATATGCTATGGCATGAAGCATACATTAAATTATTAAGGCTTAAAAAGGCTAGGTACGTTGCCAGGGTGGTCTAGTCTCTGTCTGTTTAAACATAGCCATGGTTGTGCACTTGTTTAGACCTCCATGGTGAAGGCAAACACAACACAGGTATTGCTGACATTATCGTGGTGTGGACAGACAGGTAGAAGTATGCAGGTAATTGACTCCAGGAGACTGACAAGTGGTTGGCATTGATTCACTTTCTGTTTTCATGTCAAAACAAATGTTTACACATGAGCCTTGACAAACCTTTCTTATTTTTCACTAAAGCAGGTAAAACAAATGTTGTTGACTTAAAATTGGAAAAAGAAAAAAAGGAAATATTTGACTGTATGAAAACATGTAGGCAGTGGTATACACATCGTCCCAAGGCAAGAGAGACTTGAAAAGTCCAGTTTCCACCCTTGCCGAACTAGGCTGGAATTCCTGGGCTCAATCGTAGTGCCACCAGTGGGTATTACCAGTTATGTCCCTACTAAGCCTCTCCTATGGACCAATCAGATTCCACCTCTTGCATCACTTGCATTTGCTTCAAACAAAATGGCGGCGCCAATTCAGGACGATCTGCTCGATAATCAAGATCTACATTGTGATAAAACGGGCATTACATTGCAAAATGCATCAAATCATGTGAGCACCTTGATTAAAAACATGAAAAGATTTTGAAAATATCTGTTGACAACGAGTTGGCAGTGCATGTGCATTGCAAATCCTGCAATCGACCGAAATCTGCATGAGAGTTTACGAACCGGATTTTTATTTCGTTGCGCGATTTTGATTGGACTATGTATAGATTCGTTAGTCCAGCCATACTGTGCCTGAGTGGGGTATTCATGTTAAACTGTGGCATGCATATATGGTATCTTAGTGGGCTAGCTCTACAAATCAGGATCAGTCCGGATTAGTAAAAGCAGCCACACACACACACATGCGTGTACCTCGCTATATAAGTGCAATAGTCTTGGATGCGACGTAAAACCCAGTTTCACCTCACACTCTGTTCATACCCGTAAATCCAATAGGCTTCACAGATTGTGTCCATTAGGAAATCAAACCCAGGCCTTCATCTCAGCTTTATCTACTGACCTACCCCACCAACTCATCCTTGTCTCAGCTCATTACTTGGTACTTAATCATTAGATTTATCCATATTTCAAGAGAGTTAGCATTGCTTCTATTCCACACCAAACAGAGTGATACAACATTCAAACCTATTACAACCCTGAATCCCTGTGGGGGAATATTGACTTTTGACCTAGACTTATTCATGAACATGTATTTAATGGTCTACTGCCTGTAACTTGATATACAGATTACATTACATCACATCCATATCACAGGGCTCATTAAACCATTGTTGTGCTCCTATAGCACCTCCACAATGGCAGGCATATCGGTACTTGTTAGAGGGACTGTATCAAAACTATAAATGTCATTTATTTATTCTTCAATTCCAACTTCATTCGACCTGGTATTTCATGTAGAATTACGAAATAACTTCCTGACAAAGTTGAAACACTTTGTTTATAAAAGTGACAATTGTTACTTTGAGACAGTCCCTACTCTGAACATCCACCAATCAGCTGGCTGGCCTACCTCCCACTGTCAACCTCTTTCTTGAGTGTATTCAGGTCCTTTCGTGTCCTACGTAGTACAAACTTGGCAGCAGTCTGGAAAAAATAAATTTATTTATTATTTATTATTTTTTTCTTATCAATAATCAATTGGTGTAAAAATAAGAAATGGGAATCATTGATGGCTCCATGTACAATAATCAAATAAGTATAATAATAATCCTAATCTTTAATACAGATCTGTTTATTGTGGTAATTCCTCAGTAGAAGCTTCTTGTGGATTAGTGCAAACACTAATAACTTAGCTGTAAACCAATACACTGCCTTAGGCACAGGCAGATAATCCCTTGTCTTAATCATCTCAACCTTAAGACTAGTGATTTACCTTAAGACCAGGTCACACTGGAGATTTCAAACCTGTATCTTTTCTCTCAAGTGATTCTTATTTTCTGTTTATATGTCTTTTGGGTGGCATAGGGGTTAAAGCATTAGCTACCTGCCATCAATACCTGGTGTCAGTTCCTAAAATGCATGCGTACAATTTGTGAAACCAATTTGTTAAAGGAGAGGTAAAATAACTCACTCTAAGTTTAGCAAATTATATAAGCTCCACACATCATACCTATGTTGTAAATCATTCAAACCCAGATCCTCGCCTTGACAAGCCAACACTTTAACCACTAGCCCACCCAACCTCTCCAGTCATTCTCTAATTATGGCATACAGGACAATTATTGCATTGAATACAATGTTAAGATACTTCAGAGAATAAGAAAGTAAGAACTTTTAAAAAATAACACTTTTGAACTAAACAACATTTTCCATTGGCACTTTGTTTCAAATCCTGGATAAATAATATCCCAACAAAGGCAGGGCCCGATTAAGGAACTTGATTTAACTTGCACCAGGTGCCTGTTGACATGAAAAGCTAGTTGCACCAAACAAAACCTGGTTGCACTCTGGTGCCATACATTTATCAATGTTTAAACATAGATGCATAAACTAGTCTAAATAAGTAAAATCTCTGAAGACTGTGTCATGTGGCATGAATTACACATAACACAGAGATGAATAATGTAGTGTGGTAAATACAGCAGAGGGGTATGGAGTGTGTTCAAAGATTGTTGTGTGGACAAGTAAGGGTTAGTCGGACACAATCTGTTTTACATGCATTTAGTGCATGTAGACATAAATATTAGGTTGCATTTTTCAATAATAGGTTGTAGGGCTGGGACAAGTCCAAATTTACTACCCGGGTACCCACCTCCCTATGACCCAACCCTACCCGGGTACCTGCTGTAGGTCTCAAGAGATAGGTCAAACATGTCCGATTGGGAATAGATTGACCGTACTCCTGTCAAAATATATTTAGATACACGTATCAACCAATCTGGTCATGCATACACTGAAGTTGCCTTTTGACTGAGGTTTTATCATTATGCAATATATAAAGTCAGAAAGAAATGTGAACATTTATCATTTATAGTGTAGAGTTCTAGATAACTTTTGCCATTAAACAATATAATCATGTGACTAACCACGGGTTTGGGTAGTCATGTGGGTACCCGGGTCCTACTCAGTACCCACCCGACCCGGGTATCTGAGTTACCCGTCCCAGCCCTAACAGATTGCATTTTTATATAGTTAAATCGAGTCCTGAAAGAGTATTGTTCCTGCCCAATATATTGATATATATTGATATATATTGATATATATACTTTTTCCATATTTCCACCAAAGAATTTTAATAACTGCACATGTGATATGTTTATGTTTACTCTGACTAATCAATGCTGATTGTTCTGAAAACACAATCTGACAAGAATAACAACTCCACCACAAGACACAATAAACAAGCTTAACTCTGAGTCATTAACCTAAACCTCTGAAGCAAGAACAGTCAATTCCACACAAGCATAGCGCCACCATCATAATATTAGCATGTTGCCAAGGGCTAATTCTTGCCTCAACAGTCTGATTGCATTAACAGGCTTTTATTCACTGACACATAGCCATGCATTTCAATGTATGAAAGAGGATCACAAACATTCATATTGCTGAAATACATAATCCTATTACCGGCATTGAACATGTACTTTGTGGCTAGAAGGGGATTTCATAATAACACTCATATGTCCCCGCTTGTCCATTCAGTGAGAGTGAAATGGAATATATGTCCTTCATTCATGTGTGTGGGGATATATTGTTTGGGGCATTAATGTCTTTATTATACTGTGGTGGTATCCCGAGCAGGTACACATATATGGGGTATGTAGGGTAATTGAGGTTTGGGTCGTGCAATCTGTACTTCATTGTATTCAGAGGGGTAGTTTATTCAGGGTGGGGTACTTTATTCCGAGGGGGGACCTCATAACAGCATTGTGTTTTGCTGACAGGTATTGAAATGTGTTCTTTGAACATGCACCTGACGCTCATATCTGTACACATTTCTGAATTTGCTCCAGTTTTGTAAGGTGTAGGTTACATCTTGCCGACATAATAATACTAATAAGTGGGTGTTTGTTGTCTTACAGTGCAGTCCACAATATTTAAGTTATATCAAGGCAGTAGTAAAAAACCTAATCCAATAACCTATTACGTTGGTATGACGTGATGAAACATGGAAATCTCACCTCACCTCACCTCACGTCACCTCGCCATGATTTCGTGACATTTTCATAAACAGGTGTTTTAAAATTCATGTCATCTTGCAAAATTATCAAGTATTTTTTAATACTTGTTTGTATATGTTCCCTATGTGGTCCTAGTGCAACTTGCAACATTAACAATAGGAAGTACTTCCTATTTTGTTTGTTTGTTTGTTTGTTTGTTTGTTTGATTGTTGTTTTATGCCGCACTATATGACAGCGGTCTGCAAATAATCAAGCCTGGATCAGATAATCCAGTGACTGACATCACTAGCATCAATCTACACAAATGGGACATGATGACATGTATCAACCAAGTCAGCCACCCTGAACACCCAGTCCCGTTAGTCGCCTCTCACCACACGCAAAGTCGCCTTGTACGGCAAGCATTGGTTGCTGAAGGGAATTTATATGACCTTGAAACTGAATGCTTTCAAAGACAATAATGTACCCCAAAACAACGTTCATATGAGTGAGTGAGTGAGTGAGTGAGTGAGTGAGTGAGAGAGTGAGCGAGCGAGTTAAGTTTTAACATCTTAGAGTTTGAACACTATTTTAGTTTTAATTTTTATATTAAGGTATGTCAGCTCAATCTTAGACATGATATCTTTGGTGACACAAGAGCTACAGATAAGCTTCACATTTGCCTAAAATACCCCCAAAACCAAATTACTTTCAACTAACTTGCGTACAGAAACGCATTCATTAAATGGAAAACTAAATTGTTTGAAAACACCGTAAATACCCAATGAAGCTTTTCCAACATTTGTACAGCAGAGCTAATTTCCAAAACACAATTACGAACTAATTTACTTTCCGAGTCAACCCTATATTTAGAACCGTTTAGAATCTTAAACATTATTTCATTATTTATTAAATCTCAAAATGCTTACTCATTTGGGGAAAAACCCAATAGAGTGATGAATAGATGAGTGAAAAAATATTGGTTACCCAATAAAAAATGTAATAACCCAATTGAAATATAAGCCTTCGAGTGAAAACTCAATTGCTCAAAACGTTATCTGGAGCTCTGGGACACTCCTGCATACACTGAAGATAACAGAGTGAGCCTGGGGGTGTAGGACTCGTCTAAACCCATTGCCTGTCTACAAGAGATGATTTATAATAAAAGTACCTTCAAAGGACATGATGGATGTGAAATGATTTCTCCACCGTGAAAATGTGATTCATGTAGAATTTCTACCCAGCTGCAGAATCTAACCCTCTTTAAGTTACCAGCACATACAGTTAAAAGAAACATTCCCCGAAACTTTGAAATTCAACCAGCATAAGACATCAGAGCTCGCCAAAGCATTATGTTGCATGGGTCACTTTGGGGGGCATTTTCCCCGTATTATCCCATTCACATCTAAAAAGGTGTTCACCTTGTATATACATGTATAACCTTCATCTGTAAATATCTGTAAATGTTGCATCACGTTGCAAGAAAAATGGGTTATTTCATAAACAGTGAGATTAAGGGTGGGTCAGGAAAACATGATACATCAAGAGAGGGGGGTCGCCAACATTTACAGCTATACTCTCATTTAAGGACTGGTCATTTATTATAGGAGGGTGGGGTCATAAAAAATGAGACATGTATTTGGAAAGGCCATAAAAAAATGTTACAAAAAAATGAGGTTTGTGTTGAAAAATATTATCAGTCCTACGACCAATCCCACCCCTACCCCTATAATAAATCCCCAGTCCCTAAGGCAGTTTCCACTAATATTACACAAAGATCTATATCCTACCATTGACATTAATTTGGATTATGTACACAGCCTACATTGGACGGATTCAGTTGATATTTCTCAACAGGGATTTCACAAGATTTTGCTTCTCAATATTAATCAAACAGACAAGAGCCCATTTATTTTTATTCTGACACAAAGAGCTTGTCACTTGCTGATAGTGTTTTGACAGTTCCTGATACATTATATCATTTACTGTTGCCTGTACTCCATTAATCAATATCTGATTACCACAGCACCTTTATAACAGAAGGGGCAACCGCCCTTGTAGACTGGAATAGTGCAACACACAGCTTGATGGGATACCAGTATTCCACTGTTCATTTCAGAAACTGGAAAGTGGGGCCCAATGACCCTGACCTTTCTAAGAATTTGATAAAACCAGGGGACACACAAATATTTTTTAAATAAACACATAAAACTTAGGGGAATGTTACCTCAGGAATTCAACTTGTCAGTGTCACTTTATGCATTCACATTTTCATCTTTCACATTTTAATCATTCACATTTTGCTCAGTCTTCCATCAAAGTTAGACTTTCTCCAGTTCTTCCTATCTGCAGTCACAGTCTGACCCTCAGCTTTATGGTGTTTCGAAAACAAATTCAATAAACTTGGCCCCTCGTCTGCTTTTGTTTCTCGGAGGCCATAAGAAGCTGATGGCCATGTGACAGGGATAGGAGACCAAACATGAAAGCTTGAAGCCGATTGGGCCTCGTAATTGAACCATCGAATCAAAACATGTGTTACATAGTAACGGTCAATTCATTCGGAACATATTGCTGAACCTACCATTACTGATCATGAATGCTGAATGAAGATATTTGAAGTTACAATAAACAATTAATGGATTCCAATTGCTAAAAACGATGACACTTAGTGTTTTAATTAGAGTCAATAGCCAAAGATACGATCGAATACATATTTTAGTTTTGGGATATCATATTGCACCCTTTTTTGCACAGTGATATTTATTTTTTACACAATTGAAGGAATTTTGTGTGTAAAAGCCCCATGGCCACACTCTGGAATGAATTCCAGTTCTCTGTATTACAATACGTGATAGGTTTCATTCTGAATAAAATAATTTCCTTTCAAAATTTTCTTAGTATATGACCGCCTCTGTGGTCTGGTGGATGAAAACCCATTTCACCTCACCTCACATCTTGGTTATCTGTTCACTTAGTCAATCTACAAATTGTTTCTTATAAAAAAATTGGGTTTATTATGACATATTATTTAAGTTAATATAAGATATATGTAAATACTTCCTTTAAAGATCAATTAACAAACACATACCGTATTCCACGTAATAAGCGCCCCGCGATATTTGCTGATTTATTGGTGAGTGAACAATCCCAATTAGCACCCCTTCCGATTGAACAATGTACACAAGACTTATTTATTCTCATATAATACATACTTGTGTGTTATATGCACCCTTAATTATGGGCTATTTAATTCTGGAAAAATATATCTGTCGTACATAAACATTTCAGGCTGTCAGCATAAACCACAAAATTTATCTTTCAACTCTCAATAATATTCTAATAAGAGCCCCCTATTTCTAATTTTGAGAGCGCCCTGGGCACTTTTTACATCAAATACGGTATATGTTTCTTACGTTGTGTCTTTTGAGGACTTTGATGGTCATGTTATCGAAGGGAACAAATGTATTACTCTGGGATAAACCGATATATGTCACATGCATAAATAACTGTTCACACACTCATATATACTTTACATTTAACATCTTACAAATCTGTCTCAGCAGCAAAAAATTGTATATTTGACCTTTTTAGCGGTTAAATCACCATATGCATCACATTGCTTTATGAAAAGCCGTTTGTTATAGGGCTGGGTCAGCTGGGTACTGAGTAGGACCCGGGTTCCCCCAGGGCTACTCGGAACTGGGGGTAGTCATGTGATATATTGTTTAATGACAAAAATTATGTAGAACTCCATGGTAACTAACACGACAAGTCACTTCTGATTTTCATATGTTTGAATAAAGATAAAACTTCAGTCAACTTCAGAGTATGCATGACCAGAACGTTATATACGTGGACAACTAAATACATTTTTCAAGGGCTACAGTCAAACTGTTCCCAATCGTACCGATCTCTTAAGATCTTCAGGGGGTCAGGTCAGGTAATAGGGGGTAGGGTACCAGGGCAGTAGACTCATCCCAGCCCTAGTTTGTTACAACATTTGTGGACACAGCTCCATTGATACACTGCTTTATTTAAACTACAGAATTCATTCTCAGGCAATTATCTGACTGTTCATTTGCAAAAGTGTGCTTATGATCAATGCTGCTGAAAAGAAATTGTTACAACTGCCTTTATGTATGTATATATTGACACAGTGCATTATCACAATTAAAATCCATGACATATCACATAAACATAAACATAAACATAACTTACCATGGTTTTCTTTGGACTAGGTATGTGGGCTGCCTGTATACCCTCATCTTCGGAGCTGCTGGATCCATCGCTTCCTTCGTTCTGCACAACATAGACAAGGAAGTGAGTGAGTGAGTGAGTGGATGGGTGGTTGGGTGATTGTGTGATTGGGTGAGTGATTGAGTGAGTATGATCGTATGCAACTTTTAGCAATATTCCAGCAATATCACGTCGGGGAACACCAGAAATGGGCGCCACACATTGTACCCATGTGGGGAATCAAACCCAGGTCTTCAGCATGACAAGCAAACACTTTAACCAATAGGCTACCCCACCGCCACAGGAGTGTAAGAATGGACCAGTCATCCAGCAGGTGACCTCTCCATATTCTTGTATCTTTGAAAATAGATGCTCCCAGTTGCACCAAAACTAACTCAAAATGTCTTATTTATTTATTTATTTATTTATTTATTTGTTTATTTGTTGTTGAATGCCGCACTTAGTAATATTGAAGCTTATGACACAGCCTTTACATAATCATTTCTGGACCAGACAATCCAGTGATTGATACTGTGAACAACAATTCACGCCATCAGGGTACGATGACATGCAATCTTGGTGCAGCAAAGGTTGCCCACAGGGGGCAAATTCTAACCCAGATTCCCAACTGGGGCTCAACATGTTAATATACATCAGTAAATTGTCCTACTGAAGAATGTCAGAAGTCTTGTTAATTCCCATGCCATAGTGAACTTCATGAATTATAGGGACAGGTATTGGAAATTTAAAGTGTATCACAATATTGCGATATTGCGATTTATCATCCAAAACTGGCTCCCGCAGGAGATCAAGCAATATCTACATTGTAGATAAAAGTGGAAAAACTCCTTGGCAAGCCTCTGAGTTTATAACAATAAACACATGATAAAAATCGCTATTTGAAATCACCCAATAAATTGAGTATGGAAAAATGATATTGTGATAGTTCGTGGAAAGATGAATCTCAATTTACCGATATACCGATAATACCGCACACCCTTAATGAATAATAACACACATATAAAAATCTAAATATGACACACAAACAATTGCAATAAATAGTCTTCTTGTTAATTATGAGCTAGATGGTTTGAAAGAAACAACAAAGAAAATATAAGGACTATTTTGGACACCTTAGTCAGTTTTGCTGTAGAATAAGCAATCTCAGACCAAACAAACACGTATTACTTTTCTGGTCTTTAGGTATGGCCTAAAATGATGCGACAACGCTGCTTTGTTTGTTTAGCATGACATTAACAATCCTCAAAATCTAGCAGAAAAACATATTTTGTCTCCGGTATTAAAATGCCCTTTTCGAGCAATTGATGGTGAATGATGTCTAAACAGCATTCACAAAAGGCCTTAAAATCACACACAAACAGGCTGCATAGACACGAGGGGATGTCATGTGTCGCTAGAGTTGCCTGCCCTTGGTTAAAAATTAAAAATAAAAGCCTCATGCAAGTGGTTGAATAGGGATCAGAAACACAATACTAATATATACATTAGTGGTTTGTATAAGGTATGACACAATGTTGCATATTACAACAAAGTTGAATCTAGTTTCTATGAACCGGGTATTATAAGCATTATACAACATATCACTCATAGATACTACAAACATATGTAGTGTCTGCAGACATTTTTATTTTTTTTAAATTCACATTTTCATTTCATGATTTATTGGGATGCATATTGCGTTAACGTCAATGATTTTGATAAGCACATAACTAATATGTTGTAATCTCATCAAACTGGTTGATAGTACATAAAATGTCATTAAAAAGAAAGTATGTATATTTGAAAATTGGATTTGACCAAAATATTACAAACATTGTCAAATGTTACAAGGCTGAAAACATTTGCAAAATACTGCTAACTTAAGGAACAAACACAACTGTGATACCCGTATCAAATACATCACCACTGAATAACCAGTTCTTGTTAGTTTCATTTTTAGACACCATCAAACAAGGGTGTATACTTTGTTTTGCCTGGCAGTTTATAGTAATTTATGGACCCGTGAAGATCTGGGGTAGAATAGGTCTTCAGCAACCCATGCTTGTCGTAAAAGATGACTATGCTTTTCGTAAGAGGCAACTAACGGGATCGGGTGGCCAGGCTCGCTGACTTCGTTGATGCATGTCATCAATCCCAATTGCATGGATCGATGCTCATGATGCCAATCACTGGACTGTTTGGTCCAGACTCGATTATTTACAGACCGCCGTCATATAGCTGGAATAGTGCTGAGTGCGGCGTTAAACAACAAACAAACAAAACTAATATATGTCAAGTATTGGAGCATTAAATGTAGGTATATTTACCCCATCCCACTGTCCAAGTGAATGAAGAATGAGCCTTTGTTCTTCCAGATAAAATGGGTCTCCAATTCCTTGATACGGTTTGTGGGACACAGATCGAAATCCTTGTGACGTCAACTGCTGAAGTCGACGTCTGTAATTTGAACGTCTAACTTCATCTCGTGATGGAATCGTTGGATTGAAGACAGTGGCACTTCGGGCTTGTATTTTCACCCCCCGCTGAGATGGAATCGGCAGAGGAAGGAGGGCCACATACCCCTGAGGATCTCTTGAAGGCATAACTGTCTCCCGACACACACTTGATTAATCTGGCAAACTGTAAAAACATAGTATCATTTTATTATGTGTCTTTGATAAATAGATATAGAATTATTTTCCTTTAAAGAAAATAAAACCCAAAAATAATAAGAAGGAAAAAGAAAACAGATATCACTATTTCAAATCATATTAATTACACCTGATTACACGTCACTGTATGAAGTACATATGAATAAATAACTAGCTCAACTTTATTAAGATAGGCCACAATTAAGTTTATGATGTTTTTAATTCAAATAACATTCTCAAGACACTCACATATTTTCATGCACTCAATCAGATCATATTCACATTATAATTATAATCACCTTTTTAACATTTAACTGACAAAATAGTTATCACTTTTTTTCTATATTGTATCAACTAAACATTTGGCCCTTTCGGCAATACAGATAAACGAATATCATACTTTATACTTTACTTACTATGGTAACTGGTAGCAGTTATTCCTAATTATGCATTGTTGAAATCCACCTCCGTTTTTGAAATCTGTACATCAAGGAAACAGTCTCCACTTCACCGCTGTCACGGGAGCCCAAGTCAATGCTTCTGAAATGAACTTTCAGTTTTAATATTCCGGGCACGTAGCCCGTCAACATGTCATCAGTATTCCTTGACTGAATGTGTTGGATTGATTGCCAAAAGTAACCACCTCATGTCCCCCTCACTGCGAACCACTAACCATAACACTGTAAAACACACGAGCAAAAATAGCCCGGTAGTACCTTCCTGTAGAGAGTCAATAGACTGCCCCTGTTGCGTGGATACTGTCAACTAATAACTACAATCGGAACACCGCTGAGCGACCTCTGCTATAAGCGGGTTATGCCATAACTCAAACGTTTACAATTCTTCTTGGTTATACCAGTGTTTGTCTAAAACACCATACAATAAACATGGATCAATGTTAACGAAATTAAGTGAAAATCAGTATAAAATTAATTACTGTCGACGATATCTCATTCGGAATACCTCGGGTATTTCCGATGAATAGCAGTAAGCCCACGCATGCATGAAATATATCTTTGTTGAGCTGCCTCGTGTGTAATATTATTTCTTATCATATTTTAATGTGAACGTATAATTCCCTTCTCTGTCTAAATTACTGAACTGTGACATGTTACCAGTGCTTATTCATAAACGTATCCTAATACTAGCAGGGATAATAACATTAGATTTCATACCACTTGCCACCAGTATCAGAGTATAAAAGGGAAAGCATCGCCCATAATGCATAGGAAAACGTGTTGTAACCAGAGACCATATAAAAATCTATTATATCGGTCTCTGTTGTAACTAACCAAAACAACGTAAGCAAATATTTTCAGCAATTAATTACATTACTCAAACATTTCGTAAATTTAATTTGAATGTAAATAAAGTGTTTTGCTCGCTCATCCATATCAGCGACGAAGTTGCAGATTTTGCATATTTCAAGTGCATGGAGACGCGTGGTTTATTCATTTGTGGACAAGTAAAGCTTAAATTTAAATAATCTAAGTCGTTTAAATTAAAAAAAAGATATACGGATCTTAGTCAGTTTATTTTAGTTTGCAATACACAAAAAAGCGATATTTATCTCAGTACTGGCAATATATGTCTCATTAAGGAGTCGACAACAGAGCGAGTGAGTGATCTTTTACGCCGCGGTCATATTCGATCTACTCGGGAATATTAAAATCCGATCGATCAGTGGGAAACAAAGATACTCATAATATTGTAATATGATTACTATCATATATATTTTTAAATACATTAAAGAAATTTTGAACAATCAAGATCTAAACAACTTTTTAAGTGGTGTTATTCACAAGGCAGCATAATCGACCTCCTTACAAAATATTAATTTATAACTTAAAAACACATTCTTGAAAAGTTGGGTTGTCGGATCCATAAAACAAATATCTAACGCCTTACAAGAATTCTATTATAAATATCCAAGCACATCGTGTTAATGGCTTTCCGTTCTATGCCCTTGAGTGGCGTTGCGCCGCGGGCATGCCTTGATGTCTTGTGTCAGTGAAGTAAGGACGGGGATGTGGTTGCATTAGTTACTATTTCAATACGGACGTTGCATAAAACGTCATTTCGAGTAGCGTGAGAACTTGTATTTTTAGACATGAGTAATGTTTTGACTGAGTAAAAGGTGAAGTCCCAGTTTTATAATCACCCATGTTCTAAAATGGCGTCGTCCGAAACTGGAATGACATCTGAACAGGTAAATATGACAGTTAATGTGGTGTTAGTAATATATTTTTGCACTTTTGTTGATCTATGCGATAGTCGCTAGGAAATTACTTGAAGGCGAGTTGTATGTAAACTATGAATGATAGTACATACTTGTTAACCCGCGTGTATTTTCCCGCGGACGTGACTCGTGCATGACCTGATTTCGGCCAGACCAAGAACATACGCAATTATGTTTTGATTGTCATTGGTTGTATTGATATGAACGACCTGCTACCTGATTGCAGAAAATGCTGTTAAATATTAATTAGACCCTTCAAAGCGAGAAATATAGCGAGTTGATGAAATTCGACATCAATAATGTACAAAAGAGGTATTGGAAATCCTGGAAGCGAATACGGATTGTAACAGTCCACATTGACTTTTTATTTTTATGTCGTCGTGATTACAAATCATTGTGCAATTTATGTCGTTCATTCAGCAAACCGATTTCCTGTATTTTTCATATCTTCATGCCATAACTCGCAGACACCCTCTCACTGAAATAATTACAATCTCTTCCAGGTTTCTAGATGGAGTGAAAATTCCGCTATGTCAGTAGACCATACAAAGACTAAATCTGTTAAGTTTGTTTAGTGGAATGGACACAAATTTCAGTCATACTGAAACATTTCATATATGACCATTAAATAAAATGTTTTGTCACCTAATTCATATAATTCATCTGAGTGGCATTTAGTGGAGCTCAACAAATATCCTTTCTTTTGTGTGTTAATCTTGTTAACTGGAGTTTGACCTTTGCACTTTGACCAGGCTTCATTTGAAATTCTTTATAAATGCAGTCTGTAAGTATAAATGCCTTCATGATATATATTAAGGCAAAACTACTTGAAAGATACATTCTTTGTTATGGGGTAAAAATATTTTCTTTTCAGAAATAAAAACCTACCACTTATCAAATATTGCATCAATAAGCAAGTTCTGTTCACAGTTTGATATGCAGGATATGATCTTTTGATCTGATGTAGGTCCCTTTAGATATGTTATGTTTATAGCCGACACGGCACCATTGTTTAGGGGGGACAGATGGCCCAGTCATCTGAGGCTGCAATATGCTGAGCAGAGTTGTGTCCCTTGGGCCCACCAGAAACCTATGATTATGGATTCGAAAATCTTGGTCCCCCAAGATTATGTTTCTTGGTTTGTTACGAACATAACTGTGCTCGTGACTTTCACCAAAGTGGTAAACGTCTGAGTCCTGCATCACTTTTGGCCTTCCTCCATCTTTAAGCTGACAAACTATGATATAACTAGTATATTGTTCAATTCGGTGTTACACCCAACTCACTCACTCGCCAATATTTATTTGGATTTCATCTGTAATTTAATAATCATAATGTATGTCGATGAAATGATATCCTAAATATATTAAACAATATAACAGATATTGTTACTGAATGATATCAGGGAATAACCAGATGTAATATTACCTACGTATTATGTATTTTTCAAGACCCACAAAGGCAGGCCTTGATGTATATCCGGTCTATATATATATTTTATCATGATTTTGATCTTGCTAGCCTGATTAGTACCAGATACACCACATAGGCAGATTTATTTTATCAGTAATTGATTAAAACAAATGTTATAAATATTGTAATTCTTGGGATACTGATAAGTTCATTTCATCCTTCAAAATTGTCAATCAAATATTTAATGGATCTTAAAAGTGAGTCAGTATTTGGTTGTATGTGATTAAACATTTTCACCACCCTCCGATAATAAGCATGATAAGTTGAGATTTTCAGTGGTGATATGTGGAAAAAGACAATGTCCATACAACCACTGGGCTTTGTAGAACAGAATTCAGAATTATTAACTAATGGCAAATCACTAAAAGAAACGAAATAATTGTTTTAAGCAAAATATTAGGTCATTTATAATTAAAATCACAAATTGTTCAGAGAACATATTCTATATAAAAACACTATTGTATCCAATGATTGGGTATTGTCTTTATACAAAATAATTTGCACATCTTCATCTCCTAAATGTTATATCACTGAAAGAAGGTGAGCTTCTGTAGCATGATACTGCTGTTGTTTGTGCACTAGAAACAAGTTTTGTTGTTTGTAGGAGATGACAGACACAGCGGAAGAGGGGGAGACAGCCATGGACACCAGTGAAACCCACTCTCCTTTCCATCACTCTGAGGACTCCAACTCCACAAACAACGAGACGGAAGAGACTGAGAGTGCTGTATCGACAGATCGGGAGAACTCCTTGACTCACACCCCTACAGCAGGCCTTATGTCATTGCACTCCACCCCAGTCAAGAAGGACGGGACACCAGGTACAGGCTCGGGCTTCCCTCTACGCCCTGGGATTGCCTGGAGGAAGGGGGAGAGGGTCGAGGCAATGGATTTCCTAAATAACTGGTAAGCTGATACTTCCGTATATTGAAATAACTGCATGAGTCTCGTTAATCCGACACTCATTATTCCGACAATCAGCTTTATCCGACACCTATGATGGGAACCAATGAAATCAGTTCTATTTAGATCGTTTATCCGACAATCTCGCACTTCGACTCGGGCACACCTAATTTGCAACGAATTACTGAAATCACTCTTGCAGTCTCGTCAATCCATCACAGTGATCAGCATACTCTGTGGCCATCTGCTGGGAGTACACAACCGGTATTTTGATGCGAGACGAGTCGCCTAGTAGCTACATATTACAACAGCTGCAGAGATAAACTTGCTTAACAAAAAACAGTTAATGCTTTAAATAAACAAAACAGGATTAATCGCATGCTTAGATTACCTCATTCTTATTAAAATCAGATACAAGTTCTTGCTACTGCTGGATTCCGGGTTAGCAGCAATGTCCCATAGAAACTAGGGCTGGGAAGATACACCAACTGTGTAATCTGATACATATCCCGATATCTTACTCACGATCCGATACGTATGGCGATACTTGCATGTGCTCTTATCTGTGGTGCGTCAGCCAGTATCAAGTATGGTGCAATTGGTGAACATATTTACATTTTCACTGCTACTTTTCACTACTAATAAGTGTTTGGTGTACAGTTAAAGCAAACATTTTAGTTAGGAATCAATATTTTTTACTTAGTGAGCGACTGTGATCGATAATTGTATCAAGAAGTAAAAAGTCGTGATCCATCGATGCATCGGTGTATCGTCCAACTACTACTAGAAACCTATGCTTTTCATACAACGTGACTTAATGGACTGTGTTGTCAGACTCAGTGGCTTTGTTGAACGTGTGTCATTGTACCCCGGCATGGAAGGTTGTTCATGATATCAACCACAGGTCCTGTTCCAGACTTGATTATCTACTGGCCATTGTTAATTTTTTTGAATATTGCTCAGTATTGGATTAAACAACAAAGAAAGAAAGATTGCTGCAGAGGAGCCCCAGTGTTGTAGATCCACTCTATCCTGTTGAGGGGCGGTCGGGTAGCCTAGTGGTTAAAGCGTTCGCTCGTCACGCCGAAGACCCGGGTTCGATTCCCGACATAGGTACAATGTGTGAAGCCCATTTCTGGTGTCCCCCGCCGTGATATTGCTGGAATATTGCTAAAAGCGGCGTAAAACCATACTGACTCACTCACTCACTATCCTGTTGATGTTGGTCGACAGGTACCCAGCTAAGATCATGGACATTGATGAAGATGACAAGACTGTGCTGATCCACTTCGAGGGGTGGAACCAGAGGTATGATGAGTGGACTGTCATGACGAGCGAAGGAATCCGACCTCTCACGCGACATTCGGAACGGAAAGAACGAGGCAGGAAGAAGATGAGAGAAGTAAGTACAACTGTCAACAGACATCTTCAAAGAAACACTGACTCAAACACTCAGTTTAATGACCAGGGTGCCGTTGTACAAAGTGATCTTAGCGCTAAGGTGATGGTATCTCCCATACCTTTACATAGACTTATGACAGTCGTAGAGCTTAGGTTGTTTTGTAGAACAGCATCCTGAACAAGAGTTCTCAGTGTTTGAGATAGCCATACATCTTAATAGTAGAAATTACTAGAACTTCAGTATGATCTGTGTTCATAAATGAGGTTGGAAATCTTCCAATCTCATTAAAATCAGATCTTAATTCTCGCTATCACTAAACAAAGATCTGAGGACATCCCATTACGGGTCACGTCAGACTGACCTTTTGCGAACTTTGACCGACCAATGGAATGACCAATCAGAAGGCAGCTTTCTCGTGCTTTATGGCACTTATTTCAAATTGGCGACTACACTTCGAAACATATTGTGACAAATTCTCGATTAAAAATTTGAAACCTGAACAAACCTGAATCGCTAATAGATGGTTTAGATTGTATAGATTCAGTCCTTAAACCCGTAGCTATCATTCGGAATACCCCGTGTTAATGTTTTCGAGGATCCATGATTAGAAAACACATTCCGTCTGTCACTTTCATGATCTGGTAAGCGACGCTCTGATTGGTCGGATGAAAGGTTGTTCTGACGTGACCTCGAATGGGATGTCCTCAGATCTTTGTTTAGCGATAGCGAGAACTTAGATATGATTTTAATGAGATTGGGAAATCTACTGATAAAAACCTCAAGTGCCCTAGGATCCCCCTAATTTCTAACACTATGCTTGATCATTAGGACTAGTGATTTACATAAGTAAAATGTCCAATCATGATGACATGGTCGGCATCTAATACTATTGTTTGTTGAGTGTTCTTTGCTTTTCCCTTTCGATTATTATGTTTTAATGGCCTTAAGTACTTTTATCACACAAAGAATTTCTTCTTCATACATTTAATACATCTTCTTCTATTGAATAAGTTCCGAGTAGGAGAAAAGATCCTGGCCAAATGGAGTGACTGCAAGATGTACCCGGCAAAGATCAGCAACATCAATCGTAATGGTCAGTATGTTTTGGGTTTATTTGTATAGAGGGGTCAAGTAAGTCAGTGCTCTTTGCATTGAAATTTATTGTGAGTTGTGTCCCTTGGCTAGGTTCATATATTATTGCTGATCATATATTTGATTCCTGGATTCTTCCAGGTTATGAGCTCCATACCGGTGCTTTGTGGGTTGCACCATAAGAGTAAACATCTTTGAGCTACAACCCTCTAGAATTGGTCCCCAGCCTCGTAAGAGGCTACTTAATGGGTCACTCATTTTTCAGGCTTGGTAAATTCATTGATGGCGTGACCTTGGATTGTTGCTCACATTGTCGATCACTGGATTGTCAGTTCCAGACTAGATTATTTACAGGCTATTGAGTGTGGGTTACACAACAAGCAAACAAACAGTCCAACAGTAATCTCCCCTGTCATCATATGCAGTCGTAAGAGAAATATGTTTATTGTTTGAGGAGGGCACTAACTGATGCAGGTCATAGATATTTACCTCTTTGAAAGACAGGCAATGCCTGGTCTGAAAAGAGCCTATATTTTGGCACTTTTAGTGACAACAATGATTGATATTTATATATCTTATCACTCTTTTGTGTTAATTGGTTTGATGAATACGTACCCTTGATATATCCATTGTAAAGAGAAAGGACATGTTGTAAGGAGCTGCCAGTATCATCACATGATCACAGTTGTTTAAATGTGTTTTTTTTCAGGCAACATGGAAGTGGTTTTCTATGATGGTTTTCAAAAGACAGTTCAGCCAATAAACGTGAAGCCGTTCTCCGATAAACATCAGGTAACTATCCAATTGGGCTCTTGATACTATGAGAAAAAATAAACTTTCCTTCTCTACTGCAGAAGAGGTTTCACCTGTAACAAGACTTTTATAACTAGTATTGGTATTTAAGGTCAGATTGTGTGTCCTGTACTCCATGCTTGTCTCTCTACCAGTTGTGATTCCCGGGAAGAATTGGTCCTCCCCTGTGGACCCTGCTTGGCTCCCCTTGGGATTCCAGGACAGAGGAGCTCTCTGGCACCCTGTAATTGTCTCTCCATCGGTTGATTGTGTGTGATCATACCCTGACGGCGTTGATCACTGCTCACAATATCAATCACTGGATCATCTGGTTGAGACTTGATTATTTACAGGCTGCCATGACATAGCTGGATATTACAGCGATAACAACACACACACACACTCAAACTTGTCTCCCAGTGGTGATAATTGAGTTTTGTTGACCACTGATTCCTCATGAAACGGACCCATGCTACCCATGTGGATGGATAAGACCTTCTCTACCCTCTAGGTCTGCTCATCATACTTTGGGAATTCTGGGGTTTATTGTCTTAGAATTCTATTGTAAAAAGCATCAAGTGGCAACAAGCAGAAGAGTGCTGTATTTTTAAGTATTAGGATTGTTTTTGTTGATAACAGAAACAGATGCATGTTGATATTAACTTTTATCATACTTCCATGTCAGAAAGATGAAATCTGATTGGTCCATGTGATCTTGATAAAATACCATGTTTCCCACCTTGGAGGGAAATAAATTTGTCAGCAGGTGGATAGACCCCTTTACCCCACCATTAACAAGTCAGGCTGCACATAGTTTTCTGAGAGGCGGAATAAATCCCTTATACCCTGCATTGATGCTCAAAGCTGCACACTCTTTCCGAATCTATGGAAGTCACGTGACATAGCGCAAGATAACCTCAGCTCAATTGAACAGCTGTTTTCTGTCAATTTTTAATTTGTTTGAATTATTTTACAATGTCATATTAAAACATATCCGTAAGACAAATTTGTTATAGCCGGCTCACTTGGGGTACATGGGGTTTTATGCACCCCTCGTTAGGTTTTATGCACCCCTCGTTAGGTTTTATACCATATATAGAAACCTAACTCAGGACACATAAAACCCCATGTACCCCTTCTGATCCTGCTACAACTTATAGTATAGGCTGAGTCATCATATCTTCATCTGGAGTTAACATTGAACCGATATGATTTCAAGAGATATAGGTACTGAAAGGTGATAGACAGTTACACAATGTAACTATAGGTCAGCAGATGTCTGGTATAACAGTCAGATATTGTCCTTGACATGATAAGAAGCACCCGTTGTCCAAGTTCTGTGTTAAAGAGGCCATGCACCACTGTCTGGAGCTGCTTCCCAGTGAAGGCCTTGTAAGTAGCAGCCGGTGTATAATAGATGGGGCCTAAAATTCAGTGTAGGTGGTGGAAAATAAATATATTTTCAACTTCGAGGTCAGCGTTAGAAATTGGCACTAGTCCTATAGTTAAGGTATCATAAGTACTTTTAGAAATTTGCTCTTTTTAAGGGTTTTGCTATATGTTATCATTATAAGAATCAGTGGGCTAAAACTGTTAGTTTCTGTTGCTGTGGGCTTCTATCGCTGCAGGTTAGCACTGCAACATATGAATGAAAAACAAACAAGTTTCAAATTAGCAGCATGCCAGCAGATAATAGATTGTTGTTTGTATTAAAATAAAGTTTTTGGTTTGTATTAGTCACCATTAATCTTGTGTGTCTTTTTCATTTCACCTCATAGTCAGCAAAAACAAGTTGTCAAAAGTCATTTTATTTATAGTCGATACATATAAAATGCAACTTGACTTATTGTAAAGATGATAATTTCAATCATCTATTGGACAGACAAGATTCTCAACTGCCACTGCTTAGTGACAATGCATGAGGATTAAAAAAACTGTCATAAAACATACCATGCCGTATATCTTTTCCTTTTTTAAACCTGTATCATTTTAAGGCCTTAACATTACACAGAAGGTCTTTATAAGTCCATGAATTGTTAACTCTGCCATGTCTGCTGGTAAATAAATATATTACAGTGAATGTTTCTGAAATGCATTATGAGATCATATAGCAAATGTTTTGTCTTTAGCATGATTTACATTGAAACACTGGTGTTGACTAGAATATTTGTATAGTGTGTTTAGATGTACAAGGGAGACATTCTGACAATGAAATAAAGTAAGAATGTCATAGTAAATCTTTCTTTAAGCACATTTGGATCATGCTTTTGGCCCAAGAGGTATGAACATTGCCTGGAAAAGTGGTGTCCCATGTTTTGTATTAACCTTGTATAAACCATGCTATCACACAATGTTAAATTCTGGAAAATTGGAAAAAGCCAGGTATACTCATAATACTTAGTTATTTCAATGTCGCAGTGTGTATGTGACATGGTAGTGATTGTGCCTCATGGTAGTGTTTGTGCCTCACGGTAGTGTTTGTGCCTCACGGTAGTGTTTGTGCCTCATGGTAGTGTTTGTGCCTCATGGTAGTGTTTGTACCTAATGGTAGTGTTTGTGCCTCATGGTAGTGTTTGTGCCTCATGGTAGTGTTTGTGCCTCATGGTAGTGTTTGTGCCTCATGGTAGTGTTTGTACCTCATGGTAGTGTTTGTGCCTCATGGTAGTGTTTGTACCTCATGGTAGTGTTTGTGCCTCATGGTAGTGTTTGTACCTCATGGTAGTGTTTGTACCTCATGGTAGTGTTTGTGCCTTATGGTAGTGTTTGTACCTCATGGTAGTGTTTGTACCTCATGGTAGTGTTTGTGCCTTATGGTAGTGTTTGTACCTCATGGTAGTGTTTGTGCCTTATGGTAGTGTTTGTACCTCATGGTAGTGTTTGTGCCTCATGGTAGTGTTTGTGCCTCATGGTAGTGTTTGTACCTCATGGTAGTGTTTGTGCCTCATGGTAGTGTTTGTATCTCATGGTGTTTGTACCTCATGGTAGTGTTTGTGCCTCATGGTAGTGTTTGTGCCTCATGGTAGTGTTTGTACCTTGATGTCCTACACTGCCTGCACCAGCCACAGTCCTTTGTAGCAGCTGGGGTCTATTGCTGGGCAGCAAATCCTTTTTTAGGTTTAAATTAGGTACTGGAAACTCAGGAGATTCTGCGTTACAACAGGTTCCCAGCAACCTTTGCTGGTCACATGAGTCGACTTAATGGCCTGGGAGGTCGGACTTGGTTCATTGTGTGTCATTGTAAATCTGACTGTTTCTGTTGTTGCTTGTGACATCAATCATTGATTTGTCTGGTCCTGACTTGATTATTTACAGGCCCACCCTCCTATAGCTGGAATATTGCTGAGTGTAACATTAAACAACAAACAAACATACAAATCAAGATTCTGGGAAGTTTAATGATTGTCTCTTCCTGAAATGACGTAATACAGGGATGAGAATTTTCCACAGACACAAGGAATGTTGCTGATTTCGTTTCATCAAGGTTCACTTTTATTATACATGCCATTACTATATATGCATAAATCGTAGAGTTTCCCTGAACCCCTGCTAATTTTCAGTGTTTTATAAATGAAGAAACATCCACACCACTGCAAATGAAGCCAATATGATAGACAAAATAAGAGTAAAGTATGATAATAATGAACTTGTAAGACTGTACTTAATGGTGATAGTTTGTTCTATAGGACTATTATCCTGAAGAGGGGGTTGATGAAAAAAAGATGATGAAAGAGAAGGGATCGCCACAATTTATCCTTACTATCTTGATGGGGAGGGGAAATGAAAAAATGTCTGAGTTCTAATTTTCAAATAAAGAATTTATGAATTTAAACATATTACACATCTTAGAGGGACGGATAATTTTTTATAGGGAGGGTGTGTGTATGTTTTTGGGTTGGGTGGGGGTTGGTATGTTGCATAAAATGGCAGGGGCTGTCACCAAAATATGAAGTCCAAAGATCAATTTCTGATTTTGTTAGTTCGAAAATTCTTGTTACATAATTGGTTACACATGTGCAGTGTGGTACAATTAGATCTTCAGCAAAGTTCTCCCTTTTCAGGGTAGAGTATGACAGAGTCATGTTTACAAGTGCATGTAGTAAGTGTATGATTTCTTGCAGGGCAAAATAGCCACATTACCTAAGGAGGTGCGGAGAGGGCGTCGCTCCAGTGAAGGTAGGTTTTTGTCACATGTTTCAGTACTGGTGTCATTTTGTTTTTCAACGGTGGATTTTTCTGATATAAAACATTGCAGTTTTGCAGGTCAGTTTTCAAAATAAAGCATACAGTTCCAGGGGCCCTTGTCACAGGCTTTATGATTAGATTAGATTAAGGAATGTGAGGGTCCTGAGATTAAGATCCTCAAGGATCCCAGGCACCCCCCTCAATTTGTATCACTACATGTACATTTAAGTTGCTGGGTGTGTGGGATGTGTTGGCTTTGAAACTCACTTACTTCTCAGCTCACTCCAGAACAGAGTACTGCTTTTGTATTCTACATTTGAAAGTAACAAGAAAATAGGGTATTCCAAACACAGTCTGCTTTACCGTCCACACTTACAAACAGAATTGATTTCACTTTGCTTTCTACTACATCCAAGTTGTTTCACTAGATGACCATGAAGTCATATGAGCACTGACATTGGTATCTCAATTCTATCATTATAAGTTTTAAATATGAATTAACATGTATTATTACAAAAAAAATTATTTAACATCTATTTCCATAAAAATGTACATGTATTGCTTGAAGTTTATGAAAAAACACTAACCAAAATGGCTTCAAATAGTTTACGAATCAACCATAGCTAAACATTTTATCAGGGTACCAGTTTTTCTCTCAAAGTTGGATGCTGATTACATGATTAATGACTTAAATCTTAGGAAGAGTGATCAATCAACATGCTATCTGAAATGGAATTCAGACACTGAATATGAAAATATCTACGAAAATGTTTGCATCATTTCTATTCAACTTATATGTGAATTGTATTCCTAAAAATAATTTTAAGGTTGCACTTTTCTGTGACAAATGGTCTCTGTAGAAGTTGAAATATGTAGCTCCTAATGTAGTTCTACAACTTATATACTGTGTCAAATATAGCTTATTTGGGTATTTATTTGTCAGAATGCTTAGTGTTGACATTTTTATTACATACATCTCCTTTAGGAACTAAATATTTTACAACTGCTTCAATAAGTTGAAAACTCTTAGTGGTCTGTCAAGAGCAACAGTACATGAGAGTTACTCCCCTTTACCCTTCTGACAGTGGTGTTGATACACATTAGCTACCTGTCACAGGTTACAGCACAGAGAGATGGGAAAAAGTTGCACCTTCAGTTAAACTGTGGGAGAGCTTTATGAGAGATTTTAATGTTAACTTGTAGAAGCAAAATGTCTTGTAATGATATTTTTTTTCTCAGATTTAATCAATAACAATATTGACAAGTACTAGAAATAGGTCATGAAGAATAATGATCATTGATTTTTTCTTCTTTTGGTCAACATACAGCAATAGGTAGTTAGTGTATGTCTGTATGTTCTGGTGACATGGCTCATACTACTGACTGAGGTTTGAGGCAGTTTTCTGCAGCAGAATGCTTGCTAGTTAAACATTCATTTTATACATTGTATGAATGTAGAGATGTCATGAACAAGCAGGACCAGTTTTCAGACTGTTGTAAAAGATCTTCATTAGGTTGTCTGTAGTACAGCCTTTCTTATAGGAGATTCTGTTCCTGTAGTTAGACAAAAATATTTATACTTTTTGCAAGTTTGACTGGGCTGACAAAACATGTTTATGAAAATGACCGGTCTTACAATTGACCTTCATCTTCTTGTTGTTCTTGTCTTCAGTGTGTTGTTACCTCTTATGATACTGTGAGTTTTATGAGGGTCAAAGTGTTGGTTTGAAGTTTACAATTGTGAACATACTTACATTTTCTTGACAAAGCAGTTTCATGATTGATCAGTTTCAACTTTCACTTTCATTTCTTTATTCAAGATACATATTTTGTCTAGTTTACTTAGACTACTTTGTGTCATTGCAACTAAAGAAAACTCATTGCATGCTGACTGTTGCAACAGGTCGCAAGCAAAGTGCAGAAAGGGTGCGATCAACTAGTCAAGATAGCAAGGACAAAGGTATGAATTATGTGCGAAGGCAGTTTTCAAGAAGTAGCCTGCATAAGAAAGTAATTTGAGAAAGTCACTGTTAGCTGGTTATCAGTGCTTCAGACCATGGAGAAAAATCAAGAGTTGAAATTCATTTGTTTCACATGTAGATTTCAAGACATCCATTATCACATAGATTTCAGAAATAATAAACTCTGTATCACAAATAAAACATATGTCTAGATTGACAAATTGCGTCATTAGAGAGCAAGGCAAAGTTCCTTGGCAGCTGTTTATTTCACAAAACAATGACATTTGTATGTCACTAAGTATTTCTTCACTAAATATTTGTCTTTGTGGACTTTGACCCCATGGTCCCAAGCACTCTTTCGCATGTTGTAAGAAGTGACTACAGGAATAATTCGACCCGTGAAGATCCGGGGTAGAATACCGGTAGGTCTTCAGCAACCCATGCTTGCCGTAAAAGGCGACTATGCTTGGCATAATAGGCGACTAACAGGATCAGGTGGTCAGGCTCGCTGGCTTGATTTATACATGTCATCGGTCGCAACTGCGTGGATCGATGCTCATGATATTAATCACTGGATTGTCTGGTCTAGACTCGATTATTTACAGACCGCCGTCATATAGCTGGAATATTGCTGAGTGCGGCGTTAAACTACAAACCAAACCAAACCAAAAAAACATGAATAATTCTGATCAGATGGTTAGGCTCACTGACTTGGTTGACAACATGTCGTCATAGCCCGATGGTCTGGGATGTTGCTCATACTGTCAACAAATGGTTTGTCTGGCCTGCAGACCTGATTGTTTACAGAGTTACTTGATATCGCTTGAATAATGCTCATTACAACTTGAAAAAAAACTTCACTCATTCACTCACTTGTTGACATGACGGCTTTATCCATCATCGGTATCCCCATGCTGATATTGTGGCACTGTTCGTGTCTTGTGTTTTTAACTAGGCCGATTAGGTACCATTTGATTTAATCACTGTGGGGATTCCTGGGCAGTGTAGGACCCCAGTATCCCATGCATGTATCCCCATGGAGCTTCTTGGGCAAAATAGGCCCTTGGCACCCTATGCTGGTTTTGCTTTGGAGCTGTTTGAGTAGACTCCAGTACCTAATGCTTGTATTCTCTGTAAGGCTTCACGGACATGGCAGGTCCCCAGTACCCCATGCTTGTCAAGGTGTGGAGTTTTCAGGACAGAGTAGGTCCCAAGTACCCCATGCTTGTCAAGGTGTGGAGTTTCCAGGACAGAGTAGGTCCCAAGTACCCCATGCTTGTCAAGGTGTGGAGTTTCCAGGACAGAGTAGGTCCCCAGTACCCCATGCTTGTCAAGGTGTGGAGTTTCCAGGACAGAGTAGGTCCCCAGTACTCCATGCTTGTCAAGGTGTGGAGTTTCCAGGACAGAGTAGGTCCCCAGTACCCCATGCTTGTCAAGGTGTGGAGTTCCCAGGACAGAGTAGGTCCCCAGTAACCCATGCTTGTGTCTATGTGGGGATTAGTAGCCAGAGTAGATCCCCAGTAACCCATGCTTGTGTCTGTGTGGAGATTGTAGCCAGAGTAGGCCCAAGTAACCCATACTTGTATCTCTGTAAGGCTTCCAGGACAGAGTAGATCCCCAGTACCCAATGCTTGTCTACGAGCCCCCCGGAATGAAGGTCACATGGCCACAAAGCTGTTACTTACATGTTGCTGCAGGGTGATGTTGCTTTGCTGACTTAAACCTAATACATCTTTTAAAATCTGTATGATAGGTGAGAAGGGTGGACTTGCTGAAAGACGCCGGAAGCACAAGTTGATTGTCGCTGGATCCTTCTTGGCAAAGAGGGAGAGGTCAGCCAGTGCACCAGGACTGGTTACTAAACCAAGGCAACAGAAGACTGAAGTCAAAGTGAACAGAGTATGGCAACAATTTGACTTACATATAGTACCTGCTTGAGGGGCATGGTATGAAAAAAGCCCTTTCTGGCTCATGGCATCTGCACAATTTATGAAATGAGAAAAACATTTAGGTAATGTTACGAAAGTTATCAGATTTGTTCTTATAACTGAGAATTGGACTTGTTCATTTTAACACTTGCATAGAGTAGGTACGACTCGAATCCATCAAAGAATGATTTTATAGTTTTTTTTAAAACCACTGTTTTGCCTGGCCAAGACATTGATACTTTCCAGGCCAACGTAACTTGACTGGAATATTGCTGATGTTTTGTTGATGGTTTCTGTGTCTGTTATGTAAAACATAGCTGGGGCGTCTTTTGTACAACTACCGATATCATTTTCCCTATTCATGAACATGCATGGTGTGTATGCAGTGTTTGTTTATATCTGTTATTTATTTGTAGATTTATTCATTAATTGCCAGCTTTTTTACCAAGACATTTGTTTTCTTTTACGCATGTTCAGAGGAAAGGTTTTGGTATGAAAACCAGCCCTAGGAAGGGGTTCAATGTGAAGACAAGTCCGGTTCCCACTAAGTCGTACACGCCACGTGTGAGTCCCTTGCAGGCCAAAAGAGACACGTCTGCTGCAGGAGAAACTCCTGAAGTAAAAAGTGAGGAGATTATTTGTCACATTTTTAAAATCCCACATTTGAACAAAACAATGCTTTTTTTCTCCAAATTTGCCTGCTAATGGCGCTTTAGAATCCTGCATGAATTCCTGGAAGAAATGGAGGTTATATATTCATCCTGCATGGTGATATGAAGAGAACAAAAGTTGATATTGCTGGAACTCATATTAAATAGCAAGCTGGCATCATGGAGTGTTAACAAGCTGATTCTTTACAGCTGAAAAGCGGGGCAAGAAGCGGGCGCTTTCTCTGCCGGCCGAGGAGGCCAGCCTCAGTTTGACTCACACTCGAGATCATCCCCACACACCCTCGTCAGCCCCAGCAGTACCAGCCAAGAGGGCCAAGTCTACCGAGAAGGATAAATGTGAGTGTGCACACTTCAACAGCTGGCATATACCTCTGTAAACTCAAGTTGCTGTGGATGTAATATTTCAAGTTATTTCTAATGCAGTTTGGATACCTGAATGGAATTGAGAATGATAAGGTTATGAGATGCATGTTTATTATTGCAGCTGGAGGCCTCGCCCCCAAGGAGTTTGTGATACAGCCAGATCACAACCTGTTCAAGTGTATGATCCCTGGCTGTGCCAAGAGTTTCCGCAAGGAGAGCCTGCTGGACTACCACTTCAAGTACTACCACACTGAGGAGCCACGCACTCCGCAACCACCAGCATCCAGGACCAAGAGGCGCAAGACCTCCAGCATATGTGAGCATGACCATGATAACGATGAAGAGGATTATGATGATTTAATATTGTCATCTAATATCATCAGTGGCGGTGGGGTAGCCAAGTGGTTAAAGAGTTGGTTCATCACGTCGAAGAAACGGGTTTGATTCCCCACATTGGTACAATTTGTGAAGCCCATTTTCCTGTTTCCCCCGCCGTGATGTTGCTGGAATATTGCTAATAGCAGCGTAAAACCATTGACTTGGATGATGCATGTCATCATATCCCAATTGTGTGGATTGATGCTCATGATGTCATTCACTGGATTGTCTGGTCCAAATTTGATTGTTTACAGACCACAGTCATTGCTGAGTACAGAATTAAACAACAAACAAACAAATTAAGTTTCAGCATGCAATTGTTTGTCAGAGGTACAAATTTGTGATAGTACTGGACTATTTACTGTTTTTTTTAATATTGAGACCAGGTACAGTTTTCTAAGGAGAACAGAAGGAAACATTTTTTTGATGCTGTAGAAAAACTGCGTGCTCCTTCATAAGATATTGTATGAACACATGGACAGCTTAAACTGACTTGTCACCCAGGGGCTCTTGGACCTGGTGATATTACAGTGCTTAAACATGCTAAACAAGTGGGGAATTGAATGTTGAATTGTTTCCATCCATATTGGCAGGTTCCACTGACAGTGACATATCAGTGTCCTCTAAGGGGAAGACAACTCCGGGTGAAACTAATTCAGCGAAACGCAAACGCCACATCTCGTCTGCCAGTGATGTTCTCAAAGAAGAACCTGTAGCTGAAGTCAAGAAAGAGGAAGTCATTGAAGGTAAGAAAGTATTGAACTTGTTTGGAAGGGGGTGGGATAGCATTTTGTTCTTGATACAACATCAGACCTGGAGGGATTCCTGGGCTGGCCAGCTCCCTACTGTCCCATGTAAGGACTTGGCTGACCTTTGTACCCTATGGCATGGACCAGCTCCCTTCTGTCCCATGTAAGGACTTGGCTGACCATTGTACCCTATGGCATGGACCAGCTCCCTTCTGTCCCATGTAAGGACTTGGCTGACCATTGTACCCTATGGCATGGACCAGCTCCCTTCTGTCCCATGTAAGGACTTGGCTGATCATTGTACCCTATGGCATGGACCAGCTCCCTAGTGTCCCATGTAAGGACTTGGCTGACCTTTGTACACTATGGCATGGACCAGCTCCCTTCTGTCCCATGTAAGGACTTGGCTGACCATTGTACACTATGGCATGGACCAGCTCCCTTCTGTCCCATGTAAGGACTTGGCTGACCTTTGTACACTATGGCATGGACCAGCTCCCTTCTGTCCCATGTAAGGACTTGGCTGATCATTGTCCCCTATGGCATGGACCAGCTCCCTAGTGTCCAATGTAAGGACTTGGCTGACCATTGTACCCTATGGCATGGACCAGCTCCCTAGTGTCCCATGTAAGGACTTGGCTGATCATTGTACCCTATGGCATGGACCAGCTCCCTACTGTCCCATGTAAGGACTTGGCTGACCATTGTACCCTATGGCATGGACCAGCTCCCTTCTGTCCCATGTAAGGACTTGGCTGACCATTGTACCCTATGGCATGGACCAGCTCCCTTCTGTCCCATGTAAGGACTTGGCTGACCATTGTCCCCTATGGCATGGACCAGCTCCCTAGTGTCCCATGTAAGGACTTGGCTGACCATTGTACCCTATGGCATGGACCAGCTCCCTACTGTCCCATGTAAGGACTTGGCTGATCATTGTCCCCTATGGCATGGACCAGCTCCCTTCTGTCCCATGTAAGGACTTGGCTGATCATTGTACCCTATGGCTATGGACCAGCTCCCTTCTGTCCCATGTAAGGACTTGGCTGACCATTGTACCCTATGGCATGGACCAGCTCCCTAGAGTCCCATGTAAGGACTTGGCTGATCATTGTCCCCTATGGCATGGACCAGCTCCCTTCTGTCCCATGTAAGGACTTGGCTGATCATTGTACCCTATGGCTATGGACCAGCTCCCTTCTGTCCCATGTAAGGACTTGGCTGACCATTGTACCCTATGGCATGGACCAGCTCCCTAGAGTCCCATGTAAGGACTTGGCTGATCATTGTACCCTATGGCTTGGACCAGCTCCCTACTGTCCCATGTAAGGACTTGGCTGACCATTGTACCCTATGGCATGGACCAGCTCCCTACTGTCCCATGTAAGGACTTGGCTGACCATTGTACCCTATGGCATGGACCAGCTCCCTACTGTCCCATGTACGGACTTGGCTGACCATTGTACCCTATGGCATGGACCAGCTCCCTAGTGTCCCATGAAAGGACTTGGCTGACCATTGTACCCTATGGCATGGACCAGCTCCCTACTGTCCCATGTAAGGACTTGGCTGACCATTGTACCCTATGGCATGGACCAGCTCCCTACTGTCCCATGTACGGACTTGGCTGACCATTGTACCCTATGGCATGGACCAGCTCCCTAGTGTCCCATGAAAGGACTTGGCTGACCATTGTACCCTATGGCATGGACCAGCTCCCTACTGTCTCATGTAAGGACTTGGCTGACCATTGTACCCTATGGCATGGACCAGCTCCCTAGTGTCCCATGTAAGGACTTGGCTGATCATTGTACCCTATGGCATGGACCAGCTCCCTTCTGTCCCATGAAAGGACTTGGCTGATCATTGTACCCTATAGCATGGACCAGCTCCCTGCTGTCCCATGTAAGGACTTGGCTGACCATTGTACCCTATGGCATGGACCAGCTCCCTAGTGTCTCATGTAAGGACTTGGCTGACCATTGTACCCTGTGGCATGGACCAGCTCCCTAGTGTCTCATGTAAGGTACTTGGCTGATCATTGTCCCCTATGGCATGGACCAGCTCCCTAGTGTCTCATGTAAGGACTTGGCTGACCATTGTACCCTGTGGCATGGACCAGCTCCCTACTGTCTCATGTAAGGTACTTGGCTGATCATTGTCCCCTATGGCATGGACCAGCTCCCTACTGTCCCATGTAAGGACTTGGCTGATCATTGTACCCTATGGCATGGATCATTTGTTCCTTATAGTTTAGTCACTTGTTTGCCTGGCTCCGACTTGATTATTTGGGGGGTAGAACCTTGGTAATAAGCATGTCATGCCATGTGTGTAGCAGTAGTGAATTAAGAAAAAGGTTATCATAATGTATCAGGATTATTGGGTTTCTTTGTCTAGGTTTTTCCTTCGATTAATGCATGGAAGTTCATTGATATTTTGAAACACTTGTCTAGCATGCTATTGACAGGTAAATTAGTAATAGGGAAATGACTCAGCTTTCAGCAATTCCATCAACCATGAATCTCATTGTTTTCTTGCCCATTTTTGATTAGTAGAGGAAGAGAAGGTTGCCATGGCAACACCTTTGACCCCCGCAACTCCAGTGACTCCAGGCCCAGCAGAAGTGGGAAAGTCTGCAGCAGCTGACACCAGTGTAATGGAGGAGGCGTCACTACAGGAAACGGAGGACGAGGCTATATCAGAGGAGGTGGTCAACTGCGTGTGTGGCTACGATGAAGAAAACGGGTTGATGATACAGGTACGCGAAGTTTATTCACATGGACGTTTGTGGAGATTTTTCTTCTAAAATTGAAAGGGATGTTGTGTTATTTGTAAATCGTTCCTCATCCCATACTACCATACTTCAATCCCTCAGGCATGATTGACAGATTTGACGGGAGTGTTAAAAGAGAAGCCAAGTTGGCTCATCGGAGACAGTTGTTGGTCTGTCTTGTAGAACTGAGCCTATTTTTTGTAACACTGTTTAGCACCAGCTTCCTCATGTATATTTCACGGTTGTAGTCTATACAGGCTAGGGTATCTGTGGCCCACTGTCCAACTGTGGGATAAATGCATAGTGTGAGATAGGATAAGTTTAAAAATTTGTAAATTTTACTTTCATTTGTATATTTACACACAAATCCTACCTCACACGCCATATGCCCACTGCACCAGCCCCACATCACAGCTCCTCTGGCCTGTCAGCTCTAAGGCAGGGGTAGTAAGGGTTTGGGTGGTGACCATGGTGATCATGGTGATGCTGGGATGTGTTAGGATGAATTGTTTTTCGAAGCTAGAAACTTTGTTCAAGCACATTTTCCACTTAAGAATAGAAGAAGGAATAAGTGCATAGTGTGAGATAGGATAGGTATATAAGGCTTAAAATACTGCGAGAATTGGTTCTCAGGCGATGAAAATATAGTGCGGGCGGGTGGAGGGTGTTTTTTTTCGCTTGTTTAAACTGGTATGTAACCAAATAAACAGTTATGTGCTATCAACCATGGAAAGGGTCTCCCTTCATAAACAAGTATACAAACTCCTTTTGCTGCCAGGACCATAACACGAGATGCGCAGTAAAGCAGTGTGCATGTAAAGGGAAGTAACTGCATGCTATAATGGATCGCATTGTTTTTAAGAATTAGGATTTTTATATATTTTGGGGAAAATGGAAAAAAAAAACGAAACATGCAGAAGACTTGATGATGATGCGGGCGGTGCTTTGAGAACCATGGCTATTATTTTCTTTAGCCTAAATATACAGTTTGATGTAAACTTTACCTTCTTGTTGTTATTATCATTGCTCAAGAGATGTGTCTGTGTGACTGAGCGCCGATGGTAAAGAGTTTCTGTGTGTTCCAGTGTGATGTGTGCCTGTGCTGGCAACATGCAAGCTGTTTCAGCATCAAGTATGAGTCCCTGCCATCGAAATACATCTGCTTTGTGTGTGAGAACCCACCAGGTAAGGCACATGGTAAATTATTTTCCTTCCTCTTTCTGTGTTGTCTTTTCCATAATTTATAGCTTTACAGAAAGAGCTTAAGTTACAAATAGGATCAAGTACACATGACAAGTTTTGTGTTCCTTGTTTCGTCTTTTGATCATGAATAAACTGAACATGTACAGTATAATTTATGAAACCAGAACTCTGTTCCGTTAAGCATCTTTGTGCTACGAATATGGTTACTCCTATACTCTATAATTTACTTACAACAGTTTTGTTTGTTTGTTGTTTTTACGCCACAATTCCAGTTATATGACGGTGGTCTGTCAATAATCAAGTCTGGACCAGACAATTCAGTGATTGACATCATGAGCATTGATTCCTGCATTTGGGATACAATGACATGCATCAATCAAGTCAGCGAGCCTGACCTTCTGTACCAGTGCATCAACTCTCTTACGAGAAGCACAGCTGCTTTTTACACTTACGACAATGCAATGAGGCCTAGGCATATATGTGTTTTTTAATGCAAGGCATTATTGAATCCAGACTCTTTAGGAGATGTAAGATCAACAATATGTTTGTTTCCATCAACTAGGAGTTCGTGACAGTCGTCGTTACATCCATGACCAGGACTGGTGCAAGACTGGGCATCTGAAAACATTCAGCTTCTTGGATGTCAAACAGTCCGATGACAACTCGGAAACTGTGAAGGCCACCAACAGCCTCATCGGGGACATCCTCAATGTGAAGTCAGCGCTGCACTCTCTCAAACAGGAGATTCATGTCACAGGGTGAGGGCCAACAACATTATTCTGTCCTTGACATGTTCGTGAAGATGGGTCACGCCAATTTGTTTGGACTCATTTCTTGTGACGGATATGGAAAACGTAAAGACCTTCATGTTCACAGTTATGACCATGTGTTTGTCGTCATGTCCAGATGTAATAGTTTGTATACTACTCACCTTTGATAAGGATACTGAGAAGTTTCATAATGTTACAAAGCTCAGGGACAACTTATTGAAATCATTTTCCCGAGGCAAGGGAGTTAACTGACTTTAACATTCCAGGCTGGAATTTCTGGGCTTGATCTTAGAGCAACCAGTGACTATTACGGGTTGTGTCCCTTCTATGTCCCTACTATGTCCCTACTATTGACCAGTCAGATTCCACCTCTCATAATACTTGCATTTGCTTAAAACAAAATGATGGGTCAAAGTCAAGAAGATCTGATCGATAACAAAATCTATATTGTAATAAAACTGGTCTTACTTCATGAAGTGCATCAAATCACGTGAGCACCTTGATTAAAAACATGAAAAGATTTGGAAAATTTCTGTTGACGGAATGTTATTGGTACACATGCTTTGCAAATCCTGCAATCGAACGAATTCGTCACGGCAGTTGCCATGTAATTTATGAACCAGATGACTCATCAGTCCAGCCAAAATATAACTCCATAATTGCAGCCTAGTTCGTCAAGGATAGAAACTGGACTTTTAAAGTCAGTTAACTCCCTTGTGTCGGGAATATGCATTGAAATGTGTACTTGTGTACATTTTGACTTGTGGATAGGTGTACTTGTGTACATTTTGACTTGGGGAAATGCATACTTACGTATATGTTTACTTAGGGAAATGTGTACTTATGTATCTTTTGACTAAATACGAGGCTGAAAATACATCAGTTCTGAGGGAACATAATACCACAATCAAAACTTGAATAGTATGCATTCCTCATAACAATAATGAAAACATTCAGCTTCTTGGATGTCAAACAGTCCGATGACAACTCGGAAACTGTAAAGGCCATCATCAACAGCCTCATCGGGGACATCCTCAATGTGAAGTCATTATTGATCTTAGGCTAATTGTATGTCATGAAAATTAGCAGCGGTAGAATATGTTGAATGTTTGAAACTTAATAGCTCTGTATAACTGACAGAGTAACACTACTGAACTTTGTTTGTGAATGTGAAAGAAATGCTTGTGTGCAATATAATCAAAATAAATCAATGTAAGGATTATTTGATGTAGGTGTTCTTTCAAAGGAGTACACATTTTGATGCAAATATGTATTAACATTCTAGGGTAGAGTTGATTTTCCCTAAAGTTTACAATATTAATTTTGCTGTTTTTAGCAGTGAAAATCACCCTGAGATGCGCACCTGGAGACGAGTTTGTGAAGAAAAAAGAAAGAAAGAAAGAGTTGCAGCAGCTGCAACGACAACTACAGCTTCATATACTACCGAAGCTACAGCAACAACGACAGTGACCCAGTCTGTTACCATGGACCCATTGACCACCAATGCCCCAGCTGTGTCTGAGTCTGAGTCGGACAGCACGAAACAAGAAGTTTCAAAGGAGACTACTGATGAGAGTCAAGATACATCAACTGTTGTAACATTTTCCCTCGATACTGACACAGCTGGAAAGGAGAAGCCTAATATTCCAGAGCAGGAAAGTCCTCTGTCAAAGTCCATGGGTTGTCAGGCTTCATTAGATCTATCCGGGAGTAGTCTAGATCGATCAGATGAAAAATCCGTCGACATATCTATGGCTGACAATGACAGTGATACATCCACCATGACTGCTTCAGAGTCATCTGTAAGCTACATGAGTTGTCTCCCTTCAGGAACGTCTGCTTCTTTAGCAGATGACAGCCAGATAGTGCCATCTAGTGACAATTTGGACAAATCTGACATAGCCAGTGAAGTAAAAATGGAACACTTTAAAGTCAAAGTTGAGGTAAGCTTAATTTTTATTGTAAACTGGAGGTGTCTTTATCCAACTTCAGTGAAACTCAAACTTCAAAGACAATGAAAAATCAAGATATTCCTGTTTCTTGGCAAGTAATGTGCCAAAAAATATGGGTAGCATTTATGAAAAAAAAAGTTTCTACTGCTCATTGGATCTAGCAAGTAGTGAAACAAACTGTCCTACAAACAACTATTACAATGTATTCACATACCACTGTATGTGTGAATATAGGCTGGACTTGAAATGTGAGAGAGCCTCAATCATTCCACAAGTCACAGACTAAACAATCAGCAGTAACGTCATCCTTTTTAAGAAGACTAAAGTATTTTTGTCTGACAGTAATGTAGAAGTCGCCAGAGATATTCATATTTCTCCTCCATTTTGTTGGTATATATATTTTTTACTTCTCCTGCATTATATATTGCACATTAATCTTACAACCCAAGTCCTAACTGGAAATGAATGATGATCTATCAGCATCTTCAGTACTCTTTTGCCAAACATGACCTCCATTACCCTCGGATGACACCTGGCGTCAAAAGGCACGCCCCCTATATGTCATTATTTTCTTTTTCGCTAACTTAGCAGGACGTAAGAGACGAGATCCTACCTGATCTGTTGATTCTATCCTTTGCTGGTTGAATTTCATACTGTTCTGAGCGTAGTTGGTGTGTTATCCATCCATCTTATCTCAGTGGACCAGTTATTCAGCGTTTTCAATGCATGGAAGTAAAAATATCCATGCCTTCGCCTTGGGTCGTGCTTCATGTCGTGCTTTGTGTCGGCGGCCATTTTTCTTTTTGGCTTGAGACACAGATGATTGTTATTGACAGCATGATTCATGTTTGATATGAATGTTTTTCACTTTTGTTGCATTTATCCTTCATATTACAAGTAATAAAAACTTATTTGCTATACAAAATATGCTTTTACTCGCTCATCAATTTTTCACTGTGACGTCACATCGCAGTGCAAATAGCTCTATTTGAGCAGGCTTTTGTGTCATTTACGGAGTTATCGTTTACTCCAATGTTGCAGATGTTTGCTGCCAAGTGTGGTTTATGTAATTGCAAGAAATCGGTGAAGGATCCACATCTCCGCTGCCTGGATCATTTTACACTGTGCCTCCCCTTTCGAAAGTGACTTCCTCACTTATACCAGAGTCGTCAATGAGAGGAAATGACAACAGGCTTTGCGCAAAATGTCTGACCACTCATGCGCTTCCTCATCGCCTTGAAAGTCCACCTTAGACATTGTCCAAGTCTACCTAGACGTCTGCGCCTCCAGCAGTGATGCCTCAAGAAGCAGCGCCTTCAGCAGCAGCACCTTCCAGCAGCACCTTCCACTCATTCGCTTCCTCCTCGCCTTTAAAGTCCACCTAAGACATCGTCCAAGTCTACCTAGACGTCTGCGCCTCCAGCAGTGATGCTCAAGAAACAGCGCCTTCAGCAGCAGCACCTTCAGCAGCAGCACCTTTCACTCATTCGCTTCCTCATCGCCTTGAAAGTCCACCTAAGACATGGTCCAAGTCTACCTAGACGTCTGCGCCTCCAGCAGTGATGCCTCAAGAAACAGCGCCTTCAGCAGCTGCACCTTCCAGTGCACAGGATGCACCTCCCACTTGGGCTCTGCAATTGTTGGATAATTCCAAACTCTGTTAGCTGAGGTGGCAGCAGTTAGATGCAACTACTCACTTTGACAGAGCATCCCACCTGTTCGTCGACGCCTCACTCCTGGGATGGGATGCCCACTTCTTGGACCATACAGCCTCAGGGCTGTGGTCTCCAAAACAAAAGCAGTGGCACAGTAACAACTTGGAACTGGAAGCTGTCATCCTGGCAGTACAGTATTGGGCTCATCGACTGACCAATGCCAAGCTGCTGATTGCCACGGACAACACAACAGTTCGTCTGGTTCATCAACAAACAGGGATCGACCCACTTGAGCTCCATTATCTAATAGACAGGATTCTATTGGAGACCAGAACGATTCACATCCCCGGGTGCAGAAATGTCCTGGTCGATGCACGATCAAGGCTGGACCGCCCACCCGCCACAGAGTTAAAGCTGCATCTGGAGTCCTTCCATACACTTTTGCCAGCAGTTTGGGCAGCTGAACATCGACCTGTTTGCCACAAGACACATCACGCAGTTGCCGACGTTCATGTCTCCACTGCAAGACCGTCATTGCCCTTGCCTTAGACTGAGAAGGTCTCAGCACCTACACGTTTCTCCCACCAGCACTCCTCCCTCGGGGAGAGCAGCCCAAGCCATAGCTCAGGCTCACACACCATCCACCAGTCGACTACAGGGGACTGTATAATAGTTGATAAATGGACCTCCTTTGAGATCTTCTGTTACCCCCACAATTGCAATGGCGCAATTCGTTGCGGATTACTTGCTCCACCTGAGAACAGAGAAACACCTTGAAGGTGGTACTATAGCTATATACCTCTCCGCCATCAATACTGTTTGTGCTGTCACTCAAGACCGGAGCTATCCATGATACTGGAGTTGACGGCTATCATAAGGAGTTGCAGGTTGAACTTCTATCCTCCCGCAACGCCCCAATTAACCACTTGACAAGGCCTCTTATCAACTCTTGACTCAGAAGACTGACTTCCTACTAGCTCTAGCTATGGCAGCCAGTTTTAGCGAGCTACATGAGCTAAATGTCACTTGAGTCCATCGTAGGAATGGAGGCCCAGGATGCTACATAGAAGCAGCGAGGCCCAGAAGAATGACTAGACGCCACCTGTTCATTACCATCTTTCTGACTTGTAAAGGAGAGACCTATGATGCAGCAGATTGGAGCAGGACCAACAACCTGCATGAGATCTGGGCCCTGGCATCAACAATGGCTCACAGCGGAAACTGTTCGGTCCAATCCGTCATGCTGGGAGGCTTTTGGAGCCATTACCTCTGGGATGAGTCCCAAGAAGATGTGGATGCGTGCATAATGTTGGACCGTTCATAGTCGCCCAGCAGATCACCAACCTCAAGAAACGCTGGTAGACTGTGACGCAGCCTACCCCTTACCCCCTTGGTCTAACCATTCCCAGGTTTGAAGAGGGGAGGAGTGGTAGTAAGCATTTTCAGTTTATCAAAACTCTTGGTTTTAGGTTATCTTTTTAATGGATTGCCATGACAGCCCTATTCTGGGACTTGGTTACCTGTTGATTAGCCTAGATCTCCTTAGAGTTGTGAAGGTTCTGTCTGATTGTTCACATGTGCTACTGTTGCAGGTGTTCACTGCCAAGGGAGTAGTGGAGACAAACCATCTCAGGCAAGCCCAACCTACAGGAACACTTTACAAAATGCCATGACACGTAACAGATATCCTAGCACTGTAATGCAGGAAAAGTTAAAAATATTCCATAATCAGAGTATGATTATGTTTATTTTATATACTTATCCTGCGTTACCCAAGGGCCGCCCCGTGACTGATGTCTTCCTTCCCACTGTACCGTCAGCCCTGAGGGACATTTGAAGACAATAATGGCATAAAGGTGTCTTCCAACACCAGGTGTCACGAGGTCATAGAGATCATGTTGGCCGAAAGAGTTACTGAAGATGCTGATAGATTGTCATTCATTTCCCATTAGAACTTTGGTAGTAAGAGCAATGTGTAATGCAGGATAAGTATATGAGATAAACATTATACTCTGATTATGGAATATATGTCAATCTGTGACAGCTGCCGGAGTCTGAGAAGGAAGATGCTCTGGATGAGGAAGTTGAGTTTGTGGAGTGTGAGCGTGCCCTCCTGCTGCACATTGTCAGGGTCCAGGCTGGGCTTAACGACCGTCTCGACCTGATAGAGGATCAGATAGAAGGTAGGACAATGTCACAAGTAGGGAATATGATGTTTATTTCCGGGTTAATGATGATAAGGTTATGAATGAGAGTAGAATGATTTTAGAGTGAGGGAGTTGGGATTTATGCTGCTCTTTGTGATATATTATCAATGTTGTGAAAGAATTGCAGTTGTATTATACAAAACTTAAAGTTTCAGGGCCTTAAGGACACTATCCCACTTAATCTGGTAACCACATTGTACTCATCATGAATTATTCTAACTTTCTGCCATCTTTGTGAAGTTCGCATGCTACAGCACCCAGTGGAAGAGTATGTGTAACAGCAGACATACATGTGAGTTCCTGTGTTTCAGCCCTCGAGAAGGCGGATTCTTCCCAGCGTGCACCACAGCCATCTTCTCAGCCGAACCAGGCACAGACCACTCCAACACAACCTAAGTCCATCCTGGGGGATGTACCCATTCTCAAGAAATCTCTTCATTCTCTCATCCGGGACCTAGGCAAGGTGAAGTCCATGGCAGCCTACCATTAAGTACAGGGAGCCCGCTGGTTCGTCCAGGTCCTCTCACTCAGCACAAGCACCTGTCCTCGTAGTGGCAGTTGATGAAGGAGAAAAAATAAACACTGGCATAACCAGGACGTTGAAAGTGTTATTTGTTACCTGTCACTTAGCAATGTGTGTCTTTGTTGAACATACTTCAGTGCTTTATTATCGAAACTGTTTTCAGTTTAATTTCATCCTCAGCACAAGATGCTTTGTGACTTTTGTACATAAAATAAATATCAAAACAGTTTGGAGTCATTGCTTCTTTTTCATATGAATCATGGTTTTATTTGCTTATATGTATATCAACTCTTCTCAGTACCAGAAGGTATTCACGAGCCATTTCAGTTCTCTTCTCCTTATACACTGGGGATTTGGTCAGAATAGGTGTCTGTAACCATGGTTACCCCATACTTGTCACAAGGTTGACTAATATGATGATTAGGTGGTCCTGGCTGGTTGTCACCATGCCACAATAACGTGGATGGGTGCTCATGCTTTCAACCACTAGTATTACTGGTCGAGTTATTTACATGTCATTGAACATATGATTGAAATATTGATGACTGTAGTGTTGAAACAGCATCACTCACTCTTGTGCTAGGTATCCACTGTGATCAATGATCTCTGGACCATATCTCTTCAAATTTGGCTTGATCCTTAGACATAGCTGTACATAACCAGGTCTGTAACTTCAGAATTTTTGATGATCATGAGAAAATTTGATCCTAATAAGATATCTGTATTTTCAACCGCTTTGCTGCTAACACTACCATGGAGCTCAACGCACCCTGTAACAGCAACTTTGGTCAGTGCATTTGATTTAATGTTGTGACATGTACATATAAACAAGATAATGACACGAACGGAGAGACTAATATTTGCTCAAATGTGAAGCATCTGAAGAGAAAAACACATGCCCTATGTCATCATTACATAGCTTGCATTGACCTTTTTTGGTTGTTCCAAGTTAAGTTTTAACCCACTTGGCAGTGTTAGCATGAAAGTGATTGAATAAACAGATAATTTATATGAGACAGAATTTTCGCATGATCATCAACAATTCTGGCAGTAATGTACCAAGTCTGGTGACTAAATTATACAAACACCACAATCCTACATTACCTTCCAGAATATTCAATGTTTAATTAATTAACAAGAAATCAGAATACAGATACAAGCTTTACCTCCACCACTATCCTCTACTCGTTCCTGGCTAGAAGGCCGAGGATTTCATCTGGAAGCACTAGCAGCAGATCCATACAGTTGCTACGTTGCTGGGTGTCTCAATCTCATTAGAATCAGATCTAGGTTCTTGCAGCCGCTAAACAATAATCTGTGGACACCCCATTAGGGGTCACGTCAGAACGACCTTTCGCGAACTTTGACCGACCACTGAAATGACTAACAAGAAGTCGACATCCGCCAATTAGAAAGCAGCTTTCTCGAGCTTTACGGCACTCGTTTAAACCTGGCGACTTCCATTTCAGACTACGCTTGAAAAATATGTTGACACAGTTCTCTATTAAAATTTGGAAAACTGAACAAACGAACATTCCGGAATGCCCAATATATAGTAGAGATTGTATGGCAGTGCTTCCAGCGTACTGTGCAACGCCTCCTCCGTTCAAATGTTTATCCCACGGAAGCGAGAGATAGACGACAATTTTGACGGAATCAGCAGTACGGGCCGTAACTGTCGTTCGGAATACCCCGTGTTAACGTTTTCGGGGTTGCATGGTTAGAAAACACATTCCGACTGTATCGTTCACGATCTGGTAAGCGACGCTTTGATTGGTCGGGTGAAAGGTCGTTCTGACGTGACCCGTAATGGGGTCCTCAGATCTTTGTTTAGCTATAGCGAGAACTAAGATCTGATTTAATGAGATTGCTGGATGTCTCTATTAGGGAGCATAACATCCTTTCAAGATTTGGCATACAGAGGGAGATTGACATTACACCCTCTCCAGGATTGGATCAATACTTCGAGATCACAACCCCTGGACTCACTTATACAGATACCAGGAGATTTAGTTCAGAGCAAAAAAGATCATGTGAGGAACAGCATTTCCCTTGTGAATAAGGCACTCCATCATCACCTATTCACGGACGCATCAAACTTATGATGGGGAGCCAATATGGTCAATCTCAAGGTTCAAAGTTTTTAGAAAGCTTCCGGAAAGAATCTTCACATAAACTGCCTAGAAATGAAGTCAATATTCTACGCCGTCAGGACCTGGAAAGCCGAACTATCTCACTCCTCAGTCCTCATAGCTTCGGACAACACCACAGTGGTAGCTTTCATTCACATCCATTCCATTTGCTGCACAGAAATCAAATTCAAGCTGTGGATCCTCGAGGCTTGTGCGGGTAGCCTAGTGGTTAAAGCATTCGCTCGTCACGCCGAAGACCCGGGTTCGATTCCCGACATGGGTACAATGTGTGAAACCCATTTCTGGTGTCCACCGCCGTGATATTGCTGGAATATTGCTAAAAGCGGCGTAAAACCATACTCAGTCAGTCAGTCAGTCGAGGCTTGTGGAAATATGTTGCCCATCCTCGAGGCTTGTGTGGGTAGCCTAGTGGTTAAAGCGTTCGCTCGTCACGCCGAAGACCCGTGTTCGATTCCCGATACTCAGTCAGTCAGTCAGTCGAGGCTGGAAATATGTTGCCCTTACGTGTTTGACATATTTACGCTACATCCGCTACATCCTTGTCTATTTAAAAATAATTATTTCTAATAATCTCTTAAAATACATCCTAAAATAGATGAACTATTATGATTCTCCCTTTCCATGGTTTTGTTTTCACCCTAGTGTTGTCCATTTTGGTACAAAAAATAATTCCGAATTTGCAACATACCTTTGTGGTAATTCTAGGACGCCACTGTGCTTGCTAGTATCCTAAATCACTTGAAAGTGTGTCTTGTGTTTAATCCATTCGACAATGGTACCTACGATCTGTATACATGACGGTTTGTGTACTCCCAGTGCGGTGGGGTAGTCTAGTGGTTAAATCGTTCGCTTGTCACGCTGAAGACCCGGGTTCGATTCCCCACATAGGTACGATTTGTGAAGCCCATTTCTGGTGTCCCCTGCCGTGATATTGCTGGAATATTGCAAGAAGCGGGGTAAAACCATACTCACTCTCTTTATGATCCCAGTGCCAGAAGCATGCAATGTGTCATATGACAAAGTACCACAGCAGCTGTAGCCGTCATGCATATATCGGACTGGAATCACCATTAGTACTTCTAGCACGGCAAGGGATTAATAACAGTATGCCGATTTCATAAGGTATTTGATGTAAATAATATTCCAAATATCGAGGAATAAAGATACGGCAGGTCAAAGAATGAGGTAGGAGACTCGGACGTTCTTATGACTAATAACTAGCCCTATGTCTTTCGGATATTTACTATTTGGAAATCATGATACGATAGAATACCCATATATGGCTAAAATTAGTGTTCTGTTCTGTTTAACGCCGCACTCCTCTTTGTTCCATCAGTGTGGCGGTGGTTTGTAAATAATCGAGTCAAAACCAGACAATCCAGGGATTCGCATAGACACCCGTCTACGCAATTAACATTCATACAACCAATTCACTGAGTATGACCCCCGATCCATTTAGTCTCCTCTTACGACCAACAGGTTGAGGAGGACCCTTATTCATACCGGGATTCCCCACGAGTGTCAAATGCCAAGTGTTGTAATTTTATGGAAAAATCAAACAAGGGGCAGGCCCGTGACCCAGCATCTATCCACGCAATTGGGATACGATGATATGCATCAACCAAGTCAGGTTCGCTGACTTGGTTGATGCATGTCATCGTATCCCAATTGCGTAGATCGATGTTCATGATGTCAATCACTGGATTGTCTGGTGCAGACTCGATTATTTACAGACCGCCTTCATATAGCTTAAATATTGCTGATTACGGCGTTAAACAACAAACAAACCTACCTCTCCGAAGCTTGGGTCAAAGACCTGCTCGTGTGGAAATATTTGAAAACTCTCCCTGACTCCCGTCTTTCTGAAACATTCCATTATGGATCGAGTCATCGTCTCCTGTTTGGTCGAGGGGAAAGTGGCTCAGAAGTCTATTGCTACGTAAGTTTCTGTGCGGAGCTTCATCATTTTCATTGCCGTGACGAGTGGGTGGTATTGCATTTCATGACTCTAATTCCGTTGACATGGTTGCATGATGACACACACAAATTTCTCATTGATGTAACCTTTGTATCGATGGTTACGACCGAATACCGAAAATCATGTTTTGTTTATTTAAAGCAGTAATTGTTTATTGTTAAGCAAGTTTATCTCTGCAGCGGCCTGTCCTCATTTCGCCTACACCTCATTTCGCCTACACCCTTATCAAAACAAATTTACAGCTGACTGCACATAAGTCAAGTGCTGTGTTACCTCTTGAAATATGCAGCAACTCGACGACTCGTCTCGTATCCAAACACGGGGCTGTGTACTCGCGGGCAAATGGCCACGGAGTACGCTGATCACTGTGTCGGATTAACGAGACTGATTAATGAGTGATTTCGGTAATTCGTTGCAAATCAGGTGTGTCGGAGTCGGAGTTGAGACTGTCGGATTAACGGGTCTAAATAGCACTGATTTCATTGGTTCCCATCATTAGTGTCGGATAAAGCCGATTGTCGGTTTAACGAGACTTGACTGTATATGAATATTACTAAGGGCAATATGATCTGTATATGTTCCCCCTAGCTTCATATCAGCAATGACTGCAGTTATTACAATGCATTCTAGCATGAATACTCTCATTTGTACTCACTGCAGTTGGATCCCTGTTATTTGAATTAATGGCTGTATACTATCATGTGTCATGGCACATACAGTTCAAACGTACAAACAAGTGTATTTTCTAAGTAAGGAAAAGAATATATGGATAAACAACTTCTTTATTACAATTAAGAGCGACGTTTCTGTGCAGGCCCTAACACCGATATCATGCAAGTGATCAGTGATAAACGGTAATAGGACCTACACCGAAACGTCGCTCTTAATTGTAATAAAGAACTTGTTCATCCATATATTCCTTTCCTTACTTAGTACTCCAACTTCTAAATGCCTTGAATACACAGTGCCATTTAGAAAGTGGTCAAATGTAACATATGTTATATTTGGGATAACACTTTCTTAGTAAAGTACAGATTCTAGTACTTTTTTTTTAGTTGTGTCCCGTCCGGGATTCGAACCCACACTTGCCAGAGTGAG